GTTAAATATCACGAGTGATAAGTATTAAGAGAGTTAAATATCGAGAGTAAATAAGTATTGAAAATTGCGCCCCTTAAATACATTTGCTGACCATGAATTTTATTTGAAGCCCTTCCCTTATTTTCTGCCCAATCAGAGACTCCTCCCTTATAGTATCCCTTATAGCAGCGCCTCTTTTGGCTTCAGAGTTAATTAAGGGCCTAGTCGTCTCTGGGTCTTCATGATGAGCAGATCTCTCGTTGCTGTTGCCGCATGAGACAGCATGTCGGCAGCGGAAAGGGGGGGGGGGCATCGCTGACACATCTGGTGACAGCATTGCAACTTGTTGACAGCGGGAAGGGGAAGGAAGGTCCGCTGGCAGTAATGCTTGATGTAGTTACCGAGCGGAATGAAAATGCAGATGTCTAAGCTATAGGTTTTCCCGTGTATATGGTATTGTTTTTCCAGATGTTTTATGACACTAGTGCTTGATAATTTTGAGCAAGCGAAGTTTTGAAATCCAAATACTAATTTTACGATGTTACTTGCCAGATGTTTTATTGCACTGACAAAAAATAAAAAAATGTTCTCACATTCTCGAGCATTCCGCCCGCCATCAGCACTTCTAGTGATGAGTATTCTTCATTTTCCGAGATTGGGAGAACTGCTAGCTTGTGTATGGGCCGTTTGATGATCATTTTTGCTGTTTTACAGTGACTACTCTGGTTAAGCCGTCCTTGCCGAGGTGGATATTTATTACCCTTGCCAAAGGTCATTTACATGGTGGAAATCGGTTATCGGTGATAAGTACTAGTGAACCAACCTTTATGTTGTTTTGTGGATGGTGCCATTTAAATATTGATTGCTGTCGTTGTAAATAATGAGATGACCAGTGTGACCAGAATTGCTGGACACGTTGAATAAATTGCCAACGGCGCAATCCTGATATTGACAATTCGTCTAAAGATGGTTCAGGTATTGTATTAAGTGGACATCCGATTAGAAAATGACCTGGAGTTAAGGCAGCGTAATCATCTGGATCGTCACTCAAGGGCTCTAGTGGTCTTGAGTTTCAAATTGCCTCAATTTGTGTCAAGAAAGTCGTAAGTTCTTCAAACGTAAGTAGCGTTTCTCCAATTGTGCGCCGTAAATGAAATTTTGTAGACTTCACTATTGCTTCCCATTTTCCTCCCATGTGAGACGCAGCTAGTGGGTTAAAATTCCATCGAACATTGTCTTGTGAGGCTTTATAGCGCTGCAATTTTATGATGCTCTTCTGATCTCCGTGAGAATAGCCTTTTTAATTCCTTGTTTGCTCCTGCAAACATGGTGCCACAAACTGAATGCAACGTGTATGGGATGCTTCTGCGAGAAGAGAATCTCCGATAGGCGGCTATGAATCCATCTGTTGAATAGTCGCTGAACACTTCAAGGTGTACAGCAAATATGGCGAAACATACAAAAACACAAATCCATGTTTTTTGGGTCTTTGCGTCTCTGTCCTTCCATGTTTTTATGGTTATAGGACCAGCTTAATCGACACCCGTATACGCAAATGATCTCGATGGTGTTACTCGCGACAGCGGTAATTGTTCCATCATCTGCTGAGCACAGATTCCTCTCTGTGGTGCACATATGGCGCATCGCAGAGTGTAAGATTTTACCGCTTGTCGGCCTCCAAGAATCCAATACTGCGGTCGTGTATGCGCTAGCGTGAGTTGGGTGCCTCCATGCAGTGTCCTTTGATGAGCCTGGGCTATTACAAGATCCGTAACTCGTGATTGGCGTGGCAAAATTGCAGGGTGTTTTGGTTCGTTAGCGAGAGAAGAATTCATTAGCCGTCCTCCTACTCGGATGATTCCTTGCGAATCGATATAAGCTGTTAAGCGTTGGAATGGATGTCCATTTTGCAGTTTATGTTTTGACGCAAACATCTTGATTTCATGGGAAAAATAAACAGCCTGTGTTGCCTTTATCCAGAAATTTCGTGCATTTTCTAACTCCTATGAATTTACGGGCATGTCGAGAGAAGGCTCACGCCTTTTCCTTAGACGTTGAATGAATCCAATACATGCAGCTGTGATTCTCAATATCTGATGTAGTTTTAGATACTTATTAATTACATCCCAGTGATAGTCAATGGGTTGTATGGTAGCTGCAAGAGAAATGCCAGGACGTGCTTCTTGTTCACACGCTTCGTCATTCTGTGTTGGCTGCTTAGCCCACGATTTTGGTGACTGCATCCATGGTGGTCCCGTCCACCATAAATTATGATCCTTGAGTTGTGCGGTGGTCAATCCTCGCGACGCACAGGCAGCAGAGTTGGAGGGTCCGGGAACATAGTTTCATTGAGAATCGGATGTGATCTCTTGAATTTGTGCTACTCGATTTCTCACAAAGTCCTTCCAACGTGATGCGTGGGATTTTATCCATGCGAGGGTTACTCTCGAGTCTGTCCACAAGTATGTAGCGGTTACCTTCATGTTTAGGGTATTCTTAACATAATGCGTGAGTTTTGATAGTAGCAGTGCTGCTGCTAGTTCCAGCTTGGGAATGGTAAGTCTCTTTAACGGGGCTACCTTCGTCTTGGAGCATACGAAGGCAACTTTGTAGGCTGGATTGTGGACGACAAGATAGATGACTGCTGACATGGCCAATTGAGAAGTATCAGGGAAACCATGTAGTTCGACAGTTGATGTCTTCTCTGTGTTGAACCATCGTGGTATCTTGATATTGTTTAACTCTGACAGATTCTTTTTGATGGTGCTCCATCTATTGAGATTTGGTATGGCAGTAGATAGTCCCATTTGATAGTGTATAGCCATAATTCTTGCAGCATCATTTTGGCTCTTATTACCACGGGTGAGACGAAACCTAGTGGATCAAAGATTTAGCGATCTTTGACAGAATTATTCGCTTTGTTATCTGGTTTGTCCATGGACACTGTTGTTGTAAATGTGAAATTATCATGTTGTGGATTCCATTGCAATCCGAGAATTTTGGTCGTGCAGTCATCGAATATAATAGTTTCTGGCTCTTGACTGGGTTCTGCCCGCGTGATAGTGAGGACGGTCCTGTACGTCGAATGCCATTTTGTTAAAGGGAAACCGCCCGCCTTGCAGAGGTTTGTTCTTCTGCGACTGATTGTCAGTAAACGAAGGTCTGCTGTAATGCAGTGCTATCTAAACGAATACTCAATATGGTCTTGGCAGCCTCACCTGTTAGTGTTTTTTGTAAATAATCGAGTTTTTGTGAATCGTTATATCTTTTGTTATCAATAACTATGGAGACAAAGATCTCGAAACATAGGCCATTCTGAAATTTGCCTGAGAATTTTGAGATGGGAGTATCGGGGAAGCAATGCATATCTATGCCAGGCCTAATTCCAGGTGACCATTCATAATGTGGTTTTTTGCATTGTGACGATTCTCTTGCTTCCTTTAGTTTAGCTATTAAGTGATCAACTTGAAGCTTATATCCACGTAGAGATTGAATTCATCTAGTTGGATATTAGTTGTGAAATATTCATGCGAATCCAGTGTAGTTGACCATGTTGACCATGTATCTAAACCTAATGAACAGCAGTAATAAAAGTATTGATACCTTTCATTCGAAATTCCAAATCTTATAATTATTTATTAATTTATTAAATTCATCTATGGCTAGTTTTAACGTTGATGACTTCTATAATTACTTTGAACGCTTCTTTAAATCACTCAAGTTATGTTTGTGAAGCATTTCTAATTTGAAATTAATTTTTATGTTTTCATTTTGTACAGTGTATATCAAATTATTAAATAATAATACAAAAATTATTATTTTTGTAATTGTATTTAATATATATTTTTATAGATTCCCAGAATTTAAAGTCAAGTCAAGTGAATTGTTTTCTTAGCTCTGTGATATATTCAATACTATTAAAGATAATATACTTGTTAATTTTAATTCGTTTACGGCTGTACTTTGGAATATACTATAGTGTAATTTAATTTCTATTCTGTGATATCTTTTATTATTATGTATATCCAATAATTATTTGGAACCTTTTAATGTTTATAATTAAATTGTGAAAAATTGAGAAGATGTTATTATTTTCGCTCATGAATATTCAATACTTGTATTCATTTATGAATCATACCAAAATTATATTAAGAACTCTAAAAAAAATTTATATAAGTATAAATTTTATTATACCAGATACAATGTGCGAATACACATTAAAAATCATTTTTATTTAAGTTAGTACTTATTTAGCTACTCAATTGCAGCTTATACTACGTATTTACGAATATGAAAGTCTCGGCTCTTAATAAAAAAATTCAATATTCATAGTAATTTATTATATATTTTACAATAACCTACTTACTAATATTCTATTGAAAAGTTTTCAAAGAAATTATACGTAAATGTGTAAATTGAATAATGCAATAAATATGTTAATTGTGAAATTTTTAATACAACATATGACAATATTCTTTAAAAAAAATTTCATTTTTATTACTTTAAAATTTTTACTATTGTATATTGCATATACAATTTGGCACTGTATAATTATTGTATTGCAATAATGTAATGTTATTATATGGTACATTCTATAGTATGTACATACAACTCTTTCCTCTTCTCAAATATGTAAATAATATAAAAAAATTTCAAATATTATACAAAATATTTTACATATAAAAATTATTTATTGATTTTATTTTTCTATTATATTCAAATAATTATAAAAGATTATATTACAATTTATTTCTATTTCATATATTTTCAGCTATCAACAAGGTACATTTGCGCAGGAAAAACAGTTTGATCACTATGTACTTAAGTAGTTTATGAACCACAATTTTTATAGAATGGCTGTTATTCTTCACTAAGCAGAAACATTTTTCGATATAAATATTTTATCCCTTTTAAGTACTGTTTGTAGGCATAAAATAATAATAGATAGTATAAACGTGAAAAATTTACTTTGTTTAATTATTATTGTTTTAAATAAAAGCAACCCTCGTGACATAGTGTAAAACCAATTTTTTACTTAAAATAATTTTAGTGTTTCATCAGACGTTTAATAAGATTAATTACCACATAAAATCTATTAGTTTATCATTAGTGTAAGTATTTGTTATTGATATCTAAGAAGCTTTTTATTTAATACATTTATTGTAATTTACAAATTACAAATAAATATATCTTTTTATTGATGAGTTTAAAATAAATAATCTAATCTGAACAAATAAAAAATTGTTTAAAAATATATTTTCGAACAATAATCAATATATATATATATAAATAATTGTAACAAATTAATAATAAAAATTCAATAATGATTCTTAAAAAATAAATAATTATTTGTTTGTAAATAAAATATTTTTGTTTTACATAATTTTTAGAAAAAAAAAGAAATATTTATCATTTATTATATGAATACTTATTTTGATTCCATTTCAATTGCAAATTGATAAAGTTAAATTATAAATCAATAAATTGTTCTTATCTATAAATTATAAGCAAAGATCTATTTTTTTAAAACTTGTATTATTTTATGCCCAAATTAATTTTATAAATTTAAAAGTCCATCTTATAGTTTTTCTATATTAATTTTATAAGCTGATTATTATACATAAACTATTTCTGTAATAAATTAATACCTAATATTATAAAATTGCTAATAAAAAATATTACTTCAATTTACATATATAAAAAAAACTCATTTAAAAATACATTATATAAAATTGTATAATCAACTATTCTTGACATAAAATTTTAAGTAGCAAAAATATTTAGTGTAAACTTATATTTTACTGATTTCATACTCATATTTTACTAATAAGTAGCTAATGGTAAAATTTTTTTAGATTAGAATATGGAAAATATTACACATTATTCATTATGTTCTTATACATTTGGTATAATATAGAATACATTAGGATAGTTTCAGTTTTCAAAAAACCTTTGAGACTAACATTAATGAATTTTAATTTGCTTTAAAATGTAGTTTATAAATATATAGGTAGGCAAAATAATTTTTTTATAAGATGTATAAATATATAAATTTAATTATAAAAATTATATTAGGACTCACTAGTTACTAATTTTGAATATCTTTAAAGAAACATTTTTTGTTTGTGAGGAGAGTGTGTGTATGAGAGTGCGTATGTGCATACATATATGACATACGCATGCATAAATGCAAATGAATTTTTATTAAATTTTACATTGTACGCTAATTAATTTATAAATTAATAATATTTTGACATTTTATGTTATAAGTGTATGATTTTTATTATCATTTGTTAATATAAGTTTTATCTTAAATCATAGTTAACAGTTAGAATAATATTTATTTTTAATAATAATGCGAATTTGTCTCATTATTGGGAGCAATCACGCGTCAAAATATGCATATTGTGGATTCATCAATCTATAATTAAATACAATTTTTTTAATATTAGGAAACATGTTAATTGATTTTTTTGTTAAAATTAGATATTTATTATTTTCTTTTTCATATAACAAAACAACACTAATATTAAATATGTTATTTATAAATAATTGAATTAATCGAATATTTTTAATTAAAATTTAAAATTAAAGAATTTATTTGTATTTAATTTTGAAATTTTAATAATCAAGTGCTAAAATGAAAATATAAATTTTTACATTTTTAATTTTTAAGTTAATATAAATAAACTATTTCTAAATAAATGAAATGTAAAATGTAAAATTTACGAAAATTATGTAAAATGTAAAATTCTTTGTCAACTTATTGCTATTAGATTTTAGTTAGTAATTTTCTCATTTAAATTCATATTTGTTTTCTATATACATCGTTTCTATATAATTTATCATTACTTACATGCAAATAAACTATTTTCATAAATATTATATTTGATAAATTAAAATGTACTATAACTTAGTATACTGCTATAATGGTGCTAATTAATTGAATTATATCATATATTTTTAGGAACTGTTTTACAATATATAAAGGAGGTTTAAATATTTAAAAAATGCAACATCAGTACTGGATAACCAAACAAACACTATCCCGAAAATTAGGTCGTAAAGAAGATGAATGCATTGTATCATCTGATGCACAACTAGATGCTAAATTAGAACTCTTTCGAAACATCCAAATGTCTTGTACTCTTATACAAAGAATAATCGATAAATATCAAGAATCTATTTGTTGTAAGTATCAATATCAGCAATATTAATAATCGGTAAGTAAGAAATTAATATTTGACTTTTGAAATAGTATCTATGATTATATATGGAAAAATTACAGTTGAAATAAAATACCTGAATTGAAGCTATTTAAACTCTTCATTTTTTATGCCTATATTGCGATTTTGCCTTTCATTCCATTTTATGGAGTTTTAAATATAATTTTATATTGTCATGTTTAATTATTTAACTTTTAAGAAGATACGAATATTTCACTTGTGTATGCTTATTCATTTTTTCAAAACATAATTCATAGTTTTTACAGATTCTAATTTCAAAACAACAGTAAAGTAATCGTCCCGTTTAATATGTCTATTTATTATTATACTAAATTTAATTTGTAAATGGAATCCAAAGAATAACATGCTATTGACTCACATATTTAAATATCTTTCAATAAAATTAATTATTAAATACCAAATATTGTAAATAAGTAATAAGTCGTGTTATACAAGTGTAATACAATCTTGTGAATGAAAAATGTTCTATGAATATTATAGAAGAAAGTTTAAAATAAAATTTATTTTGATAGTAAACTCATATTTAGTATTTGAAAATGTGATAAATAAGTTGTGATTTAAATAGTTGATAAATTGTCACATCTGATATAGTATAGTCTTATTCTTAAAATTTCTATAAATTGTTACGCAAAGTTACAAAGTATGTTCTAGAAAGCAAAAGAACTCTCATTTACTCTGTCACTGAGGAGTTTTCATGATGGTTTGAGGACGTTTGAATTATATGCAATAGTTTTCCTTTTTTTGCATTTATTTCATATATTTTAGTTATATTATTTATATCTACATTTAAAAATTTTGGTCAAATTTTTATGTTTATTTGGCATAGAATAAATACTTAATTGTGCAGTAAAATTCAATATTTTTATATCACGCAAATTTTAATTATTTTTATTTATATTATTACATCATAATCTAAGGTATTTTTAGTAACTTTTTTTATATTATTATCTTTATTCATATGTGCAAGATAACCTTCTTAAAATTCTTTTGGCGTTGTTGCCATTGGTCTTTTTAAATAAATAAACATAATAACTATTTAATAAAAATACTATTCAACAAGCAAATTGTTGCTTAATTACAGCAATAGCGATTATCGATCAGATAAACACATGGAATTATTAACTATAAAATTCACTCGAACTACCAAGGTGTTTTTATTTTATACAATAACTTGAGCATTAGTTTTTATAAAAATTTGATCCTAGTAAAAGAATTTTTTTTAATTTTTAAAAAAATCGAATGACCACTTAATATTGGAATAACCACAGAATTTAAATGCAAGATATTATATAGTATACATTATATGTATTTATATGGTATTGTATTAGTTATTATTATGTAGTAGTCCATGAAAATATTGGTAAAATATACTGCAATATAACATGTAACAACCGAACTGAAGAGTGAACCAACATAATCAACAGATAGAAAATATAAAATGAAGTTCCGACAAATGTAGAAAGTAGGTGGTACTATTTACAATATAAATGCGGACATATTTTTTAAATCGGTGTACGTAAATAATATAACTTAATTCATATTTTTATATAAATCAATATTTGAAGCCGTACCACTTTTTAAATTTTATCTATAGTAGTAAATTAATAAATAAACACCTGTAAAAAGAAAAACATCTTCACTCTTAGTTACAAATAGAAAAAAGGAGAAATAAGTGTTATACTATTAATTATTAAAAACTATAAACAAAGAAAGGAAGTTTTATTATTAATTAAATTACTTACATTATTTAATGTATTATTATTTTATTAACTGTATATTTATATTTTTTAATTTTATTGGTTGCCATTCATAAACGAAAAATTAATTTTGATTTATTAAATTTTTAAATGTATTTAAAAATAATTTTTATATTATTTTCAAGTAATCGAGTATTTTGATTAATGTATTATTATGTTTATTTGAATTATTTTAAGATTTATCACAAGAAATAAATTCAATGGGAAAATTTCTTAAAGAGAATACAGATGAAGATAAGTCACGTACTGGAGATATTATGCTAACTATAGGAAAATCTCTTATTTTTTGTGCTCAACAACATTTAATTTTGCACGAACCTTTAATTAGATTTTATCACGAACTTGAAACTTTTCGACAACGAGCAGTTGGTGACACACTGCATAATGTTTTAGCTATGGAGAAAGCTCGAACGGAATATAGGGCTGCTTTGTCTTGGATGAAAAATATATCTCAACAACTTAATCCAGATACAATAAAACAGTTAGAAAAATTTAAAAGAGTACAACATCAAGTAAGAAGGTAATATATAAGTTGTATTCTCATTTTATTTAGAAATACTCATATATACTTAACAACATCAAATGAGATTAAATAATTACTTCATCTAATAATTAATCTTTTATTTAATTAAACATATTACACTATAAAATTCATGTACACACTCTAATTTTATAATTAAAAAATTTATTATGATGTAGAAATAGGATATGTAATATATGAGATTTATATTTTTGTGTCTTTTTTTGGAATATGTTGAAATAAATAAAAGATTCTTATATTAGAAACTAGATAAAAACTTTCAATAAAAAAGTATACGTAACAATTCTAAAAAAATTTGTATTATAATAAATTACAATTCTTTACAAAAATTGCTTCCCTTCACCAAAAAATATAATTATCGTGAGAAACACTATTTATTCCAATTTCCGTATTAACATCTCTTTAAATTTTAAATATTGAATAGATTACAGTAATGTTGAAATTTCATTTTATTTTTATCTATTATTTTAAAATTATAAAAAAAAAACGAATTAACTGTCGCTAATTTATATAATTGTATTCAGGGGTAAATTCAACTTTGACAAACAATCGCTGGATTGCTTACAAAAAATAGATTTACTCGCAGCTGCTCGTTGTAATATGTTTAATTATGCATTGAGTTTATATCAAAATAAATTGATGAATTATATTGAAAAAACTGCTAGGACATTTTCTACAATTTCAGCAAGTTTTGAACATCAAAGTAAAATATCTGATAAAATTGATATAAAAAGATTAAAAAAGAATGAATTAGATTCTAAAGAAGATAAACACATTAATCAAAAGTAAGTATTTATTATATTTCAAATAATTGTCAGAAGAAAAATATAAAGAAAATTTTTAAATGTTTCTTAAAAAGCTTTGAATTTATTTTCGAATGTTTTAAATTTTTTTAATGTATTTATAATATTTCATTTGTGTACTTGTTATCAATTACATATATTTTTATACAAGATTATACTAATAACTAGTTTTCAAAATGCTATTTTTAATTTTGTACAACTGTTGATCTTATAAGAGTTTTCATATACATATTAAAGCAACAATTACATATTAACTCAAATTTAATTTATGTATAATTGCGCTATATGTCTAAAACAAAAAATTTCAAATATGAAATACAGAAATACTTTAATTTTTTAATTTTTAACAAGTTCATGAATATTTCCATTTTACATACAATTATAATTCGTTTTTTAAATCAAATATGAAAAAAAATGATACAAACAAATTTTGATAATATTGATAAATATTCTAAATAAATTCTGAAAATAAATATTATACATATTGCTTACATTAAAATGTTCCATTTAGTAAGAAAAAACTCGATCAAGAGACTAAAATAATAAAATTATAAAAATTTTATGACCGTAAAATAGACAAATTGAGTTCTCTTTATGTATGAGTATGTTTAATATGTGCTTCAGTAATTAAAATTCATATTTTATCCATTCATCCAATAGTGATATTATTTCTTTAAGTATTATAATGATAGTATTAAAAAATGATAGTAAATTAAAATGACACAGTTGTCTGTAAAAGTATAAACTTCCCATTGTTTACACATTATTCTATTTTGAAAATGATTACACGTAAGATTTTTTTCGTCTAAACATAAGGAAAACCCCAAACCAGAAAATTACACGCAGACAAAGATATCCTTTTATTATAGTTATATCTTTCTAAATACTTGTTTGCATAATATAAATTTCAAATTATTCATTTAAAAAAATTTACTTTGTTTTCATTTATATTTTTAAGATTCATATTTTAATAAATTACTTCATTTTATAATTGTATATTAATATTAATAAGTTTTTCAAATAAAAATTTTCTAATTTGAGTATATCTTACTGAAATATCTTGATTTACATGAAGACAAATTTATTTTTTAGAACAGCGTTCATGTTAAGCATGTGCCGCTTTTATTTAATATAAATACAGTATATGTAATACTTTGATAATTATAATGTTATATTCATACAAGAAATTTTCATTCAATACAACCAGTATATTTATATGTTTATATTTTTATATATGTAAAAATAATTTTTAATGTTTGATAATTTGAGACTAATATGACAAGATAATTATTAAACATATATAATTATAGAGTAAAAATTAGTTTTTCAAGAGACTTATGAATTAATATAAATTTTATAAGTTTTTATAATTACATGTAATATATTTGTTCATATGTTAATAGTTCAGAATTTCTTAAAGATAAAGCGTCATTAATAAATAATTCGTCAATCGGTACAAGTATGTTTGGTACGTATATAAATTAAAAATAATGTTGAAAAAGGTATTTGAATAAATCAATGTTAATATTTTTAGATGAATTCACTACTGAAAATATAAAATGTAATCAAATGGATGTAAGTAATATACAAGATTCTTTACTACGATTTTGTGATTGGGAAATACCTAATAGTTCACGCCACTCGTACACTCAAGAACAGAGTATTGAATTAGAGAATGTATCAATATCTAAGTACAAAAATAAATACAATGAAGTTTCTAATACAGAAGTTTTAAAAGGTGAAGATATTTATGAAAAAAATTATAATACTGAAGATGAAAGTAACTTTCTCCCTTCAGCATTTTTGAAACAAAGCTTAGAAACTGCCCTTAATAAATCGAAGTCATCAGAAAACAATTTTCTTACAGATAAGAATAATGTTAATAAAGCCGAGGTAAATATATCAATAAAACTTGAACATTCGTTTAATTTTATGAATTTATAGAATTAGTTTATATATATATATATATATATATATATATATATATCTGAATATTTTAAATTACTTTGATTTTAAGAATATATATCGTTTTTTATATCTAATATATTATCTTTTATATCACTACATATTGATTTAATGTAGATTATTCATGCAAAATAAAATAATTTAAAATTTCTATAATTATTTTTAATTGATTTAAAAATTCCGAATAAATTAAATGTCTTGTTAAAGAGAAATTAAATAAATATATTTATTATTCAAAGATGTTTTATTGATAAAATGGAAAGGATAAACAGCAGCTAGCCTTTTTCTAAGACTTTTAATAAGTTTCTCGTGATATAAAAACAAATTTGTCTATTTTAAGTAGTTAAACACCTGTGTTTTTGTAAAATTTACTTTGAAGTGCAACATTATAGAAATTTTGTCGAATCTCGTGTAATTTAATAAATTGTTAGCGTTATACAGATATTTTTTTACATTTTATATGTTCAATATGACTGATTTGAAATTCTATGATTATTTTTGCACTTGAACAAAGTCTATGAAATATAACATTTTTAATATCTTGTATGCTTTGTCCTTCTTTTGTTCGCTATTTGAAGACGTTGTTACTGTGATTAAATATGATTATTTCTGTTAATATTCTGTAATCACTACAATCGCATTTCTGTTTCGAAAATGGAAAAAAATGCTATATTGTGATTTTGCTGATATATTTATTGAAAATATATTTGTTCCAATGATTTTGATTTTAATTTTATAATTCAATTTTTGTATTTAAGCAACTTGGCATTATTAAACAGATATATTGTATTTTATATGCTATATAAATGCGATTCAAATACGATTGCAAATGAAATGAGCAATGGTTTGAAATTTAGGAACTGTGTACTCTGTGCTAGAGAAAAGTAATAAATAATAATAAAACTCAGTTTCGCATGTATATATTTTCAAATAATTAAAAAAAATTATGTTAAACATTAAAAATATTAAATATACTAAATACACTATTTCATATGTTACTGCAGATGGATTGTTTGAAAAATAGTGACAATACTAAATCTTGGATGAATTTATTCGAAGACTTGGACCCATTATCAAGTAATTTAAATGAAAAACTTACGAAGTATAAAAGTCCATTTGTTTAAATATAAATGTTTGAGAGAATATTTATTTTATTTTATTAATTATGTTATAAAAATATTTCATAATATATATAAAAATAAAGTGTAATTATTTTATTTAATCCTTTATTACAAATGTGAGTCTTTTTATTATAATAAATTATATGTTTATTTACTATATTTAAAATGGAATAAAAATTGCAACATGTAATTTAGTTATATTTGACTAATGAATTCGAAAAAATGTTGTAAATTTTATATTAAAAATGGTGACTTATATTTAGTAAATAACAAATATTTCCAATTTAATAAATTTATAATTTATATTAGCAACAATTTTAACAAAAAGCAGTTAAATATTATTTAGTGCAGTATAATAAATAATTATAAATACTGGTTCAATATAAAAGTTATTACAAATTGAAAAGCAATTTAATAATTGCTTTTATAAGAAATAGACATTAAATTTTGATGCTCAAATATATACTACGTTAATAAATTTACTATGTTTTAATTAATGTTTAAAAATATGATACCATCAACATAAAACACTATGTTAACACGAGTTTATAGTTTGCATACATGTCTTGTACCTTTAGGATATGATATTTTGGATCTATTATTGAAATATACATTTATTCTCGAACATTTTAATTTATTGCAAAATTACCGATTTTTGTTTAAAATTCTTTTAATTCTAACTATTTTAAGCCATAATTGGAATAAAGAATGTAGCAAAATGATCAAGCTTATTATTTAAGAAACTGAGGTTTACCTTTTTAATATAATAAAACATCTTCAGATATTGGACAACATACTGTGGAAATAATTGACTTTTGAAATATAAATATTCAATCACAGCTTCATATTCATCACTATTTGATTGTTTAATTAAAATTTTGTGCCTATATATTTTTTTCTTTGTAAGAAAATAATAGAATTAAATTATTTTAGAAGCAAAACATGTAATTTAAACATTATTTTATGAACAAATGTAGGGATTAAACGAAAGACATTTTGTAAACTATCTGGATGTTGATAAATACATATGTTATGCTTTGTGGAGAACGTTGACAATACATTTTAAATGATTCAGTAATTTTCCATGAAATATATTTAATCTTCAATCAATTCCGTATATTTTTAATCCCATACATAAATATAATAGCTGAATATTACAGAAAGTAGAAAAGAAAAAGCATTTCTGAATCTTAAGTGTATTTTAAGTTTATTTAACGAACTTAATTATTTATTACACTAATGTATTTTAAAATAATACGTTCTTTTATAACAAACTTTCAAAGTATAAAGCTTAGTGCAATACAATTATAATAATTAGAAATATATAAATAATATTTTGAAAAAAATTTTTTTTATAAAATATAATAAAACCATTTCTTGTAAACATATCGTTTTTCTAATGTTTTATGATTGATAAATGTATCTTATTTTATTTAAATAAGTTCGAGATGCTTCGGGTTTGTTATGTAGAAACAGTTGAATAATTCATTGATGATATCATTAAAGATTGCAAAAAATAAAGTATTTGCTCAAAAGATATTTCTACGGAATACTTCATTTTTTGGCACGTTAATAGACCAGAATTTATGTAATTATTAACTTGAAAATATTTTATTTAATATTGAATTAAATTTGCAACTGAATAATAATTAAACATAATATAATTATTTAAAAAGTCATAGAATGCAAATGAATGAAATACATTAAACATTCCGATTTTGAATGCATATATATGAATGAAATATGTTTATTTTTTAAGATAAGTGCATTTGTGTAACATTTTATAAAATAAATATAATTTACTGTTCATGTATACAGTTACTATTAATGCAAAAAGAAAAAATAGTCGCTATAAACTATTTTTCTTTATACGGTTTAAGAGTCGTGTATTCACTTTTATTTTAACGTATAATCAACCTGTTTAATGAATAATGTAAAATAATTATAAATTACAGTGTATAAATTCAATGCATACGCATACATTATAAATTATTTGCATTTTTTATATAATAAAAATTGTGTATATTAACTATTAAAGCAATGATTTAAATAATTATTATATACTCGATATTCTTTTAATAAATACGCATGCGTATTAAATATTTTTCGTTATTTTAGGTTAGAAAATCATCTTTATCACATTTATAATTATAAATAAATGATTTAAATATTATGTAAATAAAACTATGGAGCAAATTAAATTAATATGTAAGAAATTTATTGATGTTTGAAGGAACTATGAAAAGTAATATTCTAAAATAACATAAATAGTTAAAATGATTAGTATTTTTATTATCTTATATTAAATAAAATTTTAAAAATTATTTATTTAGTTATCAATTGATTAACAATTGTAAATAAAATTGTTATATCTAATTAATACGGGTTAACCTATATGTTTAGTATTATTTAATTTACTGTTTTATAAACGAGTTTAGATGGAGCATGTAAAGGCAAAACTATTGCTTATTTGAATGTCATTAAAGTTTTTCGTATCATTTCTTAAACAATTATTGTTTATTAATAATGTTCCTGTTAAATATTTAGTCATTTGAAGTAAATGATAGAAATATTTGTTATGGTGTTATAAGTTCATGTTTAAATGTAAATTAAGTATTCGTGTTAAAAATAAAAATTATTTGAAAAATGTCTGAATTCGTTGATGGGTGGATTCTCGGAGATATATTAGGAGAAGGGGCATATGGAGAGTAAGAAATTAAAATCGTATAAATTCGTTTAAAATGGATATTAGTTTTTACATATAAGAAAGGGATAAGGTAAACTCAAAAATTTTGAATTAAAAACACTTGCCCTCAATATAAAATTTTATGAAATAGTTATTTATATTAAAATGTCAATAAATATTAATATTATTCTATAGAGTTATAAATTTATAATTGAATTGTTAATAAAGATGCAAGTAATATTTTCTTTTGTTGTGAAATATTTCAGTCCTATATATTTCAAGCAATTTTTACTTTAATTTATGAGTACATTATAATACATAAATTCAAAGTTATTGCATTTTATTATGTTAAAAAAATCAGTTTATGTTTAAAAGTAAATTTTGATTTGAAACTTTATTATCATTTTTTAAATTAAAACAAATTGAATAAATTCATATGAGTTTTACAATCTTCAATTATTAAAAAAAAAAATATGTAACAGGATTTTCTTTGTAAATGTATTATGATTATATTATTATTATATATATTATGATTATGAATCTATTATAAGATTAAAATACAAATAATTATAATGTAATAAATTAATAATATAATTACATTACAATATATAATTTTCAAATAATTTACATTAATAATATGTAATGTTAAAACATATCAAAATATTGATTCTTATATTTATCTTCTAAAGTACTATTTTTAAATAAATAATAACATTAAGTATAGTTTGCAGAAGAGGTAATATTAATAAAAGTATTACATAGTAGTTTTACGTGATTGTAATATATTCAATATTTTATTTTAAACAAAATAATTTGCTATGCTTTATTTTTTGAATTTTCAATATATTATATTATTTATTAAAATTTATCTTATAATTCATTTAGAAAAAATAGAATATAAAATTTTGTTATATTATGAGAATATATATAAAATTGATAAAAATATATGTAAATATATTACCTGTATATTTTGTAGAGTATATATAAACTTATTTTTTTGACCTTAATTATAACTCAATATGTTCGTTATCATCATTTTGTAGAAAAAAAGTATTTAACACTTTCTTTGTTTATCAATTTATGCCTTAAAAGATTGCAGCAGTATAAAAATGTTACATAATATTTTCAATAAAACCAACTATTATTATAATTCTTTGTATTTCTTTTTATATTAATTAAAAAATAATAAATATAAATTTTTTTTATATATTAATTCATAATTATGTTACTTGAAATTTAAAATTAAGAAATAGCATATTAATATTTAAACATTTTTTTGCTTATAATTACATAATAGTTCAATTAAAACTAAATAAGTAATTTAATCATTTTAATAAATGTATAATTAAAATAATAGTATTTATAAATCATTGATATAAAATAGTAAAATATTTAAACCTTAATTATAACAAATTTTTTTGACAATGATTTGAAGATCTATGTAATAAATTTTTTAATTTAAATAATATATTCTAAATTTGAAATTTAAATAGTCTTTGAATGTAAATTTATTTTATAATGTAAATTTTTAAATAGTCTTGAAATGTAAATAGTCTTTTAGATATTGATTATATAGAATTATAATCTACTAGTTTTAAGTGTTCAATTAAAGTTGGAATTTTGTGCTTTAGGAAATTAAATGTAATTATTAAATTAATTTATAATTATTGGATATTTTGTTTTTTGGATATGTTCTTTTTTTAATTATTAGATATTTTTCCATTCTTAAATAATTTTGATATGCTCGTAATTATTATGTCGTAGTAATTCTGATATTTTTACTTTATTTTAACTTTTATTTTTACTTTCATTTTTACTTAAATATATATTTAGTATTTCTTTATTAAGAAAAATATAATAATTAATTGTTTAAATAGTATTTGTTTGAAAATTAGATAAATTTTAAATCAAAACATAATGGCATTTAACATTACAACCTATAGTCTTAATTTAGCCGTATACAAGTATTTTTAATTAAAAACTGATTCAGATATTCAGATAAGATAGAGTAAAAAAAAAATAATTATTTTCTAATATATAAATTTATTTTATCTTTAAATTTTTAATTTTATATTTTCTAAGAAATATGATTTTATATCTATTAAATAAATTTATACTGTAAACAATCAATTATTAAAAAGAGTTAAGAGTTTTTACTAATCGACTACAATTTTTAATTAATTTATATATTTTTCTAAAATTATATTTATATACTTCTAAAATTATATTTATATATACTTCTACATTTATTATTAAATTATATTTATATATATTTCTAAATTGTATTGTCATATATTTATAGTAAATTGAAAATTACGTATAGTATTCCATTCAACTCTTGAAATTTACATCTTATCCAATAGACGTGCACATTTTCATGAAATTTTTATAAATCAATATATTTTACTACAAATATGCAGACATTTTTTGCATACTATATATATATAATGTTATCTAAATATACGTTTTAACTTAATTGTTGTTTTACTATATTCTATGTTATAGTTGTACATTTTAATAGTATTATTCAAATTTAAGTCTTTGATTATCATGTCAATTTAATTTTAATTTATTAGGTTTGTGACAGAATATGAAAAATACTTAATTTAAAAAAGAAATGTTTATATACTAAAAATATCTTACAAGAAATTTGTTTGTATAATAGAAGAAGAAAAAACGAAATAATATAAAAAATATTTTCTAAATATACAATCTTTTTTTGCATAAGTATGTTTATATATCTAAACACATATATTATTTTATATACCATAAAGATAAACTGATTCGGAACGAGGAAAAGGCAATCTAAGAATAACATAATATAGTAAATAAGATTACATCTGGGATATATGATTTCCTAGCGTATACTTTTTTATACTTGTACAGCTTTTTGGTACAAACCTAAGTTAAGCGATAAAAAAAATTGACGAATGTTAATTGATGTAACAAAGTATGTTTATCTCGAAAAGTGATAGAGAAAATGTCCTTCTTTTCGTTATATTTTAAATATGAAGAGCTATTATGTCGAGAAAATTTGAATGTTGTTACAATTTGGTTTAACACCATTGGGTGATTGCATTTCATTTTAAGTAGTACGAAAATGATATAACACTCCTATATATATATATATATGTCTATATATTTGAAAGTATCAATGTAATTATTTCTTATTTATAATTTCAAATATGAAAACAAATATAACTAGCTGTATATGTAATATATTATACGAATGTATATTAGAATATGTTCTCAAAACTACATTATGTATAACGGAGTTATATAAGTATATGTATTATAAAAAAATATTGTTTATTAGAATTAGTATTAGTACTAGATTAATCGGAATTATCAATATTAAAAGTTATTTAGATATAGTCACGTTATAACGTTACAATTATAATTGTTTATGTTCTCTAGATTATTAATTATAAATAATTACATTAAATTTTGTATGCGCATATGTGCATATATAAAGATAGATAACATTTTAATTACATTATTTTAAAATGTTACTTAAATATAGAGTTCGTCTTGTTGTAAATAAATCGACTGGAGAAGCAGTTGCTATGAAAATGGTTGATCTTGGTAAGCATCCAGATGCTCGTAATACTGTAAGAAAAGAAACGACAATTCATAGAATGCTTTCTAATCCTTACATTATTCAATATTTTGGTCAACGTAGTGAATCAAATATTGAATATATTTTTTTGGAATATGCATCTGGAGGAGAGCTTTTTGATCGAATAGGTGATTTTGTTTATTATATACTTACGTAATTTAAATTGAATTTATTTTTCATAATTTTATTAATTTATGCAAATGAATGCAGAACCGGATGTGGGTATGCCGATTGAAGAAGCACGAAAATATTTTCGACAACTTATAATTGCAGTTGAATATCTTCATAGTCGAGGTGTTGCTCATAGAGATCTAAAACCTGAAAATTTATTGTTAGATGCCAATGATAATTTGAAAGTTTCTGATTTTGGCTTAGCAACTGTATATCGATTGCATGGCAAAGAACGTTACTTGAATAAAAAATGTGGAACATTACCGTACGTTGCTCCTGAAGTTCTTGAACGACCTTATCATGCTGAACCAGCAGATATTTGGTCATGTGGTATTATATTAATAGCATTATTAGCAGGAGGTAATTAATATTTTTGTAAAATTCATTAATTATGTTCATTTATCTAAAATACTACAATTGATACAACAATTTTATAAGAATTACCATGGGATCAAGCTTCAAAAAATTGTTCAGAATACTCTGCCTGGAAAAACAATAGCTATCATTACTTAACTCCATGGAAAAAATTAGATAGATTATCATTGTTACTTTTAAAAAAGATTTTAGTACATGTACCATCAGTTAGGTCTTCGTTATACGATATAAAAAAGCATGATTGGTATAATACAGGATTTTATACAGGTAAAATTTTTAATATTAGTATTACTATTTTTTTTACTACAAAATGAATATTTTATATTATTAAAAGCTATATATTAATGAAATTTAGGCTTATTATTTATCCAAATTTTGTATTGTCACCTGAATTGCATGAATTAAATGCATTAATAATCCTTGCATGTGTATAAAATTAAACATTATTTAATAGAGTTCTTCATGATGTATTAATAGTAATTGAGCTATACATATCTAAAAATACTTAAATTTTTAATATTTAAGAAATTTATATGTTAATAAGTATAACTATAATAATAGAATGTATTCGTATATTACTATAGTAATTATAATAATTCAGTATTCAATTTAGTGTTTAAATGCCTATAATGAATATTTTTTCTTAGCTTTTCACTGTACATTCATAAAATAAAATGATCTAAAATATTTGTGCTATAAAGTAGCAGCTAATAAAATTAAAACAAAACTTTATATGAATTTTTTATATTATATAAATTAAGATAAAAATAATATTTTTAAATTTTGTGAAAGTTTTTAATCCAACTTAGTATTCTTATTGAATTATTTTACTTAATGCGTAAGTGAACTTATAATTTTTTTGTCATATGGTTCATATTTTTTATAAATCAATTATTTTTAATATTTATTATTACTTAATGTAAATATATTTTTATTAAATTGTAATTTGCAATAATTTCTAGAAAAAAAATCCATTAAAAAAAGTATTAATATTTAATTACGATTATTTACAGATGTAGAATCATGTAATAAACCAGCTTTGGAAAATACACAATTAAATAATATAAAAGAACAAGCCTTTTGTTTTTCACAACCAGAGTTACCACCTGTTGGAATAAGTTTAACAAATATGAAATTTGAAGAAAGAACGGGTTTATCCTTTTCGCAACCCGCGTCTGTTGAGAATCTCTTAGTTTCTAGTCAATTACAAGCTATTAATACACAAGCAAGCCAGGTATTATAACTAAATAACTTAATTATATTTATTTAAAATTAATATAATTTAAATTTTGTTTAATAAAAGTTTGAGTTTTTCAGAATACATTTCAAAATTTGGTTCGTCGAATGACTCGTTGTTTTGCTTCTACAAGTTGTGAAGATACTGTAAAAATAATAACACAATGTTTAGTGAAGAAAAACTACCATTATCGTGTGAATAACTTCGGAATAGTAAGTGTAAAATGAAAACTAACTATTATTAATAGCTATTTTGTTTCAGTAACGGAGCATACTTTTAAGAGATTAAACAAAATCTATACAATATTGTATCTATTAAATGATATTCATAAACTAAATATTCAATTAATGGTTGCATCTCCTTATGTAGTAATTTGGATTAAGACCGTTATTAATAAATGAACGAATTTATTAATTTAATCATGAACTATATATAATAAAAAAATTAATATATTTTAATGTCGATGTAATTAATATTATAAATAGTAGCGAAATTTGTATTTAGGGCTCATTTATTGTATATAAAATCTCTTTCAAGTAAAAGCGATTAACATCGGTTTATAATATAAACTGGAACTTGGAAGGATCTACTTAAATAGATCTATTCTAGCACTATAAAAATTGAAAGATATTCAGTACTCACGGAAATTTAATAATCAGAATTACAATTGAAAATCATGATTTTTGAAATATTGTTTAGATTATAGAGAATCATGCCCTTATAAGATGTACACTTATGGTAACTTTAACATCGTATTTAATTTACAATATCGATATGAATTTTATTCCCCTATTTTCTAAACTCATTAATCAAATTTTTTATCAATTGTATATTCTTCTTCGATGTTGCCACAGTGCTCATTTTTATGAACAATATTATCTAACTAAAGCTTAGTGAATATCCATATATAACTTATCAAAATAGTTAAATGAATGTGTCATTAATATATTATTCAGAATAAAAGAATTCAACTTTTGTAAGAAATGCATTCTAAGAAAATAATTAGCTTTCAGAATTTTTAAAACGACATTCTTATCAAATGTTAAATGTCAACTTTAATAATAAAATGAAGTTGGCAATATAAATCCAATCTCATATTGAAATATTGAGAAAGTTTTTTGCTTTCAATCAATACTGTTTGTAAATTAATTGGTCTTAATATTGTACAATCTTTCTAATCCAAAATTTCCAGAAATCAAATATATGGAATCTATTAATACAAACAATTGTACACTATTTTGCAGAATTGTTTGACATGTTCACTTTCTGTAAAATTACAAATACATTTCCAATTTTTTTCACAAAGAAAATGAAGCTTTTATAAGCTGGCGATTAATTAAACTTATTCCATTTATATTTAAAGAAAAATAGACAAACTATAAATCTTTTAATTATTATTTTTCTTTTTATAATATATATTAAATATAATCTTAAGCAATTAAAATAATATATTATAAACGAGGAGCCTTTATTGTATTATATAGATATATTTTTTAGACTGAAAAATTTATGGAAAGTCCATTTATTTATGCACAGAATATACATATATTTAGAGCTCCAATTTTAATAATATTAATTATTATGTAGATACCAATTTCAAAAATATAAATTCATAGATTATACTAAAATTAATTATTTATATACATAAATTTGTTATTTGTATTTTTTAATGTTAATATCATTGATATATTTTTTTTCAGATCACAATATCAACTGTGGATAAGAGAAAAATGCCATTGGTATTTAAAATTAATATTATCGATATGGATAATAAAACCTTGATAGATTTTCGTCTGTCAAAAGGATGTGGTATTGAGTTTAAAAAGGAATTCGTAAAAATAAAAACTCTTCTTAATCATATACTTTTAACGAGTAATAATATATAAAATTACAAACAAAATCATGCAGAAACTTGTATTTATTAAAATCATTCCATTTTCATTTTTATTTGTTTCAAAACATTTATATATATTTTTACTTACAGATAAATGTGTATTTTGAATGATCTATATTATGTATATTTATATATATAATATTTAGAGCTAAACACTAACTTTAATGTTTTAATTTTTGTATACGTTCATTTAATGATGTAATATCACAGGCCATTACTTCCAAATTACTAGCGAAATTTTTTTGTATTCCTTCTAATAATGTTTTATTATTTATCAAGGTTCCATTTATAGTTTCTTGTAAATTTTCTAAATCTTTCAGTTGATTTCCAAATTCGGCAGCTGAAAAAAAAATTAAATTATTAATATACGATATAAATTTAATTGTTATACATCAAAATATAATTGTAGATGAATATGAAATTTGTAATTCATAATTTGACTCACTATATTAATGTTACCAAGTTTTTTGTTGTCTAAAATTTGTTGCTTAATTTATCAAAGGTAAAGAATGAGGTTTAAATTGGTCATATATAAGACTTTAAAATCCATTGTGAATTTATTTTTGCAATTGAAATTTAAATTTTATTAACAATTACTCGTATAAAAAACTAAAAACAGAACAACATCAGAGGACAAATCTGGTCAACTTGACTTTGATAAGGACAGAACCAGTTAAATAAAAAATATATAAAATATTAAGAATAGTATAAACAAATTGATAATATTTAAGTTAAATTGCTTTCTTGCGATTTGTGCACTTCAAATTTAATTAGATAATTTGGTGGTGCTCAATGATTATATGAAATAGTTTTTAATGGAATTTTAATTCTGACATGCGCTTGTTCACTTGACTGAATATTTTTATCTATTTATATTGTAAAAATTGCTACAGTTAAAATGTGTGATTACTTGATATAGACAAATGGTAGAAATAATGTGTAAATATAGATTAAGTTAACATTTTCAAGATACCAATGAATAATTATTCTTTATATAATATGTCTTATTTGTTTGTGTAATTAATGGTAAAAGTAAATTATATTAAAAAGTGTAATATATTTTTATTATACTCTATGGGTATTCATTATATAAAACTGCAAGATGGATGCCAAAAGCTGTTACATAAGATTGAATTATTTCAATAAGTTAAATTAATAATTACATTAATTTTGAAATTTCGAGTTATAATTATATGTATAAGTAGATTTCAAATAGATTTGTTTGTACTTTATTTATAAAAGATAAATTATTTCAATAATAATTTTATTTTATTTTATTTTTCATTATAAAATATTAAATTAATAATATAAAAAATTCATGAGTTTCTGCATATCAAAGTTTAATTATAAATCAATAAAAACAGAACGGTAAATTAAAGAACTAAAAAACCGTTAATTTAAAATGCCTGAAAATGAAATATTGTAATGTTAGAAAATAATAATGCTCAAAAGAGAATAAATAATAAATGCAAAACTTTTTTATAAAAAAACCGTAAGTACTAGTGGAAAAATAAAGTTCAAATACCTATTGTCATTCGTTTTTTAAACTGCATTTGTAAAAAATAAATACTTTATTAATAAATGGACTGTATTATTTGTGGAATAACTATTATATACCGATGTCCTTTTGTGATAGCCTAATTGTATAATTATATAAATAAATGCAAATATAGTGTTTAAATTGTGAATAGTTACAAAATATATTTACTATTAAATACTTAAGTTTATATATAACATGATAGTATACTCATTACAATAAAATAATATTGAAATAAGAAATATACTTTGATTATCTAGAGAAACTTTGGATATGTTGTAAAAATATTGTATCCTTACCTTTTCGATGTAAGCCATTCAGTGATAGCATGCGATCAATTGTTTGAGGTAGTATTTCAGAGCAATTTTGAGACTTTTTTACTAAATCATATAATTCTTCAACCTAAAATTAGCACAAAGTTTATTACATATATTTATTATAATATTTTTAATTTATATAATTCAATTTTTTATTATGTTATAAATTAGATTCGTAAAAATAAAATAAATATCTGTGTACTTATAAATAAATTAATATAAATAGTTTATTTGAATAGATCGTTTTTTGGATACAAATACATTTTTTTTTTAATTTTATAAAAAAATGTTCGTTTCTTTAAAATTGAACTTATGTAAAATAAATTTGCAAATCAAGTTGAGTAATATAAGTATTTATGACTTATATACTATTTTATATAATAAATATTTAAATTATAATATATGTATAAAATTAGACAAAATTGAAATATACAAAAAAAAAAGAATAGGAATTTCCTATCAAAATTGTGTGATTATATTTTCTTTAAGGACATATCTGCTTCTTATGATAAATTAGATTTTTTAAATATTCTAAAGAAATTTTTAAAAACACCAGTTACTAATTGAAATATACAAAAGTACTTATATTGATATTACTAATAAGTATGTATCAATGATACGTGAATAAATTAAAAGGAATTTAAATGTTTCTTTCTAAATATGAATACATTTGAAATAAAAGTTTATGTATTATAATGTAAAGTAACTTAAATACTTACTATTAATTCATGTTTCGAATCTTGTTTTATAGATGTTTTCTTTAATATGACTTTATCTATTTTATCAATCAATGAAGTAACTTTATTTTCTAAAATATCTAACTGTGTACTATTTAATAAACAAGCACTGGCCATTAGTTTTTCAATTGATTTTGTAATACCTTTCGATTTTAGAATCTAAACATGAATTTTTTTTTAATTTTTATTTTAAAAATAAATTAGAAAAGTTATGTGTGTATGTATATGTATTTGAAGCTGAAGTTAGGAATATTTAAATTTCATACAATAAAAAAATTATTTAAACTTGAAGTTTCTTTCGAAATATCATTTAAAATATAAAACATTAAAAAAATAAAAATTAAATGCATGCCACACATGTAACTTCTTAATAGTATGAAATATAAAATTTTATTTCACATATAATTTACAATGAATTTATATATGATTGAATGTTATATCAACCAATCAAATCTGGCAAATCAGACATCAAAATAGTTTTGTCAACTAAACATATATAATTAAAAGTTACAAAACTAATCAACTATTAAGTAATAAATAATAATGTATTCATTAACTTACTAAGCAATATTAAGCATTATGCTACAACAGAAAATTAACCTTAAATTATAACTGTTACTTTTTTGTAAAACCTATGATTTCTACCAATTATTAAGAATTGAAAATACTAAATAATTAATGGTACCCCTTATGTTTGTCATGGATCAAATAAAATTGGTCTGAAAAATAAAATAAAAAATTATCTTATACTAAGTTCTATGAAGTATTATGCTTAAAATTGTTAAAATATGGATGAAATAAAATTAAGCAATAAGGAATACAAGAAAACAATTGAAATAGAAATATTAAGTAAATTATGATTAGCAAGTAGGTTCGCATGAACCAAATAAAGTAAATTATTAGCATTTCATAAAATGACTGTTGACAGTAATGAAATTTATCAGCTATTGTTATACTACATGTATTTAATAAAATCAACACTGCTATATAATCGGCATCTTCCGAATATAAAATAAAGATTACTTATTCAATAAAATAATGACTTATGATCTTAGTTTTCAAATACTCAACATTGGTCACAGTTGATTAAACAATTATTAATTTTGTAGATGACTGATATTGAAATAGTACTAAAATCTTATACTAAAATCAAACGAACACTGAAAAGATAATTTAAAAATAAAAATAATTGACTTATTTCTATAACTAATCAAAGTAGACTCCATAATTTATTTGGAATAATCAGAAACTATTTTTTAGACAAATTTGACTATTTGATAATTGTTTGAAATGTTTGAGGTCTATTTTTATTTCACATAGGACTTAATCTGAACGGAATACTGATCTTGCTGAAATTAATTTAAGCTACGTTTAAGCTAATTATTAAATTTTTCTGTTAATTTACGTTGGAATTTAATTGCTGGAATTCAATTTCAAAAAATGGGTAACAACCTGATGTAATTATGACAATACAATTACATATTTATTACATTATATATTATACAATAATATTAAGCTAATGACAGTAAAGGTTGGTTTTAACAAATCTCTAAAGTAATGATCCATAAGCTATAGCATTGGATACAAAATTAATACGGATAGTTTTATTAGTGTAAATTAGTTGTATTAAAACTTTTGAAGTTTCGTTAACATTTATTTTTGTTTTTTACCGGTGATATGACGTTCATTTTTCACTGGTGATACTGACAAATCAATAGTGTGATTGTTTAAAACATGTTCAATTAAGATCTATATATTATTTCTAGAATAAAATACAGTTGTTAAATTCAATTTAAGAGATGTTTTAATTTTTTTAAAAATATAAATTTACTATAATTTATTGTCTTACGTAATATTTTAAAAGAAATATTTGAATTAAAAGAAGTCATTATAATTTAAACGTTTTCAACTTCAAGCTTATATGATATACATACACACATATATAAAAATAAATACCTGCGAACATTTGGTAGTATTATCGTTAGAGATTCCTATTATATTTTCTACATATCCAAGTCTTTTTTCTAGATGACTAATTCTCGCCAAATCTTGTATTTTTGCTTTATCAGGAAAATAAGTCATTTGATATTTTAATGTTCCATATTTTGTTGGTCCCTGCGATTGTAAGTTTATATCTTTAACGGGATAGCTGCTCTCAATATAATTTTTATGTTTAAATATTTCTATTTGAGATGCTAATTCTCTAAAATAAATCATTAATTATCAGAAAATTTATTTGACCCAATGCAAATATGTAAATAATTAAATATTATATCTACTTAAAACGAACTTCTTGAAAATTTGATAAATACGTAATTGAAGTTTCACTTAAACTATCTAGATTTAAAGAGTCCAATTCTTTCCCAGTACACTCAATTTGATAAACTAAATCTGTCACCGATTTAGAATCTTCATTGTCTTTAAGGTTTCTCTATAAAATAAAAACATAATATCAAAAATAAAAACAAACATAAAGTAATTTAGATTCAAAGAACTTTTACATTGGTTTCTTTGTGTTTCGAATCAACATAAATAACAATTTTAAGGATCATCAATTTTATTAAAATACATTAATACTATATTACAAACAGAATATATATATAAATGATTCAAAATTTCAATATATCTATATTATAATAAATATCGTATATTCCACTTTATTGAGCGATAAAAACACTACTTTTACGATAATAATATTGTAGATTGATGCGACTATACAGAATCGTTTTTTTACGATATTTTAGTATGAGAATTATTTAACAATAATTAATGTTCATATTCAGTAAGAAACATAACTAATAATAAAAACAATTAAAAGTACGATTTTTATAGAAATATTTTTAATACCTGTACTGTTAATATTTGATCTCGTAATTCTTGCATTTCATGCTGAATTCTTTGATATTTTTGAATAGGTGCTTCATTTTCACCATTGCTATAATATTCCCACTGACTATTGTTGATAAAGAAAATAACGAACATATTTATAAAATATTTCATATATAAATGTGAATTAACTTACTTAATTATAAAAAAAACAAAACGAATTAAATGTCTTTCATCGAAATATATGTATTATATTATATTATATTATAATAAAACCAATAAAAATTATATAATTTATAAAATTAATATAAAAAAAATTTCTATAGGAAAATATATGAATATATATTAAAAAATGCAATTTATTATAGATATTTCAATTATCACAAAGATTATACAAATAATATTTCTTAATTTATAATGATGTTAAATTATAATGAGATCATGTTTTATAAAACCTATATCTTTTAAAATATATTGATTAACATATATTGATAAGGAATAATGATGTTATTGATGTGAAAATATATTGATAAGAAATAATGATGTTATCTAATATAAATTTAATGTTATTAATTTAACATGAAGCTAACTTATATTATTTGTTCTACAAATTAAAATTTTTTATTTTATTATTTATGATTTTATGATATTTATTAATACAAGGAAGACATCACACGTTAATGTAGAGAAAATAAAAATGGATTTGTCACTAATTTGACATAACTAGAATATAATATTTATAAATATAAATGAAATAATTTAAATATAACATTATGAATAAATTTATTTATTTATTTATTTACATTGTGAATTGCAAATTTTTTTTACTAAATATCTAACTATTTAACTAAAATTCAGCAAAATTCATCAATATAAATACAATGAAATATTAACTTTAAAATACTAATTACAAATTACTATTCTAATTCTATACAAATTCTAATATTTTATATTATCTTGTATTTTTCACTCTTAATATATATAAAAGCAATGACACATGCATAAATCTGAACTGAAAACGGATAATAAATATATAAATTCAAGGCATCTTAACAACCATTTTTTATTATATCTAAATATTAATCCAATCGTTGACTAGGAATAAAATGTAGCTATATAAGACTAATATTTACTTTTTTTGTGATGGAAATTGTTTAATCTTGATTTTTAAATACATTAATTCACAATATAAGTTGAAAATCATTACTCTAAAAATTTGAATTGAATTGTATATCATTTAATTATTAATTATTAATAAATATATAAACAAAATATAAAATCCTATCTTTGTTTAATTTTTAATTAATTTACGTATTAGAACGATACACTTAGTAAAATTGTTGAAATGGAATTATATATTTCTACTTACCATAAATTATAACCTACTTTAGATTTTGATGAAATTCTATCTGAAAAATCAACATCTTTAGAACTCACATATTTGTCTTTAAATTTATTAAATGCATCTGTGGCACTGACATTCACTTTCTCAATTGAATCTTCATCTTCCTGAAAATTTATATTTAAATCATCATCAAAAATATGTAATCAAGAAAACTGGTGCTTATTCATATGTTCGCATTCATGCCTGATGGAAGTTTAGAAATTTTGCACATGTATATAATTTCAATATATGACTCTAGTATTAAAATATAATAAAAATAGTGATACATTATTTTAAAAAATATATTTTTCATTCATAAGCCATAACAAACTTAAAATAAAAAATCAGTAATTTTCTTACAATATATTTACTAACTCTTTGTAATACATATTTTTTATTTACATATCAAAGTTATTTATGTTTTTATTTGCTATTAATATATGCTTATTATATTAATGTGTATTGTAATATAATTGGAAAAAATGTTATTTTAATGGTGATGTAAATTCTTAATTTAATACGCATTGTCTGTAATAATACATAGATTGAAATATATTACGATAATTAATATTGATAAAATTTTAGCTATAAAAATTTTTTTTAAATCATATTATATACTATATATACTATATTTTAACATAATTATAATAATACAAATTCGTAACGAATGTTTTAGAATTTTGAAATTATAAATTTCGTGCAAGTCTTTTATCGAGACTTATATTTCCAAAATTTATTTCAATTAATCATTTTTTTCAGATCCTTATTGTGGTAATATATTTGTTAAAATTGAAATATTAACATGTAATATAATCACACTATAAAATAAAAAAGATATAAAATAAAATAAGTATAACGGGTTTAAGTAATTTTATATACTAATAAGTTTTATTAGTCATTGCAGAATAATGTTCATATTCTATAAATATAAAAGTAATATTATTCTATAAACATAATTTATAAAAGCTTGTGTATATGTTGATGTAGTAATAATCAATTCAATTATAGGATATTGAATTTAAATCCAATTTATTTTCTACTTATTTTATAATTGTATTTATAAAATAATAATATTTTATATATATATAAACAGTATCAAATCACTAGTTCTACAAAATTAAAACTACTCTGTGATTAGTACTTTCCCTTGTGTTCATAAGGTATAACAAATATATTTAATAGAATAATTTGTTAATGTGTGTAAAAATAAAAATAAAGCAAATATAAGTGTATAAACGTGTTTATTATTAATTTTTTGAAATTAAAAACAATAAAATTAAATAATACAAAAACATGATTAAACTTACTTGTGTACAATCAGTAAACTGATTATTTTCAGGTGGGTCATTTGTTTCATAAATATCTGGTTGATCGTATGCCTAAAAATGAAATACACAATTTTATATTAATTATTTAAAGTTCTATTTACTTTTTACAAATAAGATAATATTTAAGAAATCACAAATTGATAATATAACATCAATTTATTTTTATATTTTTATATTTGTATATTATTATTACGTTATTATTAAATTTGTATCCTATTATTATAGTTAAGTTTTAAAACTATATATCAGTTTACAAAAATGTAATATCTGTACTCAAGAAAATTACAGTTAATAATTATTATATATAAGAAATAGAAATGGTTGTGAAGGAAACTGATTTATTAAAAAAATTTATTTAATTTTGTTAAGAAATACACAGATTATTTCAGTTAATTTAATTAATATTTTTAAAAATATAATTAGAGCTAAAAATAACTTAGAGCTTATAAAACAATTCTCATTTTTCATTTTCTAATTTGATAATTCTTTTTATGAAACAAATTGTATAGTAATTTAATTTTAACTCATTTAATGTTACAATTCCCATTTTTTAAATGATTAAAAAAAAAAAATTTTCTATATAAGCTATTTATAATTATTTTTGGGACAATTAATGATCATGCTTTTCTTTAAAAAATTTTTAAATTTTTATTTCCAAAAATATTTTTACAGCTATATTAATATTAGTAATAACTATTAATAATATACGGTTATAACTATTGTTGCTATGGTCCTCAAAATTGTTACATCAACTGATAATCGTTGCCTACAACGTCGTTCTAGCAATCTTACCTCTATATACATATCATTTTCTTACGAGATTCTATTGTATAAAGTTTATTGAAGAGAAAACTTTCATTTTCAAAGTTACTAGATCGATGGAACATTGTTCCGTCTGTTAAAACCTATGTTGTCAAATATTCAATTATATATTGTCACAATAAATAAGTATCTCTTGATTAAATATAATATAAATTCTTATATTATTGTGCTTTAATTTTTTTATAATTGCAAAATATTGTTTTTTTATTTATTAATCATTAACTCCAATCCTGTAAAGATACACCACAAGAAACTTTCATTCAGAATAAATTTTTAAAATATGTATTTATTTTGTTTAACTGTACAAAATTTAACCAATTATTTATAAACTAATTTTTATAAATTGCTACTAATATTTATTTTATAATCGTATACAGAGTTTCACACTCCATGATTTTTTATTATTTAAAATGTCTTTTTATTAAATTTTTTTCCTTATTTCTAGTGAGCACTATTTCAGTTGAATAATGCAATATGAAATCTACCACAGAAAACCATTTAAAATTTGTATATATTTGTTGAACTCATTTATTTTAATGAATAATGGCTATAAACTGACTATAAATTTTTTGCATTATTACCAAAATTTATGCATTAATTTTTTAATTCCTAGGATTTATTTTTATCCTTTATTTACATAGGTTAAATTCAATCATATAAAACATTTTGCTATTAAAATATCATAAAACATTTGATTGGATATAAATTACATATTAATTAAGGCTTTACTTAGTTTTTAATGTCATTATTTGCTGAATATAACAGTAATCTCTACATTTAGTAAATTAATGAATGAAATAAGTATATAATATTCATATGAGGAATGATTAAATAGGTACTATATAATTATATAATATACTATTAATAATGATTACTCTATAATTATAATATAATAATTTTGGAAATAAATTATATTTCAACTCTCAATATCAAAATTAATGTATTTCACTCTGTTACGTATCAGCAATGGTATACAAAATATTTTAAAAATCAGTTTCAGCCTCAACTTAAGTTTAAAAGGCAATATATTAGATTAAATTATCACTTTAATATTACATTATTTTTTAGCTGATTAGCAATTTTAAAAATTTTAATTCAAAATAAATAATATATTCAAGAATTATCTTTTTAACAAATAAATTCTAAGGATTAATTGATATATATTTAATTTCCTAAATGTAATCATGACTATATTAAAAACACTACTTAGTAAACAAAATATGATACTAGATATATTTTGTTACAGAGTAATTGTATATAATTGTCTATCACTTATTTGGTGAAATAAATATAAACAAAAATTAAATAAAACTGACTTGATAATTAAATTAAAAAATTACAAAATACAAGTAATCATATCTGTATGAAGCACTATTGATTCATCACAAACAAATTATGTGTATAAAATTTAAATTATTAATAATCAAAAATATATTATTAGCCTTGGTCCACTACTTTACATTCTATATCATATATAATATAAATTTTATAATATATTTCCTTAAAATTTTAATAAAATATTTATATATTTTCTGTTTAAAGATTCATTTTTATACTTTATTCTTATATGTTAATAATAATAATAATATAATTATTATAAATAATTATACTCAATAAATTTTAATAATGTTAAATATATATTTAAGTCTGAAAAGTTTCTTATTTATAAAAATTGATTTGAAAGATATCTTATTATATTAAAAATATCCGAAAATTAAAATTTTATAATTGTCAATAATATACATTAATTGTCTATATTACTTGTACAATATAATATATTGTAACAGATTAATAAATAATTCTGAATAATTAAAATTACATAAATGGAACATCATATATAATAAATAATAACATCAAATTTCATTTTTACATATTCTAAACATACAATTATTTATTTAATAAAAAATATAACTAAAAATAATTGATATTACACTTAATATATTTATATAATCATTTAATATTAAATATTATAAATCTTTGTTTACTTACAATACCTGGTAGAAAAGCATATTTTGGATCGATCATAGTTATATTATTTTTTATAAAATTATAAATAACGACAGTTTAACAAAAATTTATACCGATTGTATAATTTAAATTTAAAAAAGAATATGTTTAAGATGTTTACAAAATCTTAAAAAAATATACTAAAAGGGGTTAAAGTGCAAACATAAGGGCATAAAATACTAAGGATAGTTATCAATGTTATAAAACGGGATTTGGATCTGAGACATGCGCAGAACGCATTTTCTTAACAAAACATTTATAATGTATGTATGTTTAGTTTCAAGGTTAATTCACCATTTTAATAAGGGTAAAAAACTTCAAAGTAACTTGAATCTAGAAAAAATATATTTATAATATATATTTAAAAAGATAATTTGTATGGAGAAATAGAAAAAGTGCGCTTACCTAAGGATGATAAAAGATGGCATTAGTGTGTCTGATGGTGGGGATTCTTGAGACCTTCTACGGTTCATTGGCAATCGATATTTGATTTGGTTCACTAATAGAATTTAATGGTAATTGCCTGCTCCTTTACAGTAATACAATTAATGGTTCTAATTGTGAATGTTAGTAATTGTCATAAGTGTCTTATGAATGGTTACAAAAAACGCAAAAGTGATTTCAACTAATATCTGTATTTTTTACAAGTTTCCTCAGCACGTTTCGATCATGCTTAACATGATCCGATGACTTTCGTTTTAAAATATATCTTCTCCTAAGTAAATCATCTATAGTTTACCTGTAATTTTTTAAGTAATGCAGTATAATAATTACAAAATAATTAGAAAAACGTTTAGTACGGGGACATTTATTTGGAGTAGAATTTAATACTTCAAAAATTTTATTACTATTTCAGATAGTAAAGAATTATATTTATATATTCATATTTTTATTCAAATATGATTTTAATTAATATCAATTTACTAATAAAGATAATAAAATAATTTTAATTAAATAGATTATTATGATTTTTATGTAATAATAAATTCAACAAAAATAAAGTTTTCTCAATGAGATAATGTGATTCTGTAACATTTACATTAAATAAAATATAACATGAAATGTGATCTATATCTTATATATAAATTAGAATTTATATTACGCTTGTTATATTTGGGCTCTATTGCGCATGCGGCGAAAGTTACTCTACATTCGTCGACAAATATTAATGTTTATATGTTAAATATAAATTATCGATTACTGTACATTAGATTTTCAAACCAAAACTTTTTTTAAATATGTAAAATATAAAAATCAAGATTTTTTTAAACAATGTATAAATATAACCAAATATTAAATATACAGTGATTAAAATGAAATACTTTGTTAAAATAATGATATTTAGTACATATGTTCCTGATGTCAGTATGTACACTTTTCTAACGCCGTGTTGCCATTTTTTATACAGAACAAATTGTATTTTATAATAAAATATATATAAGTATTTTTATTACTATGTAAATTCAAAGATTTATTTTAATTATTATTTCTAAAATGTGTGTACAGGTTAAATCTAATTAGTATTATGTGAAAATAATTTGAATTTATTTAACATTTTTTTTCTAAACATTTTATTGTATGCTGTTAAAATTTTAAACACCATTAAAATGTTTACAGATGTAATAAATTATAAAGAATAAAACGTTTTTATATTGTGCTGTGCCAAATTATTTTTTCATTTCAAAATCCAATTCTTGTATTTTTATATTTTGTATAACAATTTCAAAAATTAATACATTTCTTTAATACAGTTCAATTAATATATTAATTTTAATATAAAGTTAAATAGATTTCAAGTGTTGTTTCAATACTTATATATATTTTTTATAATTTATTTTGACATTAAAAATACGCTTAATATATTATCAATATTTATAATTAACAATTCAAATACGCTTGTCACCAAATATATTTTTATATATATTTATATTAATATAATTAATTTTCGTATATAGTTGCCAAAATATGAAAAACAGAAATATTTTTAAAAATATTAAAAATAATATAAAGTTTAAAACCAAATAATAAGTATCAATTTGACTTCATTTAATCTTTATTAAATATTTGTAATTCAATTATATTAATAAATATCAGATTGAAGTAAATAATATAACATTTTATATTATAATTAGTTTTTATTATTCATTTTTCTTATAAAATATTAGTTTATATTTTTTATTAATTAGAAATATATGTACTTCAATTGTCCAGTTTTTTTAATTATTTTTAATTAATATTCAATATTTATTTTATTTGACTTTCTTTTTTATATTTGAAATTGAATTTCCAAATGATAATTTTAAATTAATTTATTATTTTTATATTTTTATGATATTTGTTAATATTATTTGTACAAAAGGTCACAATAATAAAAATACCTTCCAAGATTTTTTTATTTTTATATTCATTAATATTGAAACTTTAAAATATTGTTTGAAAATGAATTCCACCTGTTTCATTAGAATAATATGAAGTTTATATCTAAAGCAAGTCTTTAATAATTAAGTAAATAATATACTTGATTCTCATCCACTAATTTTCAACTAAAATAAATTAATATAAAGTTAAAAACTTTTAAAATATTTCAATTTTTCATTAATTTCGGCTGTAAATATTTCATAAATAATTATTAAATTAAATTAGGTATTGCAGGAAACTATGTTCTAAAGATTTATATAAAACTAAGATCTAATTAGTTCAATAATTATTGTAATATAGTTGTCTATATTTGATTTAGTAAAGTTCTATAAGACAGGTTTTAAAAAATGAAGATTAAATTTAAAATAACAGTATTCCAGAGGATGTTTGGAATAAAAAAGGATTATTTTCCTGTACTTGATTTATATTACTTAGTCTCAATTATAACAAAAACTTTCCAAGACAATAATTAATTTATTTTTATGATTTTCTGATTTTATTGCCTCACTATGAAATACTTTAACTAGTTGCTTCACAATATATTGCAAATGTCAATGTATAAACTATATTTCAAACATAATAATAATGCCATTTATATCGTATATAAGTATGACATTTATTCTATTTCTGATTTATAATATTTTTTTATTACAAATACATACTCAAAAATAAGCTGATATAAATAAATATGAATAGAAAAAACTAATCGAGTGAATTGAATTATTTTTAATTTTTATCAAAAACTTATTAGTACAAATAACTTCATAATTTGAAAACTTTAATATATAAAAATAATTAATCCTGAAAAGTATTATGGAATCCATTTTCTTTAATTGCACACAATTTATATAAGCTACCTTTCATGTTCAATAGTTATATTGTATATTTTTAACTAAAATAAAATTCTTTTTTATAATTAAATTATTGTACATAATGAATACCGTTATAATTGTTAATTTATTATCATCATTTTAATAAATTAATATTGTTTTTTTAATAAATTATTGTTTGTTAATAATTATATTATTAAATCTATGCCAATATATTTAAAATATATAGGTTATTTAAGTAGTTTAAAGGGATTTCAATTTTATTCTACTGACATAACTGTTGTAAAAAATGAAGTTTTTTATTTAACATAAAACAATTATTTTTTATCCTTACTTATACTTGTGATGGTACAATTGCAATTTTGATACCTGTAAATCTTTATATTATAATTTTAAAAAAGGTAGCTATAAACAGCTATAGAAGTTATCATGTATAATCTTTTTCATTATTTTAAAATTGCAATTTGTAATATAAATTCTTATATTCTTCTAATTTACATGTGGAATCCATCTATTTATTTAATAAATTATGTATTTTTACAGAAAAGTCTATGCTATATATACATAACAGTTTCTTGTATTGCTTAATGCTTGCCCATTATACTAGTGCATCTAAAATTTATTAATTTTATTTGAACAATACATAAAATAATAGGTTATCTATATTTCACAATTTTGTTTTATCTGAGCATTAACTTATAGTATAAATTATTACTTAGTTCATACAGTTGATCATATAATATAATCGCGATTTATTCGAAATAGTTTCTAATTTACGATTATAATTATCTTAAAAATTATTATATTTTTTAATATACTTACGATATTTAATTGCTATTTAGCAATTCAGTTACTTTATAATTTTATTTTAAATTTTGTCTCTTTAATTTTTCACTGTTATTTATTTAATTGCTACTTATGATTTCTTATCTAGTGTAACCATGAAAATTTTTGCTGAAGCTTACCGTTATAGTTACGGTTGCTAAATCACTGTTTTAATTAAATGTTAACAATTTAAATTCATATTCTATTGCTATTTGAAGAATGAATTTAACGTGATTTAACACCACGCAATTTTATTTAAAAAAATTTTCATTATATTTGGTTAACAAGGAAATTATTTTCTGATTACAACTCTTAATGTTATTACTGTATCTTCTTGTTCTATCTATACTGTAACAGACACTTTATCCTATTTTTATAAAATATTTAGATTTTAAGCATTTTATATTTTTCCACTTTTTATCATTCATCTATTTAAAAATTACTCTTATATACATTTTCTGATTACGAGTCAATTAACTGTTTTATTATTTATCTATATATTTATACTTTTATTATTCCTTTTTATTACTTACCTTCTTATGTTCAATTATATATACCGTTTCATCTGATAAAGATTAAAATAACTTGTAGCAAAAGAGCTTATAAAAAAGATCAATAATAAAAATATGTGAACTTTCAATAAGCAATTATATAAATATATAAAATACTACATAAAACATTAAGTTGAATTTATGTATGTTAAAGTTAAATACGAAAAGTTAGTAGTTTAAGGGTATTATAATTAACTAAGTTAATTCTTAATTATAAATTGTATTATTGACTGTATCAGAATAGAAATATATACCTTGTAATGATGTTTAATATTTTCAAATTTATTAGCAATGAGGTTAATTTATAAATGAAAAATAGGTATCATTTTTTATTTGAGTAATTGACAATTATATCTTCGATTACTATTTTCGTAAAGCGTAAAAAATTGTTAATTTGAACTTAACACACATTTAAATTAAACGGTAATTAATTAAAAGAATTTAATATTAATAACATCTAAGTTTAATACAAATAATACTAAATACAATAATAGAAGAAATACCGTGTTTCATTGACAACTATAAAACTAGATAGTGTAATAATATGCCATCTTTTAAATAATGTATTAAAATTAAGACATATGCAGGATCACAAGGTATTAAGGCATAGTTAAATTGATTTCGACTTTTATGATATTGTTGATGACGTTGGGAATCTGATTAGACAGTTAAATTTATTATAAGAATGTGAGTGATATTGGATATCTTTTTAAAAGTAATAAATTTAAGCTTTTCTTTCTTATATAATCAATTGATGTTTGCAAACTATTAAGCAAGTTCTCATCGAAATCAGTTAATAAACAAATTATATCATATCTACAATAGAACCAGCAAAATCTAGTTTTGCAATATAATTTTACATTTTTAAATATTCTACACTTTGTTATTCAATAAAAATTAAAAACAATTTACTTATATCAAATTAATATTAATGTATTCTGTTAATGAATAATTATACATGTTATTACATTTTTCAGAGGAAATTGATTTTGTGAATTAAAAAGAAATAACTTTAAAAAACAAATATTATAAGTAAATTTAATGCAGCATATACTTCTTCGCAAAGATTGAAATTATAAATTGGTAGAATATTGCTTAACTCTATGGATTATTCAAAGAGTGTGCAACCAAATTTTAGAGATACTATATCTCTTTTTACAATACTATTGAACAAAAATAAATTTATTTTAAATTATTTATTAGAAAATTTAAATATATCAGATGATTTATTAATGCTTCAAGAATTGAAGACACTTCTATCTATTTCGGTACATAAGACTCTCATGTCTACAACGAATATACCAAACTTTCAAGATATTGATGATTATGATATTTCATCTTATAAATTCAATATATTATACAATGAGAAATTTTTTAATTTTGTGAAATTGTTATATTGTATGTTTAATATACAATACAATATTTCGGAATTAAATGCAGATTTATTTATATCATTAAAAAAAAAACATAATATTCTTAATTTGGAATATAAATTATGTAACAGAAATAGTAAAACTCTCGTTAATTATCAAAAATTAGACGATGTCAAATTAAGTTTTTTCTATCAGTATTATTTTCAATTTATGAATGATTATAAATACTTAGAAAATGTAAATGTTGATCTAGCATCAAAAATAAATGAGTTAGAGATAAAATTAAATTATATTAATTGTAATACAGCAATTTGTGGAATGTGTCCAAAACTAAAGGAAAGTTTACAATCAATGACAGAAAAATACAATAGTATTACACAAAAATGTTCGGCATTTCAAACAGAGAAAGAAAGAATGGTTATGAAATATGCAACAAGTGAAAAGCATGTGATCGAAGCTCAAAGGTATATAAATTTGTATGCAATGAATGATATAAATAATTTTTTTGTCTAAATTTTATTAATGAAAAATAAAATGTATTTTATTTTTTAATTTAATATTTTCAATTATTTTTGTTTTTCTTAAGACATGAGAATTTCATGACAATGAAAATTTATTCAGATTGCAGTACATTTTAAAAATTTGCGTTTCCGTTGACAATAAACAAAAATCATTAACATAAGAAGCTTTCTTATTAAGTACCTTCTTTAATAAATATAATTGTAGTTTATATATGAATTCTATTTTAGGTTTGCAAAATTAACAGAAAAGAAATATCACGATGCTTTAAAGGAAACTGCAATATTACAGAAAAAAATTCAAAAAGCTCATGATAGCATTGTGAAACTTACTAGTGAAGTGAATTTAAAATCGTCAGAAATAGTGCAATTACGGAATGATAATGAACGTTACAAAAGTAACGATAATGTAAAAGATCTTCAACTTAAATGTAGCCAGAATAAATTAAAAAATATTACAGATACACATAAAGAGGCACAGATAAAATTAAACGAGTCACTGGTAAATATTTATTTTGATATCTTTATCTTTAATTTATTTTGATATATAATAACAAATTCGTAAATAGAGTTTAATAAAAAACACGATACGTTAATTTATAATCTTATTTAAAAGAGGAATTGTATACAAATTAACAATTTAATATATACTGTGGTAGGAAAAGATAGATTAATAAAATAAAGAAATTATTGTGAATATTTTTCAATTGATCAATTGAATCTATGTAACAGCTAGATACAAACAGTATAGACCAAATACAAACATATCAAAGTTAGATTATAAATGATAAAACAAAAAAATAAAAGCTCTCGTTTTTCTTTGTTATTTAGGAATAAATAATTACATATTTATGTATTTATAATTATTTATTATTATTACTATCCGATTTCTACATATCATCTAAATGAAGCTTATCACATAATTTCGCGTAGAATAAGAACGAATTATAATTTTAAAGCTAGTATAATTCGCTCTTATAATTTTTTAAAAGATTTAAATGCATAAATTATTGTGTGCAAATGATCTAATTTTTCCTAAATAAAACAAATTTAATGTACCTTAATTTATATTCAAAATGATTAAAAAAATATATATTAAATTTATATATATAAATAGAAATTAAAACAATTATTTATAATATATAGATATTAAAAATTATGCATATGTTATAAATTATAAACCTATATTTCAAGGATATATTAATTACATTACCAGTAATAGATTGCTTTTTTTCAACATCACATGTGATCAACTGCTACTTACTTTTAATATTTTAAAATTTTATTTTTTGTTTTTATATATTTCAGTTTTGTGTAGAAATATAAAAATATTTTTGTATTGTTTTTTCAATATAGTACTTTCACAGTTTATTCTATTCATCGAAACTTTGGTCAGCAAAATAACCGAATACTTTCTACTATTACTTAGTACTAAACTCTTTATCTACAAAAATAGAATTTTTTAGAATTCATGTACATATTTCAAGTATGATTTTTTTTAATTTGTAGTTCATTTGTGTCCATATAATGGTATTTAATTAAGTATATAATTTATTTCTAATTTCACTTTATTAATGAAATATATTTTTATTATTTCCATATTTTTGATATAAAAAAATGCATCCATATATAATTATGTAAATATTTAAAAAAACAAAATAAATTTAAATATTTTTCTTTCTTTAGAACAAACCCTGTTATCATTTTTATCCACTGTTGATGCAATAAATCTTAAATAACTGACATTTTAAATAGTTCTATTATTATCGCGTTCGATAACATTTTAGTCATTTCAAATAAATATTAAAATTGATAACACTTAATCTGAAATTATTAATTAAAGTATACATTAAACTTATATTTTTATGAAAAAAGTATAAAATATTTTTAATAATATCAAGACCTTCATATTGTAAAGTAAGGTTTAATTTATAATGAAATTCGACTGATCAAATATAATTTTTTTGCTTTTAATAAAAATTAAATAAACGGAAAGAGATTAAAATATAATTAATATTATAACAATGATTTATATTATTTGAAATTTTATGAATTTGTTTGTTTTTTAGACAAAAAATTCTGAATTAACTAATGAGTGTGAGCAGCTAAAATCTCAAATAAAAAATTTATTAATTAAAGCACAACATTTTGAAGAAAATAAAGTAACAATTCTAGATCAACAACTTAAAGAACAACAAGCTCGTCTAATTTTAGAACGGCATATTGCTGAAGATTCAGAAAGTTCTCGCGTAAAACTTCAAAAAGAATTTGATTTGTTATTAGATAGACAGCGCTTTTCAGATAATGAAAATAGCTTACTTATTACGCAAATCCGTAATTTAGAAAAAGAATGTATAGATTATAAATCCAAATGTAATATTTTAAATACATCTTTTCAAAAAGCTAATACAGAAATTCAAACCTTGAAAAATGAAGTAGCTCAAATGGAAATAATAAATAAGTGTATACCAAGGTATGTCTTATGTAAATTATTTATTAATTCAAATAAGAATGAGTAGAACATAAATCCATACACAATAACATTTATTATTGCTTATTTTCTATTGCTTAATCATTTAATAAGAATATATTTTTCAGTTACTAAATTAAAGATTTAGTATTATATAATAGTTAATATAAATTCAAATTTAATTAAAATATTAATTAAAACATAATATTTTCATCGATACTTATTTTTGAATATGAATTAAAAGATAACTTTTTAATAAAGATGGATATGTTAGAGAACAAATATTAATTATAATTATATTATATTATGAATAGAAAATATTATATGTATTTTTTATTGAAAATTTTTACAATTTTAACTTTACAAACATTAAAATTAGAAATAGAAATTTTGTGTTTAAATTTCAATGTAAAAAAATTTTATTACTTAATCTTGTCTTTTATTCAATATTGATGTGCTATACAAGAATTTCCAAATATTTCTATGTATAATTTCTATGTATTGACGTATTCAGTCAAAACATTAATGAAACAATTTATTACTTTGATCTGTCTTCATTTTGTTTGTTATTTTTCTCAAGAGTTTAATTTAAATATCAACTTCCTATCCTATTTTATTTCTATATATATTATAAATTATTGTGCATATTACTTTTCAGCAAAGAACAAAAAATTTGTGCAATTGAAGCAGAATTACAACGTCTTTATACTGAAAAACAAGAATTTCTATCCGACATAGAAGCATATCGACAACGAGAAATACATATGCTTGATTTTACTCAAAAGCTTACCGATAAAAATGTACAACTTCAATGTGAATTTACAAATATGCAAAATAAGATTCGTTTTCTGGAAAATAATCAAAAACCTTTAAATAAAGCCATTAATAAATTTGTTTCTGAAGTAAAAAATTTAGAATATACTTTATCTTGTGAAGAAATAAAACGAATTCAGGAATGTGAAATCTTATCAAAATATATAGCTGAACAAGCATTTTATATCGAAAAACTTTTTTATCGATTGGAAGATTTAGAAGGAGAAAACGTAATACTTCGTAAAAGATATGATTTAACTATTAGGGAAATGACTCGAGAATTAAATTTATATCACACAAAAGTAAAGAACGCAAATTTTTTAAATTCTAATTCATCGCTGGAAAATAACATTGATAATTCAAATAATTTAAATACAGGTAAAGTATATATGTAAAAGTACAAGTTTTATAATATATTGAAAAATAGTAAAATATTTATATTATTAATACTTGAGTTATCTATTATTTAGTAGTATTACATTTTGTATAAGTTTTCAAAATCTAATCCATGTTTATATTATTTACATATAAAAAATACAATAACATGTCCAATTATTTTTATTAGAATCTATTTGTTATATAAATTATCTAACAACAGGACTTATATAATATGGGCTATATATAAGTATAGGTCGAAATAAAACGTAGGATTTGTAAGAAATATACATTGCATAGAAAGAAACATTTAGAGATTTAATTATGTACTAAGAGAATTGTGTTATTGTTTTATTCCAGTTCTCTTACAAATTGTTTTTACTATATACCAACAAATCAATGTTGGAAATGTGAATAAAATTTTTTTATTTCAGAGAATATTGACATTCCATTAATATTGGAAAAAAGAGATGTAAAATACAAAATATACAAATCAATTTTAGAAAAGGAACAATTATTGAATCAAATTATTAAATTACAAAAAGTTAATGTTAAACGTGCTGAAAAATTAGATTTCTTAGAAGAACATTCTCATGCTTTATTACAAGAATTACAAAAAAAGACAAAAATTATTCAAGATTATAATTTGCAGAATAACAAACTTATTAATAATGAGAAATTTTAAGAATACTATTACGAATTAATTAAAATATTTTATTATTTAAATTATTTTATTTTATATGTTACATTATATATAATTTTATTTATTTATATGTTAAAAACATTGTGATATTTTGTAAGTAAATTAATTTGTCTTCAAAGAAAATAAAATAATACAAAGGCTTTAATATAGGTAAATATTAAAAGTAAATGTAGACATAAATACCTAAATTTATTTGTTAAATGAATATTATTTTTATAAAGCTCTATATCTGACTTATTTTTATTGTGTAATTATTAAATTTTTATTTTATACATGAAAATATTAGACAACTATTCATGTAATATACAGTATATACACATTATCATTTTAATTTCAATAATTTAATGAAAATGATATATTTAAAATATTTTTAATGATAGTTAAATGAAATTGACTTAGAGTAATATTTTCAAGCTTTCCTAATATATGGTACTAAATTTTGAATATATTATATTTCATTGAATAGATTGCTCATTTTATATCAATCTAATTTCAGTTACATAAAAATAAAAAGTATTTTGTATATTCTCTGGTAATATAAGTATTAAATAAATGTAATAAATGTTTTGTAATATTTACACGTTGATATAAATTAATTAATTTATCTAGATCTTTATCAATATAGTAATTTTGCAATATAAAAAGATAGATGCAAAATACTCAACGACTATTATATTTATGTATTTATAATAAAATTTTGAATTTGATAATGTCTATTCGATATTATAATAATTATAAAATTATTATATCGAATGAAAGAAGTAAAAACTGATTCAAGATTTCTCAAGTTTAAATATTTTAAAAATTACTCTTTTAAATAGATAATTATGTTTTGAAAATATACTATATAAGAAACACTAAAGTTATCTGTGAGATAAACGAACTACTATTTTTTAGAATAAATAAAAAAAAACTGCTTAACAGTTCAACAGCTAAAATAAAATACTTTAAAAAAAAATGACTTATATTTCATTTTATTAATCAATTTTTAGTGATACATATTTATTCATTTTAGCGTTATTTCAAAAAATTTAAAAATAGATTTTTTTAATTATATAAAAAATATGTTAAATCAATAAATTTATTTTCTACATAATAAGTATAATTAATTTATGAATATATTTTTTTAAACTAGTACTTGATAATTTTTTAATAACTAATTATAAATAACTATTTAACTATTTATAAATAATTAAAATCATATTTATAAAGTTTTTAATACTAAATTCAACATTCTTTTCCAAAATTTTCTTATTTCAATTTGTAGAATCACATACATAAATAATATAATCATAACTTCAACATGTTTCTAATATTATTTTCATTTTGATACATACATCATCTGCATGTTCAATTATCATACTGATAGTTAAATTGAAGATTTTTAATCTGTATTATACACGATTTATTAAGGATAAACGAAGTGTAATAAGTAATGATTATATGTTTAACATAAATATATTCTAAAATCTAGAATCAGGCAATGAATCGTTAGACTTTAAAAAAGTGTTGTTGAAAATCAGTTCACGATTTATTACAAATATGTTTTGCAATTGCACAAATGTTAAAATTGCTCAATATTATAATTATATAGTTTTTTGTGCTATTCAGTATAGTATTCAGTATTTTTAATTAAGAAATATTCATTAATAAATATAATTGTAAATATATTTTTGACCACAAATTATTGAAAATTGACATTCTCAAAATGAATCAGTAATATAACCAACATTTAAAAAATCTAAAACAATGATATTGAAAAATAGTATATCTAAACTAAACTACCAATATTCATTTGATAAAACTATAAGTAATATTTTGATATTTTAGCAATTTTAAATGATAGATTACGCAAGTAAATTAAAATCAAAAGAAAATTATTCTAAATATTTTAATTTTCCAATTTACATCTTTATAATTATATAATTACATTATTTAAAATTAATTTTAATATTTGTTAATATTATTATTTACATAATTTTCTATAATTTCAATTTGGAAAAAGTTTTCTGAAAATTAATCAAAATAAATTTCAAGCAAAGTTCTGTAAAGCTCATTAAACTTTAAAAGATGAAATATAATGTCAGTATCACAATTAAAGCTTAATTAGTAATGAAAGCGTACATCGCTTAGGCTCACATTTATTTTGACAGAAATACGATGCATGATGTTAATAACTTCACGGACAATTCTTTAAAACCTTTAGAATAAGAGTATATTAAATAAAATATATATTTATATTTCTTGGTTTGTGTAAACTCAAGAATTATGTAAATATAAAATAAATTATGTTTTTAATAAATTTCAAAATACAATAAAAACTCTACTATAAATATAATTTCCCTTCTCTATTATTGTTCCTCATCTTCAACGAACATTAAAGTCGAAATTTGAAATTAGAGCTACATTTCCTTGACTTATTGAAATACGTTATACATAATAAGAATAAAGTCTTTGATGTGACTTATGACGTTGTTTAAAAGCTATTAAAAGTAATTTACTATTTAAAAAAATATATATTTACACAAAAGTAGATATACTCTGATATTGTCAATTTTGCCTTGTACATGTAATGTTTTGTAATAAACTACATGTTAGATATGATGAAATTTCACTCTTTAGAATACCAATAAAGTAAATCTACTGCGCATGTAACAATCGCGACACGATATAGTATTATTATGAGACAGTTGTAATATTTTACAAAATAACGATCAAATTCGGTTTGTATACAAAAAAAAAATACCGAGTAAAATATTTTATATATACTTTTGCTTTGTATATATTCTAGTATTTTCTAACATATAACATTTGCACTTCAGAAGTTGAATTAGTTCTCACCAATTAACAGTTATATACGTCGGTTTGAATAGATGTTTATCGAGGGAAAATTATTAGATGCTAATGTGTCACTCGATACTTGAATTTTCACTGTTATCGTTTTATCTAGCCACAAATTTCATCATTATTACATTCTAATATATACTGATTTATTTCATCTTTGTCATTATTTAACAATATAAAGTGATATTACATTTATTTTTTATAACTTACACTTTACAATTATTCTTAATGTACTTTTAATTTATTCGAAATACCGCGCGCTTCAGTATTTTAAACTCGCGAAAAACTATTTTATAAACACACATTATGTTGCGATATCTAACTATGTAAAAAAAATTAAAAAGAAATTATAGAAATTTTTAATTATCAATATTACTTAGTTATGGTATCTGTCATGCAACCTTTTATGGTAAGAATATACATTAACCTAAAATTTGTGCTTTTTATATGTACACGTATATATCAAGAATAGTTTTATATTCTTTTAAAAATATTCATATATATATATATATATATATATATATGTATGTATGTATATATATATATATATATAGATATTATTTCGATGATTTATTTATTAAAGGATATAGAAAGTTCACGAAGTTACATAGATGAGCTTTATTCTACTGAACCTCAAAAATGTTTAAATGCAATTATGTAAGTATAGCAATGTTCAATATTATTTTCAGTAGTTTTAATATAATGGTTTATATTTTTCTGTATTATACAACAATATTTTTATAATTCAGTATGGCGTTTTGCTTAATAATAAGATTGCATTATTTATACTATATCTATGATTTTTATAATATCTTATTAATTATTCATTTAAATATGGATATTTCTTAAGTTTTTTCATAAAATATTTGTTATTTATATTTACTATTTACAATTGAGCACAAAAATGAATTATATATAAACTATAATGTTATTAATAAATGTATGATTATGTTATTTGATAGAAGTATATAAAGTTAAGTGTTAATTAAAAGTATCAGAATTTATACAACTAAGAAAGTTAGAAATATTTACGTACATTTGAAGTTCCATATAGTATTCAAATTATTAATCAACATATATGATACTAATTAAACTTATTATATGGTTTTTAATATTCCTTTTTTAATTTTTGATATTTTGTTAACGTTTTCTCAGGTGGAAATAATTCTGTGCCATATTTATGATGAATCTGAAACAATCAAGATATCAGACTTATTTGTGTGTTCTAAAATTTCAAGTTTTGCTGACAAATTGCCATCAACTTGTTTAAACTGGATTCTATTACTTAATGCTTTACTGAATTGTAATTTGCAATTCAATATTTTAAGAAAATTATAAGAAATTTCATATTTAGAAAATAATAAAAATGTGATATATAATTCAATTAGTTATAGTTTTTATGCCAATTCACTAAGTTGTAAATGAAATTTAACAAACATAGAATAAACAATTTGTCAGCAATATATTTACAAGAGGATGATAAGCCCTAGAGGCTTATTTATTTATTTATATTAAACTCAAATTTGGTACCTAATCAAAAAATTTGGAAAAGTTGTTTGAAAAAATTGTTATTTAAACAATTGATTCAAGAGAATAGATGTTTTTATATAATGTATTTATCTTAAAATATCAAATGTATAGATAGTTAATGATATTCAGCAATTTTATAAAAAAAAATTTTGGTAATAAAATTTTATTATAGTAATACTAGTATATTCTGTACAATGATCTAATTATTCAAATTGATGGTAATTTTCTCAGTTATATTCCAAGTTTAATATTATTTTATATGCGTTCTATATAAATAAGTAAATTAAAATTCTAAGAAAACATTAAATTAGAAAATACAAATTTTTTAATCTAATGCAAAATAAATATAGGTATTAGAAGGTATACATTATTTATACATTAATATTAATTTATTTATAGTAGCTGTCAATGAAAATATTTACATTGAATAAATATATATCATTTTCTAAATAAATTCATTTCATTGATAGTAATTAATGAATTTAATATTTTATTAGATTTATTTCATAAATATTCATTAGAAATAAAGTTTATGGTCATAATTCTTGTACTAGATATTTTAAAATTATTTTTAAATATTTTAACTTGTTGGTGAAGGCAATATCAATGGAGGTTGAGGTATCCACCAAGTAAAACAATATAAATTCAGAAAAGAAGAGTTAGTTAAATTAGTACAAGAACTTTAGGAGTATATTTGAACTAATATATCAAGTGATATATTAATTTTAATAATAAGTGTCATCTGTTTTTAAATAGTTCACAATTTATTTATAATTATTTTTTAGAAAAATATTTGATTTAACTTTATAAAATTGTATGCTTATATTTCTGCAATTTTTAACAATAAAAAATTTCTTTACATTTAAAAATAATTTTGTAATGATTTATAATTTATAATTCTAAGTAATTGATTGAATTATATTGTCATGTTGTATTCGTGTTTGCTTTGCAACAGGGATACTCCATTGCTAAAGGTATGTATGTGTCCTGAAATCCATTAAATTAAATTATTTTTTCTTTTTACGTATTAGTTCTATTAAAGAAACTTGATTAAAGTAGTAGAAAAGAGTATGAGAATGCAGGTCATTTAGGAATTAGTCAACTTCGGTATTATAGGTAACAGGTTTTCTCATCTCTAAAGTCATGACCTTAACTGGGTCTGTCTATTTCTTGAACTTCTTTGAGCATTTTCATTACTGAGGGTTGTGAGTTCATCTTTTATTCTATTTGCTTTTTTTCCTTTTTCAGACTTATGTTCGCCACGACTTTTATTTACGATTACCCAGATTTATCAGAGATATATTATGATTATACAAACGTTAAAATCTCGTTTAATAAGATATAATTTACATTTATAAATATAAATTTCTCTGCATAAATTGTTTTATATTGTATATGTAAGTGCATTCTGGTGTTTATAACTATACACCAAATATAAGAGTTTTTTCTTTATATAAATACCAAAATTTGCTTTACTTACGTAAAAGTATCGCAATGAATATTTGCTACTTTTTTAAAATAAAGAAACCTTAGTGACGTTTTATATAAAATCATAGTATTCAATATTTTACTTTTATACTTTATAAAATAAGGTAAATGAAATTTTAATTAGATTTCGAAATCTAATATTGATAATAGTACTTAAAAAAAGTATTGTTTCCTTTAATCTATTCATTTAATGTTCATTTTATCTGTATAATATTGTGAATAAAGTTTTCGATTGGAAATGCAGACATTATTATTTAAATATTAAATTTTATTTTTAATAAATTTAATGCTATAAATTCCAGTTATCATTGTATCCTGATGAAAGTAAATTTTAAAAATATTAATTAAACATCTTTAAATGTGCAACTATTATTAAAATGCTGTCTTGTACATGACGATTTAATGTAAATTAATTTCATTAGTAAAAGATTTTTATTTTTATTTTTTTATTGTTTATCATTTTTATTGAAGAACTTAATATAGCGCCATAAAGTAGTTTTTCGAATTATTTTATAATAGGAAGTGCGTTTTTAAAGTATTTGATTGAATAATAACAAATATGTATTTGTTAAAATATAAACCGTAAAATATATATTATATCATAGGATCTCCTTTAGGAAATATTATTATAGTCGTAAAATTATACACACGTTTAGCTCAAATAAAATATACGAAGACTGTATCAATTGCTTTGTGTATTTAAATCATCGGTGTTACTATCTCTCTTAAATAAATGTATATTGCAATAACTAGTATTTGTTAAAAGAAATATATATTAATTTTTTTTCAGATTTTTGATAACCTACACAGGAGTATATCTTGATAAGAATTTGTGTATATTATATATAACGATTAAGCTTCCATTACTGATAATGCATTAATGTTTCTCGTAGCATATGCAAGTAACAGTCTGGTATCGATGCAAAACCTTTCTGATTGATGTAGACTTTACTTAGTTCTCGTTTGCGTAGCTCTTCCTTCCCTTAGTTTCAGATTTTGCATTAATTTCACATTCGGTGTGTAAATATTATCAACCTTTGTCCTACCTCTCTCTCTCTCTCTCTCTCTCTCTCTCTCTCTCTCTCTCTCTCTCTCTCTCTCTATAAATATATTTTATATATATATCTCTCTCTCTCTCTGTCTCAATAAATAATTATGTTATATATATGCACATAAAGGAAATAACTTAGCTCAGCACATGCCAATGTACATTTTAATCAACATCCAATATTCAATTAAGAATTTTATGTAATACAATTAAAAATTTAATATATACATATTATAGAAGTAAACGTTATTCAAAAAATAAATATAATTTAGAATAAGAAACAAATTAGGTAATGAATAAACTGTCAAACGAGAATATTAGATATTAAATTTTGGAACTTTATTTCTGAATAAAAACCAGTTATATCACGTCATATAATTAGTGTTTAGTAAATAAAAATGTCGTGCATATATTGTTCAATAAATCTTCCAAACATAAAAAGTAATATTTAAAATTCTAAATTAGATGATTTCATGAATAAAATACCCGAAAAATTATTTGAAATGGATTTTACTCGTTATCTATTGTCGACTTCTTTACCTTTTTTTGTAAAGAAGTACTAATTTTTACTAAAAATTTGTTTTAATTTTACTATTTTTTTTTATTATATTCTTAGTTTAATCAAATTAATCTCATTCAAAATAATGTAGATTAAAAAAAAAGAACGAATCTAAAAAGTTCAAATAATCTAATTTTTCAAAAATTATTAAAATTATGTATTTACATTTTTCAAATATTTCTATAATAAGTATTTTCTTCAGTTTCATTTTTCTTCGTATGTCTATATCTAACTTTTTTTTGTTTTTATATCATTCTCTTTTTAATACTGTTTGTTTTTTTCTCTAAATTTAAATTTATTAAAGAATAATAATAAAGTAAGAGAGAAGTCGAAATATATATATATTTAAAAAATCAATATTTTTAAGTAAAACAGTTGATATATAAAGGAATTAATATATTTTATATTTAATCGGTGTATTAAATAGATTTCGGTACTAGCATTGATATAAGAATTTCTACTAAAAAATATGATTGAGTTAAATTAGAATAAAAAAATCAAGTCTAATCGTAATATAGCAATAAACAATATTCAGTTAGCGAGCAAAATCAAATTAAACGTTATTATATGTGATATTGCATTTTGTGGTATTAAGATAGTAAGGTTTTATAAACTTTTATTTTTCCAATAATTGCAAGTATTTGGAATTAATACACTTATTATGTTACTTACCCTCACTGATATGTTAACACCTGTGTAATTTGATAAAATTCTCGACTTGCACAATAACTCACTTAATATGTTCCACTATTTTTCAAGATTTTGTAATGTAAATTACAAAAGACAATTTAAAAATCATATTTTAATGAATAAATATCTTTTTTATATACCAATATAATTTTATTTTAAGTTTAATATTTTAATAGACTATTTACTATTGCCTAAATAAGATATTTTATTTCAGATAAAGTGTTTCTAACAATATTAATAATTTATATATAAAAAAATATTTTAACATTAAATTACTTAATTTATGCTGAATTTTTGATTATCCAATGAGAAAATGTAATTAAAATAAATGTATGCAATATTAAATAAATTAACAAATTCATTGACATACATTTCTTATTTTGTATATATAAATAATAATAAATAATCGATAAGCTATTTAAAATATTAGGTAAGAGTAAATTTAAAAAGTACCTATAAAATTGCTTAATAATTGTAAAAAAACGATATGTATTCCTGCATAAAAAAATACATATATTTAGTTTGACTGTGTGCTATCATATATTCATTATCAAATATATTTATATTATATCTCTCTAATAAATATTTTGAAATAATTATAAATATTTCGGTTATGACAATTCTTATACTTTTAGATTAGAGATTTTTTATTTTAGTATTAAAATATTATTTAGTATTAAATATATCATTTAGTATTAATAGTAGTTTTTAAAATACGTATTTATATTTTGTTTCAGATGTTTAAAAAATTCTGTTATTGGCAGTAATCGTCAAAAAGCATCTGTAATAGCTCAAGGTGTAGTTCCAAGACTCCTCCAACTTTTATGTAGTACTAATAATATATGTAATGACAGAGTTCACTTAGAATCTGCAGTTACACTAGGTTCGTTAGCTAAAGGAACGGATCAACATGTTTTGGCATTAATAGATTTAGGGGTAGTAACTTCATTACTTCAAGTATTATCAACAGCAGCCGTAGAATGTTCAAATAATGACAATTTAAAAATACATAATTTATTTATTGAAGCATGCTTAAGATGTTTACGAACAATTTTTCAACACTCATCGGCACCAGTCTCTTCAATATTTCAGGATCCTGAATTTATACCACGTTTTCTTCAACTTTCTAATATATCTATTAATTGTCAAGTTTATGTTGCAATGATATTAACTACAGCTTGTAAGGTAATAAATACCTAATCTTGTTAGAGAAATATTTATATTTTTATATATAGGTATAAAATCTATAAAAATTTTATTAATAAGGATAATTCCTAATATATCTGACGGAGAGTACTAAAATATAAATATATATAGTTTGTTGAGTAAAATGAATTGATGTATATATATATATATATATATATATATATATATATATATATCAAATATATACGTGTGTTGTGTGTGTGTGTGCGTATGGGTATTGCATATCTGACTTTATATACTTAATTTATGCAACAATATATATTTCAAACCGTATATAGTTAAAACACTAAGTATCTATATATTAAACAGTATTATTTTGTATCGGTCAGTACAAGAATTTTTATAATAATAAATCAAATGTGATGTATTTATATATTGATGCCTTATATCGTTTTGTTTTTGTTTTAAATAGAATTTTCTGTTTTTTAATAAGTATTTTATTTTGATACTTTGTTAGTCTTGATTATTTCTATAACATTTTATATTATATAAGTATGTTTAGCTTCTAATAAATATTTATTAGAGTTATATTTTTTAATATCACTAAGAATATGAGTAAGGTTTAAATTTAAATGAAATTTTGCTTGTAAAAGATTCAATTTATAATTATAAATTTATACTTATAAATTAAATGTTTCATATAATATAGTGTATCACTTATTATTATATATTCCTTTATATATTCCTATATATATTCCGATATTTACTTTAGTATGTATTTATAATAATTAAAATTTTCAGACAAATGATGAACAAAATATATTATTAAAAGGTGGTGCGATTAATACTGTGGCTACACAATTAGAATGCTCATTGGCTGATGTGCAGTTACCTGCATTAGCATGTCTCGCTAATATGTGTTATCAAAATCAGGATGTCGCATCACTTATTGCTACAACAACAATTTCTCATGAACCAGATAGTAAATCTGTACCAACTATATTAGGACAACTAATGGGAAGAGAAAAAAATTCATTGATACAACTTGAGGCTGCTCGGTGTACAGCATATATGCATCGAGCACAAGCTTTAAGTGCAACAGATTCAAGAGTAATTTACAAAGCTTTACCTTGCTTAATAAGACTTTGCCATAAAGACAGACCAGCAAGAGAAAGAGTAGCAGCTGCAGAAACACTAGCATATTTAACAGAAGTAGATACAGATTTACAAAGGCTCGCTTCAATCAGTAACCATTTAATACCGACGCTAGCCGAACTTTTAAAGCCAAATTCTCAGGTATATATTTTTTCTATATCATATATTTTCAATATAATTAATAGGTACAATATTTATTTCGTATACATTATAGTTTAATCGATTTAAATAAAGGTACGACAGGAATTCTTTATACTAAAACTTCTCGACTAGACATTTACAGTCAGTCTGTTGTATTTAATTCAATCGTTTATATATCATAATTTACTTTTATAATCTGATAGATAAAAAAAATCTAATATTCTAGATTTTGTTCCGTTCTTTATTCCATCATTATTATGTCTGAATTTAAACAATGTATATAAATCGTAGACTCACTTCTTGATCTATATCTCTACCCTTGATTAGTTGATCGAGAAGATAGTGTATTGTTATCTGTAGCAATTATTATTGATAGCATTAATGCTATACATTCCACATTTTGTAAATATTAATTAAAGATAAGTGTATTTAAAAGTAATTGATAATGGTTTTTCCGTTATTCGTCGATTTCAAATTATTCACACATTACACCTAGAAATATGCTTTGGTATCAGTTTTTCATAATTTTGAAAATATTGTGATCATCTGTCATGTCTTTAATTTTCTTTTTACCTCTTTAGTTTATATACTTATTTATTTTTGTTTGTACACAAAGACATATTCAAAAATAAATTAATTTTTATATCACCTTTTGTTCGTATTGCATTGAATTTGTCTTATTTTTGTTTACTGAATAAATCTTTTATACAATATCAAAATTTATTTTATTAATTTATATAATTGTATACAGTGATTGAGCCAATAATTGGATACAACAAACAAGTAATCGAATGTATGAACAAAAAATTAGAAACATTGACTAAGCATGGTCAAAATATGAATGTCTAATGTTGGGCTATTTTAACTTTAAAAAAAGTTTTTAAATATTGCGTATATGTAAGCAGATCTTGCTATGCTTGAATTATTATTCAATTAATATATTGTCACATGATCTTTTTTAAATTAATAATAATTTTACCATATTTAGTATTGATATTTTATTTAAGAGCCTATACTTTACAATAGGTGCAAGATGCAGCTTTATCACAAGATATGAGACAAGCAGCGTTTAGAGCTTTTGCATCATTAGGAGCTAATGACGAAGACATTCGTAAACGAATAATTGAAACTGAAAATTTAATGGAGCAAGTAGTTTCTGGGTTACAAGATCCAGGTGGTGCAAAAGTGCGATTAGCTGCTGTACGTTGTCTTCATTCGTTATCAAGAAGTGTGCAACAACTAAGAACAACTTTTCAAGATCATGCAGTTTGGAGGCCATTAATGCAGTTACTTCACGGTGCAGATAAAGGATTAGATGGTTTGTAATAATATTATTACCACATAATATATTATTTATAATGTATTATTTAATCTATTATACTTTTAATATAATACATCAGTCACCAATTACAATTTAATGGTTATAAGGTGATTTATATTGTTGGTTAAGTGTTGTTTAAATAGGATACGCGAAATTTCTAGTAAAATTATTCTAGACAATGCATTTTAGCAAATTGGGTCATAATCAATTTCTAGAATATACAGATAAATCGTTCGGATATTTAAAAATTTTTCAAACTGTTAATTATATATGTCAACGTATTTTGTATGGGCCTATAATTTTACCCATATGGAATTTTGTTATTTCACTGAACCATGATGCAACTTGACATTCGAAGACGATTATTGTTTTTTTATTTTGAGATATTGAGAAAAAATGGGTTAACACTTGTTCGGGATTGAAGTAACTTCCAAGATCGTGACTATTGGCATCGCTAGTTTCTGTAGCTCTCAAGTTTCTGTAAATATTTGGGACGAGAATTTTTCGTGTATTTGTTATGTGTTTGTTTAAAATGGCTCATAATTTTTATAGTTTTCGAGTAGTAACGTCGCTTGGAATTCCAGTATAGTAACAATGATGCTCTCTAGCTGTGGAGCTCTCGCATTGAAAAACTCGTGCAGTGAAGTCACGCAGTAAACAGCTCACAGCAGAGCTGCTACGGAACGAACAAGCCTTCAGTGTCGTGCGTGTATTCAACAGGCTTGTAGGCTCACGGTAAATTTCTGAAACAATTAGTTATCAGTTATCACTCTATACAGCAACCACATTACGCCATATAACGGGCAGTCAGTTTTACTCATTATATGTAGATAATTTAGCTAGACTCAGCAACAATAAGCTAGTAAGCCAAATACAGTGCAGCCAATACATTTAACAACTGTTTTAAGTGAGCTGTAGTGCATTCCAAGAAAGATCAGGAAATACGAACCGTACCACCTGCGTGCTCAGCACAGAATTTGGTGTGACAAATAAAATTTCCATGAAGTCAATTAATAGAGAAACCATTTATTGAATGCACTTAAGCACCAGCCTCGTACGGCATTTATTGAAAGCACGTACGCGCCGGCTTCGTAAGGCATTGAAAGTACGAGTGCACCTGTCGAGATAAGCATTATACGATCGCATAGCTTCGGCGAACAGATGATGTACGAGAAAAACATCGGCTACAAGGGCATTATTGAAAGCCCTTTTTTATGTACAATATACGTTGCAATATACTTCTTGGTTAAATGAATACATACTCACGTAATATTCCACGTATACTGGTGTACTTTATTATTATAACAAATGTCTATAGCAAAAATATTTTATAAGATAAAGAAAAAGTAAATATTTTGGAATAATGTAATTTCTACAATCTCTAAATTTTAATATTAATAAAATTTTTTATTTTATACATAAGATGTTATTTTAAAAGTTGTTGCATATAGAAATCTATATTTCAATCAGATGTCAATATTATTAACAATATAAAATTGAATTTTAGACTTTTCTAGAGTTTTATAAGAATTTACAATTTTTTATTGTAAAATAAAAATTTTAAATAATTTATAGGCAAATTATTTATTAATCGAAATATTAAAAATTTATCTACCAAAAATTTAGTATTTTTTATGATGTGATGTTAGTTTACATATTATATGTATATGTATGTATATTTGCAGGAAAGAATGAAGGAGAAGATGACCTACTTACAGTTGCATCGGGCACACTATGCAATTTACTTTTAGAATTTAGTCCTAGTAAAGAACCAATTTTAGAATCAGGTGGAGTTGAACTACTTTGTTCTTTAACAAAAAGATCTGATTCTGCTCTCAGACTAAATGGTATTTGGGCATTAATGAATGTAGCTTTTCAAGCAGAACAAAAAGTGAAATCACAAATTTTAACATGTCTTGGAACTGATCAGATATTTCGCCTTCTTGCTGACCCAGAACTTGCCGTTTTGATGAAAACTTTAGGACTTCTTAGAAATCTTCTTTCAACTAAAACTCATATTGATAGAATAATGGCTGATCATGCGGCACATGTAATGCAAGCAGTAATCTTGGTACTTGAAGATCCAGTGCATCCTGCTGATGTAAAAGAACAAGCACTTTGCATATTAGCAAATGTGGCAGATGGCGATCGAGCGAGAGACCATATCATGGCTAACGAAGATGTTTTAAAAAAATTAATGGATTATATGGTAATTATATAATAAATTTTTTTTTTAATCAAGACCTAGCACTCTATAATAACGCATTTCTTATTATAGAATAAACTTTATTAATTTATATTTTTAATACAATATATTAAATAAATTCATGTCGTTAATAAAGTCAACTATATTTAATAATCGATATATTTTTTAAATATGCATTACGAAAAACAATAAATAAATAAATATATCAAACAAGAAATATTTGCCATATGTGAAGTATAAAAATTAAATAATATTATTTTGAAAATAACTTAAAATGATGTCATGACCAAGTGCTCGGTAGAATGAGATAATGCCATAAAACAAACTTTTTGATAAAGGGAAAGTTATAATATATATTACTATTATCATTGAATTAGAAATTAAATAAATATTTCAAATATATATGACAAATGTTGGTGATACGCAATCTTGTAGGCATTTTTATATTTTTGTCTAGTTAGAATTAATGAATGTGAGATTCTATTAGTTTTTATTTATCTGAAAAAATGAGTCAAGTTGAGTAATTATAACATTGACAGCGAATCAAAAACCCAATGAATTTTAAACAAATTTATTCACTGTTTTTTGTGCATGATAGTTTATTTTCCTTTATCGTGAACAAATATCAAGAATCATATAAACTCATATAACTTGAGGTATATACTGAGATAGAATTGAGTAGCTAGTGCAGGAACAATACCAATTATCAAAAGTCACCAAGCAACTAACAATTGTTTTACATAAAATAAACATTTTGGATCCATCCGAATGGGCGTCATTTATTTTGGTCAAATTTCTGTTAATCATCATAATAAAAAGAATGTATTATGCCTTTTTTCAAAGTGTAAATCGAGGGTTGATTTAAGTATAAAAGTTTAGTACTCGTTGATTAGGGAACTTCTCAGTTTTTCAATCCTATAAATTTGTTTCGATAATAAATATTGAGATACCACTGTGCCTTCGGTATCTTATTTTATTTTTAGATTCTATGACGTGATATAGATATTATAAATTTGTATTTAGAATAATATTATATTTACAATTATTGATAGCTTGTTAAATGAATAACGTACTTTTTATTTTCTATGTTTTGTACACACACAATAATGTATAAAAATAACATTATTTGTATGATTTAGATTTTTAGAAGATATATTATTAGTTTTATGATTATTATCGTTTATATTACCTTTATTTTTATGTTATGTATTTATATTTCTTAAATTTTGTAAACAGTTTTAATTTTGAGTTTTTTTCATTGTTTTATAAAGAAATTATTAAATAAATTATTTTTTATAAAAAATAAATTAACAATTTTTTTGTGAAGTATATCATTTTATATATTTGCAATAATTTTATAATACTTGATATTTTAAATATTCTTATAAATTATGTACTTATATAAAGAAACTATTTTTTAAATATAATATTTTTTGTTCAAAAATTAAATAAATATGTATTAAATAATCAATATCTTTATTAAAATCATTATATTTTAGATGCACAGTAATGTTAAATTACAAGTAGCAGCTATATTCTGTGTATGCAATTTAGTATGGAGAGAAGAACCTGGAGCAGCACAAAGACAATCACGTTTAAAGGAATTAGGATTATATAGAATTTTATTACAACTTCGACATACAAAAGATACGCAGCTTTTCGATAAGTATGATTCTATATTTAAAAAGAAAACAAATTTTTATTATATAATATATATTATATAAAATTAAATTTAAAATATTTTTTAAATTTGATTTATATCTTCTTATTAATTATTAAAATATATATACTATTATAGTTTTCATTAATCAGCATTTTAAATTAATTTAAATTATAATTTTGCGCTTTTAATTTGATTGAAGAAAGAAAACTAAAAAATTTAACTGCAAAATATTATGTAATGTGAATAAATGAAACCTTTAAAATAAATATTTATTTAAATGTTTATGCAAAATGTGTGATTAAGCTTTAATCGGGACTAAAAATCTTTTAAATATTTTTAGTAAAATATGTTATTAAGATTTAATCGGAAATAAAAATTGAAATAATTTGTGATTAGGTGAATCGTACAGATAATACTGATTGAAGATTTTAGACAAGTATTTTAGTGAATTTACTAATTAATTTTAAATTAATATTAATGATTGTATAAATTTGTACATATATGGATTATTTTTGCTTTTGAGATTTATTTAAATTATTTATAAAATGGAGTCTTGATGAAATTGATAGTTAATTTTTAAATTTAAGTAATCAAAAAATGTTATTTTCTGGAATTAATTAATTATTTTATTTGAGAACATTACATTGCAATTTTTCATGAAGTATGACGTTTTTTATACTTAATTATTTTTAGATCTTATTAGTTCAGACGTACTTGTACCTGTTGTAATATTGTGAATATAATATCCTCAAAATTATAACTAATCTTTATTTTGCAATAAATTTTTTATAATTGTTTATATTTAAAATTTATACTAAATATTTTATAATTATAATTTAATTAATCCTTTTTTTTTTAATTATGTAAAAATTTAAAATATAAGTCAACTTCTTATTATTAATCAATAACAATCTTATAGTATTAAATAAATATTATATCAATATTTCAAACATTATTTTTTAGTTATCTTCTTATAATCAAACATTAGTTATATATCTATTGTTCTTTTTAGAAATTGGATAACTTCCAATAATAATTGTATAATTTGCTGAGAATTATTTTAACTTTTGTAGAATATATTAAGGTATATTTAATGAGTCGTAAATTTATGCTCTAATTTATTTGTAAACATTGATTAATTTATAACCGTATATATTAATAAGGTATATATTATAATTCAAAAAAGAATACATAAGAAATAAGTATTACAATTTATAATACATAATATAACAATTTATATTAATATACGTTAATGTTTTATATTTCAGAGTAAAAACAGCATTAGCACAATTTTTCGATGCTTGAAGATAATGCAATTAAATGATAAATTTTTAGTAATTACTAAAATACGAATTAAATTATTTGCTATAAAAAGTCAATGTAATTATTTAAATAAAAAAACTATATTAATTTGAGAGAACAACGTATATTTGCTATATTCATTTTATTTTCTATTTTAATAAACTAATATATTAAAAATATTAAATGACTATCAGTATAATTTATGAACTCAAATTATACAGACAAAGTAACATAAAGTATTATTTATCTACTGACAAAGAAAAAAAACATGCTAAATTAAATTGAAAGGTTCTTCCGAATTTTATAATTTCCAAAAGCTTATAATTGAATTTGATTTGAGAGCATAACTAAATTTAATTTTCTTCATTAATTAATGAGATATCGTTCTTGTTTTATCAATCATAACTCAAAAATAGTTGAAACAAAAATCACAAGTTATATCACTACATTTGACAGATATAATTAGGTAATTCACGAATTTTATATCTAATTATATTATATAAGTATCTATTTTTAGTTCGTATGATAAATAAAAACATTCAACTAGTTACTTTTTTCAATGGTTCTTTGTTTTTATTAATTTTGTTAGCTTAGAAGTTTAGTAGTTATGAATAAAAGTTTATGTTGGACTTTCCTTCTTAGAATGTATTTCTTCTTAATAGAAAATATTTGTTATTTATATTTAAAAAAGAAGTAATTGGATATATTTAATTTTAATACATAATATAGAACTTCGTACTAATATATAAATGAGCAGGGTAAAGATTTAAAACACATCTGCATTTATTGTCAATTAGCATGGACTGATATCATGTATAAATTGACTATTATTTTAATTATAGAAGTGTACATATGTATTTTGAATATAATTTATTTACCATTTTTTCTGTTTTTTTTTGTCAATTTTTAATCTAAACTTTTTACAATTTAACATAGACAATATAGTATAAATAATATATATTTTCGCATATATCTTCTATACAATCCTTTTTCTTGGACAAAAAAGTATTATAATCTAGATAGTAGCAGTATACTGCTAATTCATAATTTAAATAATTAAAAAAGTAATTTAGATTTATGAAAAAACGGATCAGAGTAAACATTCTTTCAACCTCATTAGTTTTTGTTTAAAATTATTAATAAATTCAATAATGTAATATAAATATATTATAACTTGCAACACATAGTAATTATTATCCAATAATAATAGACATACATAATTAAAATTATATGATACAATTCTCATCAGCTTTTTTATTAAAAGCATGGAATGTAAATTACATTGTTTTTATTATTGTATAATTTTCTGCAAATTTTTATAGGTTTAAACGGTAAACTTTTCTCTAATTAAGAAAAACTTTAAGTTATTAATTTTAGTACACTTTGAAATTCTAAATTATTAAATAAGCATTGTTTCTTATCAATATTAAATACAGATTTAGATTTCACTAAAAGAATGAAATCAAGATTGAATTCTATGATAAAAGTTTAATATAATAGTGCCGTAGTTATGATTTAACTAGTGATGTTTAACTAGTTGACTCTTGTGCGTATCTTAGACCAATATTGAATATGTTTTCATGTATTATTAATAAGAAATCTATTTTTTTAGGTATAATTTCTTTAGTCAACTTGAAAACTGGATTGAATATAAAATGATTTATTTTTTTGAGTATTTTCTTTTATACATCTATGCACTTTTTTTCTACAGTTTTAAATAAATAAATATATATATATACAAGTATATGTTTAATTATTGTTCTTTATTCTTAATTTATTAGTTGCATAAGACTAAAATTAAAAATATTAAAACGTTTGTTTTATTAAATTATTAAGTAATGTATTTGTTAACTTACGCTGTTGACCTCTCCAACTTGGACCTACACATTAATTTCTATTAAAAATTATATTTAAAACGAAAAACCATGCTTTATTTTAAAAATAAATTTTTTTTTTCATAATTAAAAACTAAATAATAGAAAAAATATTAATTTTTCTAATTAACAAATTATTTTTTTTGATTAGATACATAAATCTACTTTTACGTCTAGAAGTAATCCACCAAATATTTATTTCATAGGCAAAAAACTACTTTTGTATTTAAGAACATAATAGGAATTACAAACTTACTGAATAGCAAAACAATGTTATTCATTTTTTTTATACTTATCTGTCATATATTATCATAAAAATTTCTTATTAATTTAATATTTTCTAGACTTAATTTTATCAGACTACTAATTTATATTTTTATTCAAGTTTAATGAATACATTTGATTATTATAACGTTACTAGCATGTAATTATCAATTAACATTTTATAGAATACATAAAAAAAATTGGACTATATGAATAATTTTAATAGTGTTACTAAAATATATATTTTACAGAAATATAATAATTGCATTAGTCGATTTTTTTAAAAAAGATGTAAGTTTTCTATAAAATTATAAATTTAATCTAATATTATATTTCTCAGGTAATTAATAAATTTTAAAAAAGTGTTAACTTTATCGCTTAATGCTAAGTATTTAATGATTTTATGTTAAACATTAAAATTTTTTATTCTCTTATAATTTTTTTTTAAAAAATTAAGTTTTGTAATAAAAAGGTATTCAATAATCTTCCCTATTATAAAAGTTTCGAAAAATAAAAATGTAATGGACTAAAATAATTGTAATAATACCAATAAGTGTGAATTAAATAAATATTTCGTTTAATTACTATCAATAAAAAATATTAAGCTAACAGCAGTATTACATATTCACATTCATTATATATACATAGTTCTTAAATTAAGATTTATAAATCGTTTTTGTACTCTTGTAAATCATTCTTATACTATAAGTAAAAATTAAAATAACAATAAGCTTACTCAAATTTATTGTGTTAAACAACGTAATGTACATCATTATTAATACACAATGTTAGTTACATTCGGCGATCCAACAACATCAATAAGTTCAGTTTTAATATCTTGATCAGATTTTGGCTGTAAACTTGGTGGTATAATTAATGTCTGTAAAAAATTATAATGAACATTTTTAATATTTTATATTATAATAAGTATATTATACAAATTAATGATAAATAATAAAAATCTGTAATGTCTTATTGATGTAATGTCCGCGTTGAGACACATATAAGAACCACAATATCCGAGTTAAGATCTCTTAAAATGAATAAACGTAGTTATGAAACGAAGAAAGTGAATATAGCATTGATTGAAGAAAGTCTCAATTATTTAGCATAAAATGGATGTTTCTTAATACGAAGAAATTAGCGAGACGAAGGTAGTCGGAATGAGAAAAGCATGCCGGCGATAATGAGAGGAGACAATTACGAGTATACTATTTATTTACTATACATTTAAGTGAGGATACATATCCTTTAACTAGTTTGCATTATTCCAGAAAAACTTGCAAGTATTCAATCCATACAGTCAAAGTGGTCCAATTTGGGTTTAATATAAGTAAATAAACTAATTCAGCACTATGGCAGATGCGATCTAATTACAGTAAAGTGTATATTAATGTGATATATTTTTTCTAACAAGAGAAAATTATGAATACACTATCAAAAGCAAACAGCAAATGTAAAATAATAGTATCAGAGGAAAATTATGGAAGTATTTCAATATGCATATAATATACTAAAAAATCAAAACAATAATTAATAGTAATGAAAAATCGTTAAATATTAAGATAATTGATTCAATGCTCTGATTCTTGTTATTTTGATAACTCTTTTATAACCTATGATTTTTTTGGATTTTATACGTTTTACTGAACTATATTTTTGGATATATTGTTAAGATAGTTGAAAAGGAACTTCATATTAATATTTTTTATAATTTTACAGAGCAAATTAATTGTTTTAACCATATATAAACTCAACTTCAATATTCAATTACTATAATATAAAACTAATTGCAACTTTCTCTCTATTGCGCTAAGAATAAAGTTATTGTCATTTTAAATTTTAATATAAATTAATCAATTATCGAAATATAATAGCATTAAATATTTTTTTAAGTTTTTTTTATGTTTAATGTGCTGCTAATAAAAACACTGGCTTCTGTGGGTTGAGCACAAGAGACATTCGGGTAAAATATCTAATTTATTGATGTAATTATTTATGTGCCATAATTGATAAATAAATTCCTGATACACTAATTATATTTAAGAAATGTCACATTTTTGGATTTTTTAAAACCATTTATAATAAAATATATAGATATTTACCAAAATAATAAAATCAATAAATTAAACATAAAACAGTATAATTTTATAATTATTATACCTTTCCAGGAGACAATGCTTCATATTGATGCCTAAGTGATTGTAATTCATAATCGCAAGTTATCAAAGCTCCTTTTAGTTCATAATGAAGTACAATATCGCTTCTTAGTTCATTAAATTGTTGACATATTATTTCATTTGGCGGTGGATTCAAATCTAAAATAAAAAAGTAAATCCTTGTATTATTTAAAACCAACAAAACAAAACAAAAAAAAACATTTAAATAAATTTTACCAAGTTTCATATCAGACAAAGTTTGTTCAATGCCTTTCAATTTTTTTTGACCTAAACTACTTGGTAATTTTATTCGCTGTGAACGTAGTGATACACCACTATTTTTAAAGTCTGGAAATTTAATACCTGTTGGTTCTACAACTTGTAGTTTTATAGCCTAAAAAATTAAAGAAATGTAATACGTACATTAAACAAACAAATAATTGAAATTAAAAAAATTAAATAAAAATATTTGTAGTACTCCTATTAATTAATTTTATAATATATCTGTACAAAAATTAAATTTTTGTAGATGTAAAGATAAATTTGTATTTAGCAAATGAGCATTTTACACCAATTTGTACAAACAAATTAATTTGTTCATACCGATGTTGCTTATTCTCAATATTTCATAATGATATATTTATATATTATTATGCATATGTTAATGCAATCCCAAATACAAATAATTAATCAAAAGTTAAGCATGTCAAAATACCTTTAGCTATTTGGAGAAGAGCGAGTTTCGACACACATATACAATACAAAATTACTAGTATTCATAAAATAATAAAACATGTTTAAATAGATTTATGTATATTACCAAGTTATGAGTATACTAATTTCAAAATATATTACGTAGAATTTTATTTTTTATTTAAATGTATTCTGTAGTTATATATAAAAAAAATAGTCACAAGTTTCAATGATTAAAATGAGTAAAAGTTTATTAAATCAATAATAATAAAATAAGAAAGAAGCTTTTAGAAGATACAAATTAAGACTGAATATAATGATGATATATATTGCCGTTTTATTATCCTTATAAAAATATTGTTTATCAAGCCATATTTAGAAGAAATATTAATCTATGTTTGGGAGAAAATCAAGAGAATTATAGAGATAATGAAAATAAATTAGGGGATAAATATTGATGTTGAACCATGACAGAAATAATTATTTTATTTTATTCTTCTTCAGTTTTTATTTCTAATTTTTATAATTTCTATTTACAATATGTTAAAATCAAGAGCTTGCTAGCTCACCTTTTTAAAAAAAGAAGATAAAATGGAAATTTTCTGTATAATATGGTACAGACTATAATTATTACCTATAAAAACTATTTTTCATAATCACTTCAATTTGTTTACTAATTTTTTTATTCAAATGACCAATAAATAATCATAATACAACAAGCACTAATAATCATTACTGTAATACAATTTCCAAATTTGTGAATTTGTTCACAATATTTATTAAAACAGTTTTAAAAAAAGTATATTTGAAAATCATACTTTTTTACATACAGTATTTATTCGATATACATAAGAAATATATTAATATAAATATATTTATCTTATATTATGAAAGTAATAACTAAAAAATTATAATATAATAATATACAACTTACATTAGATGAATCTGCTTTATTTAGTTTATTTCTATTTGAGTTATTGTTTTTCTTTGATGATTTTCTATCAATTTTTCGAGGATCTACTTGATTATCTGCAGCTGTGATTAATTTTTGTAGATCTTGCGTTTTACGATCTCTCTCTTTCTTACGTTGTTCTATCTTTCTTAACTCACATAACAATACTTGTTCTTCTTCAATCTGTTCTGGTGTGCGTTCAAATAATTTTTTAAGTTGTTCTTTTCTTCGTCGCTCATGTTCAAAATCAAATATATAAGTTTTTTCATGTTGTGATTTAGCTTTACTTAAAGTAGTACATACTTGATAGTATCTATTATAAAAAAATTATAATATAGCATCTAAATTTATTAAATTATTTTCTTGCATTTATATTTTATAGTTAATAAGTGATTATATCATATAAATTCGATTATAATACATACAAATTAATTCAAACAATGAATGCTTAAAAATGAGTTTGATGCAGTTTTCTCTATATTTTCAATTTTAATTCATGTAATTTGCATTACTTCTTAACATTTATAAGTGAAATTCACAATGGTTATAGAAATAGAATATTCAAAAAATTAAATTCAAATATTTTTCAAATAATGAATTAAATAAAATAATATATTGATATACTCGATATTGTTTGTTAAAAAATTTCGAAACATATCTTAATATATGAAAATTAGAACCCATTATTATTACTTGGTTCTAGTAACTAAGTCAACAATATTTCATGATAAAAATTGTTTAAAGGTCTTTCAGTTTAAGGTATAGTTTATTATTTAATTATAATATAATCAATAAGAGTTTATTGTTATGCAATGAGGCAATATTAGTAGCATGTATACAAAATTCATTTCGTTCTAGTATGTGATATTTCACGTTGATATAATTCACACTGTCGAGTTCGTCAATACCATCTTAGTCAGTTGACTTCCTAATATTATATTATAAAAATATATTATATTTTATTATTATTACTATTTCTTTACATAGTCTATATTGAACATTATCAATTTAATTAGCCAATAGCAATTGTTAGTAATTGACAGAATATAAAATGAATAAGTTTTTAAATATATGCACTTTTTTATAATAAGCATTAACATCAATCCTGCACCACATAGCAAGATTTTGGTCAAAATTATTAACAGCTGATGAATTTTAGATCTTCTAATAATACTAAATATCAATTTTATTAAACAGAATAATGAGTTATAAATGGATCAATATTGAAATTATAGAAACGACGTTTTGTGATGTGAAATTTATTGTTGTGTAAACTCGTAATAACAAAATACCCACAGTAATATGACTTCCACAATTTAATTTAAAGTATTAACCTCAACATTGAATAACAATTCTTCTCTAACCTATTACAATACCAAAGACATTGTTTTTCTTAACACAGTTTATTTGAATTTTTTATTTCGTTTTATTACTATATACATATTTTGAAATTAATCCTATATTGTTTGTGTAACTTTTAATTTATGTATGTATACACATAATTTTTATATCTATTTGAATAATGTGATCTATTTTCATTTTCAAGTTTCACTATTTACTGAATTTAAATTTTTGTACAAATTGTATAAAAAAAAAACTTTTTTATATCTATATCTATTTTGTATTATATATCTATTATTATAATCTTCTTTTTTAAATATGTCACAAAAGTTTATTCACAATATTTCTTTTTTATGTTTATTAGTAGTATACATATGCTATCATCTCTAGGTTTTTGCTTTTAGTGAGCAAGCAATTCGTTTATCCTACTGATTTAGTTTAAAATACTTGTATTTGAAATAAAATTCAGTTACATATGTGTACCCTCCCTCTAGATTAAATATATTTACATAAAAAGTTCAAAGATATGATAATTAATACAATAGACTGTTAATTATTAATTATTTCCAAAAAAAATAAATATTTTTTTAAGGCTAATATGAAAAATATTTAATTAAAATCCATTGTGTACAGTTGAAGAAAACGTTTTTTTTTTAAATTTTGGATAAATAAATTTCAAAGTGAAGGGTTTATATTTATTGAAAATAAATAATGTAATTGACAATAAGTTTAATTTAAAAATAACTTAAAAAAATATATAATTAAATTTATTTCACTAATTATTGTATTAACCAATCAATGAATCAAATATTAAAATACAATTATGAGAAATTAAATAAATGATAATGAAATTGTTATAATTGAATGTTATTAAAAATATTAGAAGCAAATATTTAAAAATTAATTTTTAAACATAGGATTAAAAATTGTGTACTTAAGAGTATAAGGCACACAATAATGAAATTTGTGCAAAGTTATAACTACATGATAAAAAAAATTAAAATACAAATCATGAAAGGCTTCTTTCATATGATTGAATAAATAAATGCTGAGTATTAATATTAATATAAATTAAACTGTACCTATTTTTTAAATCTTCAACTGTTCTTGTTGGATATTTTTTATGATCCCACCTGTCATGTACAATAATAAATCTCAAATCAAATCGTTTACAAAGATCAAATAAATGATCCGTTTCAGCTCTTGTCCATCCACTAGTCACTAAATGTTGAACATATTCAGTATTTGTATATGCTGGAATCGGAATTTTTTTATTGAATTTGGCAAATGGATATTCTTTTCCAGCATCAACTACACGTCTCCAATGATGAAAAATTGCATCGTCCGTACGAGCAGGATTAGTAAATGGAGTCCATTTCCAGGACCTTACTTTTTTCATACCTAAATTTGCTTTCATTTGCTTATAACCTTTACCAGTATCTGTCGGAAATAATGGTGGAACATCGTTATTATCTTTACACAGTAATGCAAAAACTTCTCTATGCATTCCTTCAGGTCTCTTCGGTACTTTATAATCATATTTTTTTTTAATTCTTTTATCACCAGCAAAAATAGACTCCTTTGTAAGTTCATTTGTACTTGGAGATTCTATATCTAAAATATCTCGTACATCCGTCATTTTATAAATAAAATTTGATTTCTCTTTTAATATAAAAATTGTTCTTATTTTAGTTTAATAATCATTTTCACAATAACGTCGATGTGAGTTCTTCCAAAACGCATTTATCATATTATGATGTTCTTATAAACGTTGTAAAAAATCTTATAAAAAACTTACAATCATTTTTTATAAAATTTATTGCTTATACAAATTATAAATTTTATAAAAGGACGTGAAACAAATACAATTGCCCGTTTACTATCAAGCAAAACATAAACATCAATAATGCATGAAGAACAAAATAATATATAAGAAAATACTGAAAGTAAAGAGCGTATCATTCCGTGACATGCGCAATAGTTTTAAGCTTATTAGATTTTGTTAAAAATTTGAAAATACTGTTTTAACGTTCTAACATATCGAATTTATAGCGAGATAATATTAAAACTTCTTTATTTATAAATTTATCAAAATATGAAATATTAAAAATAAAATATATAAAAAATGTTGAATATCTATATTTAAATGATATAACTCGTACTTTTATAAGTAATACTAAAAATTACAGTTTCTAAGTTTTATCTTACTTTCGAAAGCACAAGCGAAAATTATATTATTTTAATTTAAATTTAATTTGTGTTTAATTGTTTTAATACAATCGTATCTATTTATGCTAATATTAATATAAATTTGTTTAGATAATTCTATTTTTAAATAATAGTATAATAATGTGTGCTATTACAATTAAAATTTCAATAAAAATCAAAATTAAATTAAACTTAAAATTTATTATTATTTATTCTAATATTTCATATTTGTTGAATAAAACGTAAAATTGAATATTCGAGAATCGAATATTGAGATATTCAATACATAATATTAAAATAAAGACAAAAATTATATCTAAATAATAATTTGAAAATTATAACGCATTTAAAATTTACCTACGAAAATTTATATTTTAATAACTTCATGAAATTTCACATTTGTTATGAATATATTTTTTGCGTAGAAAAATTATTTTAGTTTAAAATTTTTAATTTATAGAAATTAATGTATTATCTGTACATAAAAAATTTCCCTATTAAGTGAAATAAAGTAAATTAAATAAAGAAATGTATAAATTTTTATTTATGAATATTGAATATAAAATTAATATATTTTAATGAAAATGATTTTACAAATTACAAGTATTATAGGGAATTACATTATAAATTTTATAAAAGACAGACCTATAATTAGTTTATAATAATAAATGTATTGTAAATTATCTCATTGCTTAATTAATATAAGTATTATACTTTTAAAATAAAGTATGTAATGTGGAATATAATTGTAAGAAATATAGATAATTAAATAGGTGGTAGGGAAAAATTGATTTATTTCTGTCTTTGAGAAAATTGTCATCATAAAATTGAGTTCATATTATGAACTTTATAATTGCTAGTGGAATTCACGATCACATTCGAATTAACAGATAGAAAAAGATAAAAAACAATGCACTACTCGCTATACACAGTCAAGATAAGAAGTATTTATAAGTATATACAACAGTTTCTAATGAAATTGCGTGTTTCTGTACGCTTGTAAGTGTCCCGTAATTATGGTAGAAAATTTTACATATTGCAATTAGAGCGCACAATAGTGCACAGGGAAAAAACCAGTAATATAGGTACGATAGCGGTTGAGATATAGAAAATATAAGAGTATTTAGCAGATATTAACTATGTAATGAAATGAAGAAAAGAGGAAGAACTTGCAGGCAATACTAATGTACATATTAAGAAAGAGAAAAAAAAAGGGTAAATAAAAAAATGTATTCAATCGTATTGCTATGTTTGAGTATATTCTAATTCCCTTGGATGCATTCATAATATAATAATAATTATAATAACTTTATTCATTGAACCGATAGTTCTATTACATTCTATGTAAATATATAAAATTAGACATATTTAAATAGCTTTTTTTAATTTCATATTTTTAAATTTAATTTTTCATAAGCTCCATAATATCTTTTCTTTAAGTTATAATTAGTTGTATCTTCATTTAGTATTTTATAATTTCGGGGTTACTGTACAAAATGTTTCTATTTTTGCAATAAAAGTACAAGTTAAATTTTTAATTCAATTTTAATGACAGATTTATTATATCATATTTCAAGTAACTAACTATTATTTTCATTTTATTGGATCTTGTTTTGTAGTACGCATGAATATCAAATATTCATGATTGCATATTACTAAATCAATAGTAAAAGTACAAAATGATATTACTGATATCAAATTAATAAACAATTTAATCATCCATGATATTCGTATGGTTTTAAATAATGATAAAAATAATTAAATTATAAATTCAAAGCTATTCATTTTTTCTTAACAAATCATCATCAAACAATAGCGAAATAATTAGCATCCTAAAATTAACTTTTTTGCGGACATACTACTTATCGCAAAGTTTCAGATATCAAGTATAAAAACATATATTTTAACGAATTAACATTAAATCCAAATCACATCATTACGAATTTTCATTTTTTATCAAGTTTTGGGAATATAAATGTTAATAAAGAATTTTAGGTTTTAAGGATTTCTTCAAAATAAATGTACCGTTTAAGTAATAAATCTTCAAAAAAATGGCAGTTATAGAAAATTACATACTTGCAAAAGTAAAACTTCATATATTTAGTACATTAATTTAATTAAAACATTAAAAAAAATCATTTTTATTAATATTTAATAAAAAGTTGCTGAAATTATATTATTACTAATGATATTATTATTATATATACTAAAATTTATTTTATATATTTTTATTTCTACAGTCAATAAATTCTGACGTACGTATATTAACAGAAAATATACTTCAAAATTTTTACAGTCATAATTTTCCTCTAAGTATGACTCTATATCATTGAGTTTCACTTTTATTAAACTAAGATATTAAGTGGTTGTGTAAACGAAATAAAATGTAAATATTTACTTATCGATTTTTGAAATTAAACAATGCATTGTTTTTTTATGATAAAAATGCATTATAAAAATGGAGTAGAATTATAATTTAATAGTACTTAACAGGCTATGAAAATGTTTATTAACTTATTATTAAATATTAATAAAAAAAAATGAAGAAATAAATCTTTTTTTATTTATATTATTAAATTAATCATATTTCTATATTGATGTTAAAATTAAGGTAAATAAATTTAACAACTTTACATTATAAAATTATGTATAGTATATTATAGAATTAAGTACTATGTATTATATTATTATTAAATACTGTAAATTATTGGATATTTTAATTTATATTGTATAATTGAGAAATTATACCATTATAATGGAGAAAATGTTGGTTTTATGAATTTTTAAGAATAATACTAAAGAAACAATAAATAATTTTGGAAATATATAACATTTATATATATTCTTTGTGAACAGTTTAAAAGGATTATTAATATAATAGTAAAAATATATTTAGATATTTTTTAATTATTTATATTTATTATTTTTATTTAACTTAATATTTATTATTTAAGTATTTGGTAATCATATATATATTTAATATATAACATTTAGTCAAAATTTACAATAGATAAAACTTGATATTATATAAATAATACAATATGCATGAAAATTAAAAAAACAATAGAAATATTTATGTGATATTTTTAATATAAATTATTATTGGAAAATGTCAATATTAATTTTTAATGTAGTAAATAAAAAAATTTTTTCATTTTCTTAATAAGTACAAATAAGAAATAAATTTTGGTTATACATGTGTAAAATTAATTTCGTTTAAAAAATTTATGAAGTTCAGGTCATATTTACTTACCATGTTTAAATTGTGTAACAAGTTTATTATATTAATATTTGAAAATAGTCGTAGAAGATAACATTTTTCTTTTATAAGTAATATAAATATATTATATATGTATTATATTATATATATATTAATTAAATAATGTACAGTTTAGAATATGGTTTTCTGATTAATAAACTTTTAATTTTCAGTAATACGTTTTTTAAATTATATAGTATAGTAATGGAAAATTATATAAATTTTTCAGGAATAAATAAATAATATTATAAAAAATAAATATTAATTTATTTTAATATAAATATTTAATCATATCATATATATATATATATATATATATATAATAAGTTATAGGAAAATTTAAATAAAAACATTGTTGTAAAATATTGTTTAAAAAATATATATCTTGTAATATTTTTTATAGTTTCAATTTAAAAATGTAAAAAACATCATACACATTTATTAAACTATATTATTAAAGTGTACAATATTTAAATCTAATTTATATTATTTATTTTGTTATTTAATGTATACAATCTTAAATAGATTTAATATATAGCACAAATAAATGTATTTCATATTAATATAAGATTATGATTTAAAAGTAATTAAAATAATTAGAAAAAAAAGAACATTTTAAGTATTAAAAGAATTAATAATTCTCACTTTCCATTAATAAAAATCTAACTTTCCAATTACAAAACAAATTAAAAATAACTTTGTAGTGATAGAAGCTAATCCAAATATTATTTGTGAGAAATAAATACTACTACTGATTTAATTTAGAGAAAGTTTTAAGTGCAGAATCTCTATTCTAACTATTTTACATCCTCATTTCAATGTTAATCTGCAACGTATCATTTGTTTAAAACTATTGTTTATCTATATTATTTATGTTTATTCTGAGTCATTAGCAATACCTACATTTTGAATAATAAAGTTCAATAATAAAGCATAATTACATATTATTTAGAATACATTTAATATTATATTATTTTTAAAATATTTATATTTTTAATACTAATAAATTCTATGAAGAACTTTAATAAATCAAATTTATTTTTCAGAAATATTGTAATTATGTCTGATACATTTCAAAAAGGTGTAATATTTACAACATTTTTTTTGTCTTTATTTTGTGGAAGTTTGGTTTGTACATCTTTAGTAACAAATCATTGGATTGAATCAAAACCATGTCGACGACTGAATCCTTTAGAAAGTTCAGGTCGTATTTATTTTGGACTCTTACATGGAAGAAAAGAACTGAATGTTGCATTTGGCTTAAGGACTCATAATATTACAGGTATAATTAAACAACGTAATATTTATTATTTTTATGCAATTAATGAAACATTATTGCAATCTTTATTTAAACATTTTCGACTATAACATAGAATTAAATTTTTAAAATGTTTTACTAAATAATATTAACTAGTAATGAATTGAAGTAATTCTAAATGAAAAATGAGAAAAATATTAAATTATATTTTTTTCATATATCCATTATGCATTTAGAAATATTTATAAGTAGTATTATAAATAAATACAAAATATTTCAACGATTTATCAAGTATATTTTTATTCTTGAATAATAATAAGTTGTGTGTATTTATATATTTAGAAATTTATTATGCATGTGTATTTTGAAATACCATACATCCAATATGAAACATGTATGAATGGTTGCTTGCATAAATTTCTTTGTAAAGAAGCTTAGAATAACAATACAAAAATGAAGGAAATATTAAAAATATTAGATGTTATTTTTTACTGTACTAAGGTATATCAATTATCCATTTCACAATACTATTGAAGTGTTTATCAAATAACTTAATGCAGTTAAGAAAACATGAAATGAAGAGACTATTTACTGTTTTTAACTGAAGATGTAGGCAGATGCTTTTTTGTTTTTAATGTACTTAAATCATTTTCTTTAAAAAGCCTTGTTCATAGATAAATATGCACATTTGCATATGTGTGTTATAAATATATAAATCTAAATACAACTATTTTTGTATAATAGTAAGAATTAATTTATAATATTCTTTTATAGTATTGTGAAAATGACTATTAATAATTTTTTATTTTTGGCATATAATAATTCGTAGAAAAAATACAGACAATGTACAGGCAGTATGAACAGTAACGAGCAAAAAGAACAATTTATTTCGGATAAAATTAATAACCAATAATAATATGTCCCAATAATTTGAATATAATATAATATTTTGTGGTATATTGACACATAACTTCATATTATATTTTAAAATCAAATCTAGCCGTAAGATGTAAAGGGAATCGAAATAAATAACCCATCTGAATAAAAATTAAAATATTCAATGTTTAGCTATATTATAATATGTATTATAATATAATATACTATAATATAATATAACGTATATTAGAGTAGTATGCATCTAGCAGAGTATATATATATATATATATATATATATATATATATATATACTCTGTGCAATGAGTTATTATAAATAGAATAAAAACTGTAATAAACATTCCATTTTACTAATGATTATCAACACATATCAGTAAAGATGAATAATACATTATCTAGTTGCTTAAACATTTTGATTGTTACATCGAATATTACTTATCATTGATGGACAATATTCATGTACTAATCGAAAATGAAATATTAGCTAGATCGGTGTTAAATACACATATTTAGTATATTATTAAAGTATAGAATTGTTTTTTTGTTTTGAATAATTTTTTAAATAATTTGTAATAAGATTATATTGTAAACGTACTATTAATAGTAAATGAAAATCTATAAATAATTTAAGGATTTATATCATAAATGAATATTTTATTTCGTTTTTCTTGTAAATGGTGCGTGCTCTACATTCCGAAGATATTCAAACAGATAATCAAATATTGCTGATCATTTTGAAACTTAAATTACTTAATAATTCTTTTCTTTTCAAATTCATTTTATATTATTTTAAAACTCCTAAATATTTACAAATTCAAAAAATTAACTTTTATAATCGAAGAGTGGTATTAAATATTATTTAATATAAGGTTATTTAAAAAGTATTTCATAGTAGACATAGTATCTCAAGAAGTCATAGCATTATATAATTTAAAAATATGATAATTATGAATTAATTATTTTTTAATTTAGCATTGAAATGAATGACGGATAATTTTAAAAGTTGTTTAGTGAAAAATTTAACTAATTGTAAAACATTGTGTATATATATATATTAATTATTTATATAATAGAAATAAAGAATGTATTAATTTTCTACTTGGATAACTAATTTACGAATATTGTATATGTTAATTTATACATCGTTATTTATTAATCACGATTCATTTTAGATCTAACTAGATTTAAAAAATATGTAACATACGTTTGGTCTATATTATATATTAAATAGTGTATATTCCATTACGTGATTAATAAATGTTTGTACTTATTTGGTACTTGTTTTAAGAAAAATCATTTATATTACTACAGAATATAATACTGTAGTTTTCAATGTTCAAAAATTATATTAATGAAGTACCCTGTCAATTGAGTTTATAGTTCATAGTTAATTCTGTAATTAAATATTTACTTGATTTTTTTAGTTTATTTGCTGTTCTCTAGCACTTTCAGCTTTTATTTTTAGAAATTTAGAAATTTTTTTAATCTAATTAAAAAATATAATTTGCAATAACATTATTTGTGAAGAACTACATACTAATATACAAATATATTAAAAATTATATATACATATATCTCTTAAAAATAAACTTACATATTAATACTTTTAATTAAAGTATATTATGTGTTGGTATTTCTTTAATAAATTATTTTTCTATTTTTAATAGTTTCGGACATGATTGATAAAAATCCCAATTTAATGTCCTGGAGTCTTTGGTGTTCTACTTTAATTTCAACATCGATGGCTTTATTAAGTACAGGAATTGCTGCACTTTTAGCAGTTGTCAACTCCGTAACTACACCACGAATTAAAATATTTTCGGTGCCTGGCATTTATTTTACTAACATAATTGCACGTAAGTATTTTTTAATTTTTTGTCATTAATATTTTGACAAATTAAAAATTTTTATAAATAATTATAAAAACTATTATTATTATTTTTATATAATAATACAATAATATATAATAATACAATAATTATAAAAACTATTATTATTATTTTTATATGAATCATTTTTATTGATATATGATACTTCAACTAAAAAATTATAATGGATTTTGTAATATTATTAGACAAAATCAATCGCAATTTCAAAATAAAAAGTATCTAAGAATTTATTTACTATATTTACGTTTTCTCGCTAAAATATTTTAACAGTTAGAATATATATAAAATAATATTTTTATTTATTTATCGATTTCAGTAATATAAATTATGTAATTTATAAGTGTTTTAATGTATATGTATTTTTTTGTTAGTTAATTAATTATCACACGGATTATAATATCATATGAAAATTATATTTCAATTTCTTATGATAAATATTTGATATTTATAGTAATAAATTAGCATATTAAATTAATTAGTATATTAAAAGTAACTTCGTCTCAGGAAGTTTTATAATATTTTATTTTTATATTGTATACATTTTTTTTATGACATATTATTATTACATATTATTATTACATATTATTATTACGTACACTGAAGTTAGTAGAACATTCAAGTAGAATATTTATAAAAATATTTTAGTAGAATATTTGTTTTTCTAAAATCGAAATATGTGCATTCATTTTTGTAATTCTTCAAAATAAATTTTGTTTTATAACAATATGTAAATATTTCAAACAATCTAATACAATTTACATAAAAAATATACGAAATTATACTAATTTATTCCTTTTTTTTTAATAAAAAGTTTTACTCTCTGACTGTTCTTATTTTTTGCCTTTATATCTAGAAATTTGATACACGCTCCTTTTTTTTGTGCAAATTTTACTCATATATTATTTAGCCTTTAAAACTGTATCTATTAATATATATACTTTTATCGGAACTTTCTTTATTTGCAATATTGTTTTACACAGAATTTTACCACCTGTGCATCATATTACAACACGACGTACAACTTAGGTACTCAGTTTGTTGTTACTTATGGTAATAGGTGCATAAGTTTTGTAGTACATGTTTTTTCGATACTCGTGATAGGAAATAGTTTGTTAGTACAGACTTTAATAGTATTATTTTATAGTAATTTATAGTTATTTAGTTATTTCATTAATGATCCCTCCATCGATAAGATTTTTCTGTAATATGTATGACGGTTAAACGAGTGATGATGAAATATGTATGACAATTGAAGATATAATTTGACGTCAGAAATAAATCAACGTATTGTTCATAAATTGTTTATTTTATTGCTACTTTACACGGACAGACTCGCAGGTACCAATTAAATTTTAAGTTCATATCCAATTTACATAATGTTTAATAATTAATGTGAAAACAGTTTCTAATAATAGTCTTTCGATATTGTGATGACAGAGTGCTCTATAGATGGACTCTCAAATGTAATTAATAGTATCTATTTTTTAAAGAGTAATTTGAATTATTATTTTAACTTTATTAATAATACTTTCAATAATATCAACAATAGGATTTTATACATATTGCTGTTTGATTCTTATTTTTTTGTAATTAAATTAATAATATATTAAACATTGTTATGTTGTTATAATTTGAAAATAGAAGACAAAAGTATAATTTTCGTATGGATAAAATGGAGATAATAGAACGAAAATATAGAAAGTTTTCAATTATCATTCTATATACTGGCAGTATCAATAATAATTTTATTATTTTTTATCGATTTGAAAATATTCGAAATTAATTGTTAAAGAACGATATTAATAATACAGGTCAAACTTAACTTAAATTAGAAATATTTATATACAAATTAAAAAAGTATCTTTCTTTAAATATTGCATCTATCTCTACTTATCGTTATTCATTTTTAAAATTTCAAAACAATTAAAAGTTCATCGTTATACTATAATTTTTCAGCTTTTTGTCTTAAAACCGTCAGTGTATTTATATAATTAAACTATCTATTTATTTAATTATATAATTAAGTTGAATTTAATTTTTGTTTTTTATTTTTATTAGTTTTTTCAAGCTTCATTAAAAATCATACACACGCGCACGCACACAAATATAAACACATATAACAAAAAATTTGTTTATTAAAGTCAATGATAGAAAAGATTTATTTCGTTTTCATTAATGTTTAGAATCTTATTTCATAATTTAATAATTATTTGTTAATTATTAGTTATATAAATTTTTTTAATAATACGGTATAATGTATCGAAAAATAATATCAAGTAATGTTTTCAATATTTATGCAAAAATTGGAAAGATAATTTAATTCTTGTATAATTTTAAAGTGTTTTATAGCTTTTTCTAACCTTATTTAATTATAACTTAAAAAGTAGATTTTATTATTTTTTTAAATAGCAATTACATAGTCTAATAAAATTAATATTATATTTAACAACTTGATTTTTCAGTTCTGTATTTGTAATATCGAATATTATTCTTTATGTAGTTCTAGAATGTATAAATTATTATTGGTCTATGCATTATTTGCATTAAAATTACTATCTAAAGAAGTCAGCAGATTTTGATACAACATATAATACTATTTTAAAGAAACTTTATAAAACTGAGGCCTAAACTATTAGTGATTCTTTAATAAGTGGATTTAATTAAGAAATGTATTTGTACTATTACGAACCCGAGCATTTTTTAATTTGTTCGAAGATATGTTAAACAAAATTAAGTAAATTGTTTATTTTTAAATTACTTCTAAACCTTTTGAATGTCAAACTAAGCTTTTACTTTTATAATCAAAATTAAAGGTTACTTATATAGTATAATTATGATTAAAGTATATCATTTTAGTTTTTATGTGTTCAATTAGTGGTTGTACGTGGTTTATACAATTTTATACTAAATTGTATACGAATGTACTACCAAAAGAAGATTTAGATAATTCTTGGACCAGTAAAGGAGCGACTGTGTTGGGTTTTTCTTTTTGGTGAGTCTTTATTTGTTTAATTTATATTTAGTTAAATTATTTATGCTATTTACACAACAAATTACTAAAAATCCGATTTATAAATAAAATAATACAAAATTGATTTGTTTTAACTAATAGTTGAATCAATATTATAAATTAATACTTAGCATACTTGTATAATTATTAATTGAAACTTTTATTAATTTAAAATATTTTAAAAACTACAATCTGATATTATTGTTAAATATATTTAAAGGTCAATAATACAACAAATAGAAATAGTTTTTTATATAATTTACTAAAAATTAAACAATTTTTTCTTTGTTGATTTATATTTTTTGTTATTCATAAATAACTAAAATTCCGTTTTGCTTTACGTAAATCTGCTAATTATTTAATTGAAAATAGTAACAATAAAATATAATAAATTTAATACAAAATCATCATTAGTCTTTATAATGATAGTTATATTTTATTATTAATTTAATGCAATATTTAGTTATAAAAATAACTATAAATTATCTAAATATGGTGAAATAACATATTGTTTAGGATAATATTTAACATAAAATGTAAGTGGAACTATTTTTTTGTATTCTTTCAGGCTGGTTATTGTTGCTGGAGTATTACATATCATTAACATTTTTTTAATTAAATGGAGTTCAGTACGTAACAAAAAAGAACATCGAAAATCTTTTAACAATTTAGAAGAAAAATCGGTTGGTGCCATAATGTTATATTAGATAATACGTGCAGTTTAATCTACACTATTTTTATGAGTATTTCTAAAAAAATTTAAACAGATACATTAATGTTATTATTATTATTATCGCTTTGTATACGAAAATATGAGGTAGATATGACACTCATTATTTTCAATATTATATAAATATTCAAAAATTCATATATAAATTTACTTATTAATTGCATTCATTTTATAATTATAATTTGAATATTTTGCAACTAGTATATATATCTATATATATTCTACATTATTTTAATATAAAATTTTGAGTCGTTTTTATGTAATTTTATTATATAATAATTTCTCATAAGATTATAATTAATATCACATACTGCATAACATTTATTTTAATTTATATTAATTTCATAAGTTGAATATAATTAAAAATGTTTTTTATATGTAACTAATTATTGTTTACTAATTATAATAAGCATGTGATATTGATATATAATTATTAAAGTAATATTTATAATAATATACAATTATTATTATAATTTTTTAATTCGATTATAAAAAATATATTGACTTAGAATATGGAATTAAGTTAAAATAAGTTATAAATTCGTAATTTTTAATGTAAGTTATTATATATGAATTTCTTAGGCAGATCAATGCTTTGATTTAAATTTGTATGAGATATTTACTACAAATATATTACTAAAAATGAACTATTAATAATATGACCTAATGATATTTGCAATTATTTCTAATTCATTCGGAATAAAATTGTTCTATTATAGAAACTACATTTTTTTTTAGTTATATATTTCTAGTAAATAAGTGGTATATAATTAATTTCTCAATAATCTTTCAATTATATAGTTAGATCTATTGATGAATTAAATAGAATCATTATTATAATTATTTTTAGTTCTAATTTAAGTCAACTTTATAAATTATTTAATATAAACATAAAATTCACAAATATGCATGGCATCTATAATAACTCATTATGTTTATATTATTCGACGAACAAGAAATAATGCGTAAATTCAATCATATTCTCTTTGAGCCTGTACATTTTATTCGTATATTATTATTTAATGTATTTATTTATATTAAATTTATAGTTTCGCGTATAAATTATAAAGTTTATATATTAACATTAATAATATATATAGATTTAAAAAATCCAATTCATCATAATTTATTTATATGATATAAGTAAGATACTTATCGAAGTGAATCCACAATACGTCAAAATAAAAGTTTCATTTTTTAAATATTTTTAATTACTGTGTATTTATATTTTTATATATTTATATGGTGCATATCCTACCTTGATAATCCATTACCTATGCGGTATGCAAAGCAGAAACGACTTACGGTGTTATATATCTATTTTGAATAGTTCTTTTTTTAAAAATTGTGAAATAGCTGTTTCAATATATGAAAACAATATAGTAACAAAGCTTTCATTATGCAAGAGCAATCCATTCCATATGTATTTATATTTTTATTAATTTTCGAAATTGATAAAAAAAAACTTAGAAGTTTTTGTATTTCTATAAAAAAAATTAATTATTTTGAATAATTTGTAATGAATATGTAATAATGCTGAGAGATAGACATTTTTTAAATGATTAAATGACGTAGTTGAGAATTTGAAGCATCGTTTATTTTAGAAATAAAATATATGAAATATGAAAATTTTTGAAAATTAACTATTAAAGCTTTTTCTGCAATTTTCTAAAGTACAAGATTCCTTTTCTGATAAGATAAAAAAATCTAATATAGAAATGCATATTTTATATGAACCAAGAATGTATAATGATTCATTACCATGAAATAGCAACTGTATAAATTTATAAATTTCAAAAATAAATTAAATATTTTATAAAATAGTATACACATATTATCGTATACATTTAGAATTAGAAATAAATCATTTAAATTTTTTATTTTTCTTTATGTATTTTTATATTATTTATTATATAATACGCGAAAGAATACAGAAAATGATATTCTTGTAAATATAATTAAATTATATAATTAATTTGTTATATTATTGTCAAAAACCAATTTTTTTCCAAGAAACGACTGCTCGTTGATCATTCGATGCTTTTCCAAATGGTTTTAAACCTTCAGGTGTAATATATTGATTCACTTGATAATCTAACATTATTTCATATTTAAAGACATCTGTTCCAAGTTGCTGAAATAAAATAAATGTTAAAATATACATAATATTAATTTTTTAATTAATTAAATATGTATAAGTATTTTGAGATATATTCCCATTCAAGTAACTAAAAAATCTAATTACATAAAAAATTCTAATTAAGAATTTAGTAAGTAAATACCAGTTAGTATTATTTAGATTTTATTTAATATATTTTCATTATTATATTATTATTAAATGATTTATATCGACATTATATATTTTTTCGGGGCAGTATTTTTACTCGTACAATATGATTATATTTTTCAATTTAGTGAAAAACCAATAATGAATTTATATATTGTAGATAATAAAATTGAATCAATTAAAAAATAGAAAAACTCAAAAATAGTTGGATATTTATTTTCTTTTTAATTCAATCTATAGGTGATTCTTAGTTTTCATAATCTTGAAAATATCTGCGATTAGAAAACATATATATCAGAAACTAGAGTAATTCTTTGTATATTATTTATTGAAAATGTAATAACGAACTAGAAATATCACAGTAGTTTAATTTATATAAACCAATATTTTAGCTCACAAATTATTTATAAGCTCGTTAAGCTCAACATTGTTGCTTTCCTGTTGGCATCAAACTAAATCAGATCAAATTGTGTAAATTTTTTTATATTAGGCCATTATTTTTGTTTTGATTAATGGTCGCTTCAGGTGAAATTAAAATAGTTTTTATACTGTTTGTGTTCACTTGTATGTAAATGAATATATTTTTATGACAACAACCAAAACAGCCAAAGCTGGGGCCGTAAATAAATCATTTGTTAAATTTTAATTATCTATAAAATTATTTTTAAATAATTGACTTAAATTGATATATATTAAATACTGTTATTAAGTTCTTAAATAAACTAAATATAAAATATAATAATATAAAATATAATTGTCCAACCTATAGTATATATATTCAAATATTACTTATACAATAAAATAGAAAAATGGCATTTCATTAAGTAAAAATTTTAATATTTCCAACTATATTAATAAGTTAATAGTTATGAAATATAAGGATGTAGTTTTGATCACTCGCAGTTGGTATAATTTATAATATTTATTTAAGAATAAAATGATTATTTCTTTTTTAATTTTTAATTTTACTTTAATCATGTATTTTTATTTAAAATCATACAGTGATTAATTTTTTTCAAATGGTAGAATCATCGATGTCTAAACTGATTTTTTATACTTGTATCAATAATGTTTATATACACAGAGATAAATAAATATATATATATATATATATATATATATATATATATATATATGTATAGCAATACTACTTAATTATATAACATTTTAAAGGATCATTTGTAAAATATTCGCATTTTTAATTCTGACAGATAACGTGTAACTATCTTAAATTGTTCAATACTGTCTAATATGTATAATCTATATCATATCTCCACATAACATATAATCAATAATATATGTAGTACAGAATATAGTAGAACATCATTAAGAGATGACAATTTTTTGCACTGTGTTATTATTTTAATCTCTAATACTGATCAAGTTTTGAAGTTCGAATATTTTTATTTGTTTTGCTTGGATTCCTAAACTTATAATACTATGGAACCTTATAGAATGTTGTCTGTTACTTATATTTGTGTGTAATTCAACCTATTTTATTTTGAGGAGGTTATAGGTTATTTTTATAAATGACAATGTTTATTTTATTCTTTATTATATGTTTCTGCGGAAATGCATAATTATATTTCACTTTTTATTTATTTATATATTATATTGATAATTAAATGTTCCAATATACATTCATTCTGGGCGAGTTTAAATTATTAAATTTGCAATAAATATATAATGAATGGATGTAAATTTGAGAGTAATCCTGTCATAAAATATAATATGTATTCTAAGGCATGTCAGAATAACTGGTGGTATAGATATTTGAGGTAAAATTTGTACTATGAACGTTTATTTTATTTGCTATTATGCTATTTTATGCGTAAATTATGTGTATATATACATATTTATATACGAATGTGTTTAAAAGCTACTATGTAATCAGTGATTATAAGGAAGAAATAAAATATAAAGTTAAAGTGTAATATATATAAAATATTTAATATAAAATATTTTACTTAATGTGTTAGACATGTGAAAAAAGATACATAATATAATGCCGAGTATTATTTTAAATAGTATAAAATAAATTTTATATTAAACAGATGATCTTTAAATAAGTTATCAAAAGATATTCGGACACAACTATACATACTATTTTTAGTTCAATTTTTATAGGAGTATTAAGAAATATTTGTCAGGTGAATTTGTACAATACATTTGAAAAAGTAGAAAGTTAATAGAAAATTTGTTATTTATAAAAATATGCTTAATAAATAATTTCTGTTTTGCTTTAATTTTAATAAATAATAAATATTATTAATAAAAAGCATACACACGGATACGTGTTGGATACGTGTATACACACTTGGATACACATTGGATATGTGTATCCAAGCTAAAAAATTGTATTATTAATAAATGTTTTAATACAAAAATCTAATTCTATAATACTTGAAATTTAAATAGATTTTATATGTCATAATAAATTAAATTTTTTTCGCAACGAGACTTATATATATTTATATATATAGTAGGATACTTAATCTAATATAATATTTAACATAAAGCATCGTATTTTAATCAAATATATGATACCTTAATAAATATTATAAAAAATATAATTATAATAAATATGATTCTATATATTTTAAATGAAAACAAAATAGATTTCAAGCAAAGAAAGGATTAACAATAGCTTTATTTATATTTGTTGTAAGTTTGTAATATTATTTTTATTATGTGAAAAGTTTAACTTTAATTAATATTACTATTAAATTTTATCATTATTTTCAATATTATTTTTCAGATTTTTGTATAAAATTTTTAATATTTTAGTATTATATTAACATTTTATGTATGAGAATATCTATTTCTATTTTCACTTACCTGAGTTAATGGGCTTGTATTTGTAGTAAAAATACCAACAAAATTATTTTTTTCTGCTATTTCTAGACATTTTTGTTCCATAAGCCTCATGAGAAAAACGTTTTCTGCAGCATTAAGGTTGTCATTTGTTGCCATCATAAAGGTATGAAAAATTTTATTTTTTCCTTCAGGTAATTTTTCTCTTATTGGTTTCTCGAGATATTCTAAGAAATCAAATATAATATTTAATTTTGATTGAATACAGACTTCAGGTTCTTCTCTAGCGTCAAAATTTAAAGCAACACAAAGAATTTTGTTACTAGATGAAGACTTTAATATGAAACTAAAATTTGCTTCTACTAATGGAGTCCATAATTCTTGCAAAAGATAAAAATAATCTTCTTTTTTGATTTCTGGTAACAACCATCTTTCAAGATCAGCTTTTCTAAAGAAGCTTTCGGTGATCATACTGCAAAATTTTAACGTTTATTATATTTTGTAGAGTGATTACAAATGTTTTATAAATATAATTATTAATTAAATACTATTCGACAGCATAGTTTATCGTAGAGTTTGTATTTTATCTATTTCATAATATTATATTCATTCCTACTTGTATTTCGATTCACTGGGCTCATACAAAAATAAGTTATCAATAAAATAATGTCATAGTGAAATAATAGAATGAATATACTATTAAGAAATATAAAGAACAAATTTTATATGTATGATATTATGGATATATATTATATTATGGACAATAATGTTCTTATAATTATTAATAGTATATTTAAACAATAAAATCTTTTGATAGTTTTTTAAAAATATATGTTTATTATAACGAATATAAAGCTTTCTGGCTTCTCAAAAGTATTAATAAGTTTGGTCATAGTTAAATTATATTAAATGAATTATATAGAGTGAAAACAAGTTATCAACTAATTTTATTTATATGTTAACATTAATATTAAAATAGGGTATGGTAGTAGGATTGTGCTACTGTTTATAAGAGAATGGTCTATGCTTGTATGCATGCCAGTGGACATAATAAATTAATTTTATATTGAGTACATAACTTGATAAATAAAAAATCCAATGAATTAATTGGACAATTAATTGTAAAAATAAATAATTATTTATAAAAATGCTATAAAATAGTCTGCATGCATTTTTATTAAAATAATAAAAAAAATTTTATTTAAACATGTAGATTTAATTTATATATATACGCGAGATCATTAGAAGTGTTTAAAACGATATAATAAGACTTTTATCATTTATAAATATAATCTTCTTATATATTTTTTCTTAAGATTTTATTACTGTTTTTATAAGTGGCTAGTCATTAATAGTTTTTTATGAGTAAAAAGTGCATAATACTAATAACTTAATATTATTGCACTTATTGCTTTTAGCTTGACTGTTCATGGATTTAGCAAATGATTTATACAGAATGATAGTATAATTAAATGAGTGATTCTAGCTTTACATGAAAAAATAAGAATACAAGTGATTTAGAATTAAGTTGATTTTTAAATTAAATTAAATTAAATTAAATTTAAATTAAAATTTAAAAAAATTAAATTAAAGAAAGAATTAAGTTGATACATAAAATATACTTATAATATATGAAACAAACAGAAGCCTTTTTTGTTATGCTGTTTTCTACAATTACAGTACAAGATTTATCGTTACAATATAACTATAACATTATGTTACATTCATTGTTGAATTCAGATAGTATAATTGTAAAAGCTTTTTTATATTGTTTTATAATGTTAAGCAATAATATAATTTAAAATTATACGATGATATTTTATATTTGAATAGCTACTGAAAATTATATATATTAATTTATGGTAATTGATTTAAGTATAAAATTTGTAATTTTGCAGACACTGTTAAAAAATTTAATTACTAAAAAAATTGATAATCATTAAACTTATAATTGGTTGATGGAGTAAAAAATTTTTCACGTACATTTAAAAAAATTTATGCGTGACCAGAAAATAAATTTCTAATTTAAATTAGTTATGTTCTAGAACTATGCGTACTTATGTACGAAAAAAAATGCAACAACCGTGTACCGTATAAAAACGTATGTTATACTTATGTTTAAAATTTTTATATACATCGGATGATTCAAATTTCTCCAGATGTATTAAAAATTTGTATATCTATTTTTTGGATAGATAACCATATAAATCGACATCGTTTAGAAAATATATATGAATCAAACTTCATAGATTTACAAAATCACGTATAAATTTTCGAAAACCATTTAAAATTTGTTCGATTCGCTTGCTCATAGCTTCGCATGCAAAGAAATATTCACTACTTGTAAACTTCTGTTCTTAACAACTAGAATGTAATGTATACGTAACTACTTGTACAAAACCTTCAGCAATAAGTTTAAAAAAAGCAGAAAATGTAACGATAAACTGATTTAGAAACATTATAAAATATCATTTAATTACAATTATTAAGTACTTATTCCGTTTATCATTAAATTAAAATCAAAATATATACTTTTCAATATATGTATGTGTATGTGTCTAAACAAGTATTTAATTTTAGCATATTATACTCACTTGATTACATCTTCTTTGTGAGATTCATTTAGCATTTCTAATACACATTCATTCATATCTGTAACATCTTCAACAATCTCAGTGGAATTACCTACTTTTATTTTGTCCAGAATACTTTTCATCGATGTTGCGGTTATGAAATCTGTAATTCCAATATGAAGACCTTTTTCGCGCAGTTTTAAAACCGTGTAAACAGAGTTTAGAGAATTTCCACCAAGTTCATAAAAATTTGAATGTATATTTAAATAATTTTTATTTTTTAAATTGAGAACTGAATCTATTATTTTAAATAATATAGTTGCCTTTGTTAAGTCTTCTTTTGAAACATCAGTGTAATCGTAGTGGCATATTTTGCTTTCACCTAAAACTTTATTTATATATAATTATATTAATCATGAATAAACTAATTAATAGTAAATTTATTAAAATAAAATATCATTTACTTTGTAAGTAATAAAATATTAGTAAATTTTGCTCTCAAATGTTCTAATGAATAATGTGTTGTACATTTATTATTGTTCTTTAAAAGTAAATCATTTAAAAGTATAAGTTTTATAAAGGGGGTATAAAAGTTATATGCAGAAATAGGAATGAATGACGTGTAAAAAATTTGATTTTTACATTTCCAAATATACATGTAGGCGTAAGAAAATGACTTCATATCGAAATATATGCTATATATTATGTTTTTATTTATTTTATTTATCACGAGTTGACTTTTTATGAACTTTTTAATAATACTATGGAATCAATCTTTTTTTTATTTATTAAGAAGTAGAGTCAGTATAACAAAAAAGTTCTTATTTAAAATGAGTTTATTAAAAAAAAATATAAAAATTTATTTGTTGCTAATAACTGCAGAAAATAGATTTTTTTTTAATATAACATTTGAAGATTGGTAATGCGAATTTTTGTAAAACTTTTTTATTAATTCATTATAATAGTTTGTAATTTTCTTAATAGTATAAACCAATTAAGTATATTTTTAATGTATAGTTAAAAGATTTATTATAGTATAAACACTAAATTAATATAATTCATCGATTAAATAAGTAAAATATTTTCTTACTGAATTTGTGTGATGTTCTATAAACTTCCAATAATTTTTGACGATCAGTTTTCCCATTTATAAGTAGTGGAATATTATCTAATATAATTATTTCTGGTATCATATACGATAATAATATTTTACTCAAGATAGATTTAATTTCTTTTATTTCAGTATTTAAATTTTTATCATTAAGCACCAGAAAACATAGTAAAATCTGAAATTTAACCAAATATTATTTATTTTAAGATATAATAACAGTTTTATAAAAGAAATTGGTATTTATATATTAGTTATTAAATATACATACCATAATAACATAAGGGTTGTTTAAAAGATCTTCAAAATAATAGAAAAGAAAAGAGAATAACATGCTACTGTAAATTTGAAAGTGTTTTTTTGTTATCATAACATAATAAACTATCGTGATAATAATTATTAATTCTTTAAATTTAATTATTCATATAAAAATTAAAATTATAATTTTATTTTTTATATATAGTCATCAAAAATGTTATTTTTTAGCTTACAAAGTTGTTGCAGACATTTATTTTGTCAAAAATAAAAAATATTTGTTATAAAAACGTATAAACCTGGCGCAATTTTTATTTACTATTGTATGTATTGTATGTAAATAAATAAAAATTGAACTAATAAATGTTATAATTTATATACATATTAGTTGTACAATATGTTTAAATAATCACCTGTTCAGATTCACTGACATTGGATGATAAAACTACAGCATTCTTTACTATGGACAATTTCAATACAGCCTTTTCTATTTCTGTAATATCTATTCGATGGCCCCTTATCTTTATTTGATTATCTCTACGTCCTTCATAAAATATATGGTTATTTTCTATTTTAGCATAATCGCCAGTTCGGAAAATTCTTGAAAAACCTAAAAATTATACTAAATATAATTACGAATAGAAAAAAATGTATATTATTGCTTGTATAAATTATTATATGCTAATATAGTATGATAAAAATTGCTCTGATGAATGCATCACATTATAAATATATATTGACATTATAAATAATTAAATTTAATAAATTAATTTTGATTTCACTCATATCTACTACTTCTTTTGACCCTATCAGGTCTTAGTAAATTCATTCATAACAAATCGATTGATTACAAGTTCATATTTGAATTATTAATGAAAGATTAAAATATAATTTAAAATAAATCTTCAAATTTTCATAACTATAGTACTTAGGATTTTCATGGAATTTATCGCTCATAAGTGATTATATATTACAACATATTTTATTTTTCTAAAAAAGGAAAGGGAAAGGAAATGATTAACGAATTCTTAATTTTCATGTGTATTACACTATGCAAAAAATAGTTGGCCATTATTTTAAAATTGTATTTCTTTAATTAATAATGGTTGGCGATTAGACCGGTTTTGTTTTGTTTATACTTTTAAATTTATTATTAACAGAAATAAAGCCGTGTATTGACTTTTTATTGATTGACGAGTAAGTCTTCGAATGTATTATATTTGCATTTAAATGCAACGACGGGTCGTTGAACAGTACGTACCGCAATGTCTTTTTGAATTTTTTGTCTTCGTGTGTGATTTAATTAAAATCCTTTTTCCACTATATTACTTATATATGTGTGGATGTATTACACAAATAATAATCCAGCGTACATAAATTAGGAAAATTACAACTATTTTATATCAAATAATTTAAATTTATTATGTTGACTTTTTTCATCTTTGAATACAAATAAGAAATTCGTATACGATTAATTTAATTGATCACAATTATAATTACTAATATTATTTTTTTACAAACATTTATATTGACATATTTATTGTACGTATATTTATGGATTAAAAATATTTAAAATATTGCATATTATTTTATTTTATTAACATTTCTACTCACCTTGTTCTAAAGAAAATGGATTATTTATAAACTTCTGTGAATTATTATCATGAATGTATCCGTTAGCTAGATTTTTTCCAGAAATTAATAATTCGCCAATTTCACCATGAGATAATAAACACAAATCTTCATTTACAATATATACAATATTGTTATCGATTGGTTTACCTAGAATTAAAGTAATCTAAAAATTAATTGTAAATTTTGTGAATAATTTCTATTTTTTAAATATATTGCTATTATCGTTCTTTAAGAAATGAGAATTATAATAAAAATTATTTGTTGCATTAATAAAGATTTTTTAAATGTTACAGTATTAATTTATCATAATTCTATCATAAATTGTCAAGGATGTGAATAAAAATAATTTAATTGTAAAAACAATATTGTAAAATAAATCATATATAATTTAACATAATTTTTTTATTATATGTACAATCCAGGATAATGTATGATACATCAGATAATATTTTTTTAAATAACCAAATATTTCATATAAATTTCACACACGGTAAAAGTAGCTTTTTTAAATTGTTGTCATGGTAAATACTCTAATTGTTAGTATAAATACTAATTATAATATATTTTTCATTTATATCGTCAATATTACAATAAATACTGACACTGGTATGATATCTTATTTGCATTTTTTAATAGGAGCTTAATAAGAGAAAATAACAAATGTGATTTTTCCATTTGATTCCATGAATTTATTTTATTTAGGTTATATTTTAAAATTATTATAATCATAGTACTATGATTATATAATTATTATATAAAAATACTAATATGATGTTTCGATTTTATTACAGATAATTAAAGAAAAGAAAATACAGATAATTAAATATATAGTATGTATTTTAAAATTCTCAAAATTTTATTGATTTTAAAATATTATATGTACTAATTTTTATTATAATTGTCTACTATCAATTTGATACTTGTTTGGCTTTTAATATTCTTTGGAAAATAATAAATTTGATGTCTTTCAGATTATTGTTCTTTTATTTTATCAATTAAATATGTCAACTATAATTCATTGTTATTTATCATTATTATTTATATTTTATTATTTTAATATATCAGCTTTAATCAATTAAATAATTAATACAATTTTTTACAACAAATAGAAAATAATGCATATGCTACTTTACTGTATAAAATATTACTTGGAACCTTCGAATAGAACGATTTATCTTTGGGTAGCAATATATCTTGTAAATATTTGGTTTAATCCTCAATTTGGTAACTACTGTTATTGCGAATGATTTTTTATTTATATAAAATGTATCGTTTTTCAGTCACTTATAGTTCAAATATTTGTAAAGATTACTTTTAAAATATAAATATTTATTATTAAAAGCTGAAAAATTGAAAGTAATATCGTTAAGAATACAAGAGTGGATGAAACAATTAAATTCTATATTTTGTTTTCATAAGGAATAAAGCTGATAAACTATTATTATGTGTTTATACCTATATAATAAACTTCTTTAATATTTGATTGTTAAACTTAATAAACTGTAATTTATCAAATTTGCGAAGTTTATAAAAATGACAGAAATTGGTTGTTTTGAATTATTCGGGCCTGTGACTCTGTTAAATTTTGATTTTTGGCGTTTCAAGAATAAATCTAACTTTTTCGATTTTAGATTACATATATTCGTTGAGTGTTTTATTTATCTTTTTCTATTTCATACACTATATTTCGTTGAATAGATATTCTTAATCGTAAATACTGCAATAACATTTTGAAATGTCAATACATTCACATTTTTAAATTACTTGTTATAATATTTTAATTGTAACAATGCTTTATTAAAATAATAATGAAGAAGTAAAATAATTGTTAAGAAGGTTATTAATTATAAAGTAATTGTATAACCTTCTACGTTATAGCTTGTAACATTATAATTTTATTACATCAGAATTAATTATTTATTACCTGACACTATAATTTACAAATTAATACATAAATATATATAATAGAGGAAACAAATAATGGAAAAAAGAAAATGTACATGTGAATAAGTAAATCAGGAGATATGAAGACAAAATGTAAACTAAAGAAATAGTATATTCCAAGTAAAGATATATAATATGAAAAAACAATAAAAACAAAAATAGTTAATTTAACGAACATAATCCTTAACAGAGAAGTTTGAAAATTCGAAAGTCAAAATAATTAGACTAGAGTAACACAGAGAAAGTATATAACCATCTATAATTCCACTAATTTTCATATATCATATTCATAGTGCAATATTAATGCAATAATATGTGCAATAATAATGCAATATTTACCATTTAATTTGTTGAATTTGTATTTAATAAATTTGATAATTCACATGATGAAAAATGATAATATTTCCGAGATGTACCAGTTTATATACTCGGAATATTCTATAGCTTTAAGAGGAACTCATAAATTAACTTGTTTTCAGTTCTATTTACTCATAGCATTTAAAAAATGTACGTATGAATACATGTTTATTTTTGTATGTATGCTTTTAAAAGAAATTTCTGGAATAATACCATTTTTTCTATAACTTTAAATTGTCATAAACTATATTGTTATAAATTCATACTTGATTAAACAAATAGTTTAACTATTTAATGAATTTATTTATTAATACATTATTTATTCATGACGCTAGTTATACGTACCTATCGGCATTTTACTTTCATATATATATGGATCATTTTCGGTTATTAAATAAAATGTAACATCGCCCATTATTTCTGTGCTACCATAGAGATTAGCAATAACTTTATTTTGTTTAGAAAACCAAATAAAAAACTCTTGAACCAGAGATGGTGATAGTGTTTCCCCCGAACAAATCCATAGTTTCAACGATTTAAGACAATCTTTATCTTGCTATAGAAAGCAAAGCATATAAGTTATTATATATTTCGAAAATATATTTCAAATAGATAAATATTCCATTTATTACCTGAAAATTTAAATACATCAGAAAAGATTTCAATAAAGATGGAACTAAAACAATTCGTTGAATCTGAAAGTAAGTAATACATAAAATATAAACTAGAATTGGAATAAAGAAAATATTTTATTTCATCTTATACTGTTATTTTGAAGACTTTAATGTTTTGTTAGTTATATAAAAAGAAATATAATTAAAAATACTATAAAAATGTCACTTATTAAAATCGAAATTAAGCATAAAAAGTACTTAATTTAATTAAATGTTAAATTTTAGTAACAATGTTTTATCTTTCCCAAGTTTGTAGGTTGCTTAGTTAAATATTAAATACTTAATATTTTGATATATTTACTATAATTTTGATTCATTTCTTACTTAAATTGAATTCCTTTATTAGATAATATAATTTTAATTAGATTTAGAAGACCAAAAAATTTGTATGTAAGGATAATTATATATTGCCTTAAATTTTAAATATACAATTAAAGCAATGCATTAATATTTTTATAATTTTTATTAACATAAGAAATTTATCATAAAAATTTTTACAGAATTAAGAAATTATTATCATAGTTGCCGATTCTTCCTATATTCCCGTATTCATTATATATTGAACTTTGTACTTATGTAAATGAGAAATTATTTATATATTATTTATTGTATGATCGCTATATTTTATTTGATTCGTTGTATATGATTCACAATATATAATTTCGTACGGTAATCAATAAACCCATACTGTAGCATAAAGTAGCTTTTATTAGTAGCTAATTAATCAATGTCGGTATTATTAAGTTCCATGAAAAACTTAAAATTTTTATTTTAAAATGCAATGAAGCTTCAGCTTCAATTATATTTTTAGTTGATTTTTAATAAGTATATTTTTAAAAATAATTAATGCGAAAGGTATACAAATTATATATAATTGATTTTGTTGCTATTTATAAATTTTATCAACTGTAATAAAATAGACAAATTTGGTTTTCATATTTTTATAATGACCTATTTAGAAGATGCCAACAATCATAAAGTAATCTAAAGAATAATATTTTTTAAATATTTTAGTTTTTACATAGGACATGTAGAAGTGATTTGTTGAATTCATTATTATTTAGTAAAATGGTAATTTCTGAACTACTGAATCAGTCAGATATAAATGTATAATAATGTTAGAAATAAATATTGCCGGCGTTAAGTTATATAAATTATATATATTTTATGTATGATGTATAATTGTTATATAAGTTGTAAAATTATATCAGTTATATAATTATTATTATATATATGATATATAAAATATTTTAAATCAAATTTTTACTTATATGAATAAATATAAAAAAATTCGTTCAACTATTGAAAAATCAAAATATTTCAATTTTAAATGTTTTAATTAACTTGATCAATATATATATATATATAAATATACTTGATGCGTATTAAACGTTTAATAAAAGTTATTATACATACTTTATACTTGTTCAAAATTATAACAAACTTTTCAGGATCTTTTGTTACATATTTAGGAATAACTGTTAATGTACGACCTTGAAGTAGTGGACCCCAAATTTCACAAACACTATCGACGAATGTTAATGCTGTCTTAAAAATACAATAGTCTTCATCTTGTTTATAAGGTAATGTTTTCCATTGCCAAGTCAGTCGATTCATCAATGCCGAATATTGTAATTTTACACCTACAAAATTTGAAAAAAATGAAAATAATTACTACATTTAATAATATTTTTAAATGCAATCACTATTTGTATATAATATATATATATATATATATGTATATAATTTATATAATTTCAATAATAATTTATTAAAACATCAGTAAACGATTTTCTTAAGCTAAGATAGTCAAATTAAAAATAAAAAAGTTATAAATATATTTTTTTAATTAAGTAAAAAAGTGATTAATTTGAAATCTAATAATGATAAAAATAGTAAAAATATCAAGAAAATAATTTATTCTGAAATTAATAATGATTAAATGCATAAATAAGTTCGTAAGTAATTTTAAAAAACATGGAATAAATCATGTACATTAATGAATTATTATTACAAAATTTCTGATGTTTTCACAGGTATGTCGCATTGTTGGTTTATAAGAAATTGACACTCGCAATTCTATTTCTTGGTTAACTTATGTATATATATATATATATATATATATATATATACACATATATGCATGCGCGCGTGTATAATTTATTGTCCTTTGTAATGTAAATGAAATATTAGAAGAATGAAAGAAATTTTAAAAATTATTATAAATTGTCTGAAAGCTAAGTGCATGTAATCTGTAAAAATTAATTTATAAGCTACTGCTCAATTCTCATAACTATATAATTTTATATTCAATGGATGAATTTGGATTCTAATATTATTAGAAAAATTTTAGTAAAAAATAAAAAGTTGCTAAATTGTAGATTAATTTTAATTACCTTTAGGTGTACCTGTGCTACCAGATGTATATAAGATAATAGCAATTTTAGATTCATCATTATCAATTTCAATTACTCCGGATTCATTTTCTGATTCAAGTATTATTTGTTTATCAGTGAATAACAATACATTATTATATATACTAATATCAGCTGAAAGTTGAAGAGAAATTATTGTTTTTTATTTTATAATTGTATTTTAATTCTTTTTATTTGTAATTTACTTTTGTTCTTTATTTTTATTGTTATTATAAAATTATTTGTATATAAAGATAATATAAATATTTTTATAAGATAGCAATAAAACTCACTCTTTAATAGTGTATAATGTTGACCCACTAAACATTTTAAATTTTGACATAATTCCAAAAGTATCATAAAACATTGATTTTTTTTATTAATGAATTATTCTTTGCAGAGTTAAATCTTAAATAAAAATTAATTATTCTTAAAAAAATTATATTAAATAATGGTTTAAGTCTACAAAAAATTTCAATTTGTTGTCTTTTTTCTTTGTTCAATGGAAATTACATATTTATGTAAATAATCCAAATTATTCTTTTACACTACACAATGCGCGTATAGAGTTTATCAAAAAAATATTCCAACAAACATTAAAGCCATACTGTTTTTATTACATTGCAGAAAAAGATATGCAATAAACTACACTTTACGATACAATAAAGGAAGATAATATTTTTTCATCGTTTTGTCTAACTAATTTTATCGATTAAGTTGTTCATACTTCATATAATATTACACTTCAACAATATATTAGTCTAATAATGGTGTTCTACATTTTATTGATCTTAATTGATGAACTCTCATTGAAAATATTCACTAGCAATTCACTGTATATTATTCAAACATTCGGTACCAGTAATTTGAAAATTTAATGGTGAAATATACGTTTCTTATAATATATATCCATAATTGAAGCATACGCCATGAGTGTATAATCAGCTTCTGTCACACAAATAAAGTTATTACATCATATTATAACATTATAACATATATAATATTATATTAATATAATATTATAACATCATAGTATAAAATATTATTGGATTGAAAATAACATTGAGCTCTTAGATATGTATAATATACTTTTTTATGTTTGCTAATTTTGGCAAAAAATATCCAGTTTTCAATTGATTTTTTGTAAGTTGACTTAATATATCGTCCGAAATATTTGTAAATAGCTCCTTTAAAGCTATTTGGTTAAATTTATCATAATTTCAAATTATTTTTCATTCAATCGATATATCATATATTATGTTTAAATAAAAAACAATAAATACCTGTTACTTCGACAATACACATTAATGGCTGAGAATCTTCTAAAATATGTGTAAGTCGGTCTTCTGGAAGTTCAGTGTCGATTGGTAAATATGCCAAACCAGCTTTCATAATTGCTAATAATATTACCGGTAAGTACTCTGATGGTTTCAGAGAAACTCCAATAATTTTATATTCTGATTTGTTGCGATCGGAATAACGCTGAAATACCCTTGCCATCCGATTAGACATTATATCCATTTCTTCGAATGAAATAAATTTTGTATTTAAATCATCTGCAAAATAAAAAGTTTAATTTTCTAAACTTTATATAAACAATAAGTAATGATTTAAAATTTTTATTAATAACATACAAATCATTATATTAAAAAATGCATTCAAAAATAAAAATTCTTTTTAAATTTCTTGGAAATCTTTTATAATTTTCTCTTTGTTTTTCTCTTTAATTTTCTATTTTTAAAAATATTTTTAATTATACATAGTTTTTTATTTATATACAAAAATATTTTCTAAAAAATTTGAAAAAATTTGAAGTAATCATACATATTAATTAATTTATAACAAAATTTTTCCGTTCATTATTGAAAGGTACTTTAACGATTTAGAAAAGGATTTGCAAATAAATTCTTATAAATGATGAAATAAATAACTGATACAAAATACAACTTAAAGTTTGTAATAAAGATTAAAGATTCACTAAAGAGTTTTTTAATTATTAAAATATTCTTTAGTTTTATAAAATTTATTGATTATTGGAAAATAAAAAAACCAGCTATACAGTTTTTTTTATATGAATACATACATTTCTCATAAATATATCATTATAAGTATGAATTATAATATATTATGACACATATTATGCAGAATATTTTCATAATCTATGCAAAATAATTTAGGCCATTTAAAATTTTATTTTATATATATTATATTGTGGAATAAGAATATTTAAATCTTAATTTTATAATCATAACCGATTTTTTAATTGCAAAATAACTACAATTAGGTATTAAGAAAAATATATCAAATACGTATTCAGTAATGAAGAGGGATATTTTATTTCGTGCTCTATTTATTTATAATATAAAACTCAAATGTTTGTTATAATATTATTAATGATAAATAATAAGTCAAATTTGCATAAAAATTAAAACATGCTGTACGTTGTATAATTTATTTAATAATTATGTATTTAATTGTAGGGATATTTAAATAATAAAATTATAAGTTATGTGCATCTACTGAGCACTGAATTCTATTTATAGAATTTCTTTGTATATTGAAAAATGAATAATATATTTAAATACGGTTTTTCATTTTTAATTGGAATTATTTATATTTATAACTTAATTTGGTTCAGCATTTATAATACAACTAAAAAACCAAACCAATGAAATTTCCCTTAACGAATATACTTAATTCTGTTATCTTTTAATTCAAATATAAGCCTACTATTTTTTTCAATGTAGATATTTTACATTTAACAAATTTTTACATTCAAAAGTAATATTTACAGTTTTTAAATATCAGCATCACTAATATATTAATGAACACTTTGAGATTTATTTTTAATAAACTTTCCATCTTTTTATTATCAAAGCAAAAAATTTATAATTTATTAAAATAATTTGTGCTCGTTTAATTTTTTTTGAGTTTTCATGTGATACTTTTCGCCATTAAGAATCAATACAGCATAAACAGAATTAATCGAGAATCAATTATAATTATGCCAAAGTTAGGATATCGGTTTTCATTTATTAACTCCGTCAGAGACTTCGGTACAGGTATATGAGTATGATTATAGGGATTTTTAATTAGTTTTATAATACTAATTGCAAATATAGTACGATGATTATCATGGAATTTCAACAAATTCAAAATTTAATACCAAAAAAAGTGCTTGACTTTCTAATTACCTGTAATTAAACTTAATAAATATAAGTAATAGGTCTAGTTTAAAAAATTTTCAGCGAAAAATTGTTTATATCATCATAATTTGATTAAATATAAGAATTTTTAATCATGATATGATTAGAATAACTTTATCTTTTCAGTAAGACACAATAGCAACTTTATTGGTCAGTAACAAATTTATTATTCTAATATACGAAATACTGTAAGAGCTAAATCTTAAAAAACATCTAAATAATTTATAAGTAATTTTTAATTCAAATAAGGTAAGAGAACAAATGGTAGATACTGTCATCAAATTTTAAAGAAAATCATAAATATTACAAGATATCTATATTCTTAAAAAAGCATAACATCATTAAATCAATAATTGAATAAAGTTAAATTATTATTTATTTTGTAGATTGAAGCTTTCGTATGATATGTTTTAGATTTGAAAATATAATTGAAGCATATAAACTACTAATTTAATTATAAATTCATATAAATGAAATGAATTAAATACAGTCAATCTATAAATAACAAGATTAAAGAATATCATTTAAACAGAATCCGATGAAAATACTTTATTTATTATTAAACTTTTATTTAATATCATTTTATTTAAAAAATGTAAGTATTAACTTTTTATTTTATTACACTTGTGTTTTAAAATCAAATTTTTATACAAAATAATTCCTGCCTTTTTATTTAAAAACATTTAAGTATAATTATTCGTTGTTGGTCATAAAAAATTAGTTTTAAGAAATATCTTAAATTTAATGAAATAAACATAAATGAGTCTGTTCGAAAATTATTTCTGCTGAAGTTAAATAAGATATACTAGATATTCAAAATAGATTATATTATGCTACAAATATAATATTTCGAAATTAAAATATATAAAATATATTTTTATGTCTTTAAAAAATGATCCTAAACAATATTAAAAGAATTAATAGTATACAATACCTTCATATAAAATTGCAGTTTTTGTTTTATGCTTTTTTACTATATCATTGAAAATTGTTAGAAATTCAACTTCATGATCGCTTGACAATTTACCTTTGAAAATTGATTGTGCTATACAATACTCCATCTGTAATCAAATATAGTAATATATAAATTCTAATACAGACGAAAATTATAATCAATTGGTTACTGAAAGTAGAGCTAATCAATTCAATTATACATATTATTACAGGGCATAAAGTATACTACAAGAAATAAGAATAAAATATAGACACTTGTTCATTTTATAAAAATCACTACATAAATATAAAAAAGATTGTCATTAAAATAAGAATTTTAAAATGCAATATTAAACTTAACGGTAAAAACTTTACAATATTGTTTATCTTATAGCATAATAATAATTGAAATTAGATATTTCAGTAATATTGTATCTCATTATTATGATAATTAAATATATTATAACGTACATATAAAATAATAAATTCAATATTGCACTATAATTTTAGAACAAATATGCATCAATATTTATATTACGTTTTACATTATGAAACAGAGTTGAACTATATTTGAGTGAATGTAACTATAAAAGTATATTTACGAGAAATAGAAATATATATTATATTCAGTAACAATGATAATTTGTAGTTACACTGTGATATGTAGAATGTACTGGAAATGGGCACAAATATAAATAAGCAAAAGTAGAAAGTACATTGATTTGAAGCTCATGCAAGGAAAATTTAAGTTTATTGATTCTCAATGATTGCTCAATATAAAATTAAAGCAATATATATGTACGTACAGTATTTTAATAATCATAATAATAATAATGAAAATAGCAATTTTGAGTATTATATATACATATATCATCGATATTATTTTTTATTATTATAATATTTTTGAACAGTAAATATAACGATTCTATTTTTTTTATTTAATTTAAAAAAATAATTTTTCATTAATCAATGATAATATTTTGTGAATAAGAATCGTAAAATAACTTATTGTATAATTTCTGGTCACAATTACATCTTTTCCACTCTTCTTTAAAGCAATTTTCAAAGAAACGTGACATACACAAATTTGTACACATATTCACACATGTATATATATATATATATATATATATATATACAATATATAATTTGCATAACTGGTTAATAAGTCTTCTTTTTTTTCTTACTTAACGGACGAATGAATGTATACGATTTTTCTCTTCCTCTATAAATTTCTTAATAAGCTCACAATGTATATTAGGAACTCTTTCGAGCTGATCTACTGTATTTGATATATTAACCAAAATATAATATGAAATGAGTTTTTATTATAACATATAGTTAAGGTATCTACGTTAAGAATTTGTTGAACTTTTTTGATGAAAATGATCACATAATTGTTATACGGAATTTTCTTTCTATCGCGCTGCATGCATGTTGCACGCACATACGCGCTGAAGACACACCACACACACATACACAATCTTCCCTTTTTATGAATACTTAGCTTACATTCTACATTTTAGCTTACATTTTAGCTTCTGTTTTTTCCATTTTTTATTGAACTTACTTTCTCTTTCTCTCTCTTTTTCTGTATCGCACACTTCAACTTTTCTGAAAGTTTTTCATTACTATCTATTATATTTTGTAATTGAGTTTATTATCGGACATGTAGCTGAACAGGTATCAAGTGTCGTTGAAATTCATATTCTTATTTCATATCCTTCTTCCGTTCATATTGCTTGAAATGAATACCGATAAAATACATCATTTCTTTTTACAATATATTTTTTATCTAATTGTATTTTTTAATTTGAAATTGAATGTATGCTTAATTTTTCTTAGTGAGTCAGTTAGAAAAATTAGTAAAATATATTGTGTTGATTCAATATATGTTAAGTTTTTTGAAAATTATATTAAATTATCTAAACTTTCGTTCAGAAAGTAACTGAAATATAGTTCACAATTAAAAAGGATATAAAAATAAAACTGCCAAAAATACATGTGTACATTTGTTTTTAAAAAGTTACCTGTAATGTACCGAATTATTAACTGTTTAGTTTTTTTTTATTCAATATATTGTGTATTTTCAATGGAAATATGATAACAATGTATAAGACAAATATTTATGCAAAATATTGCCCAACTAATGGTTAAATTAAAAATTAACTGTTATAATAACAAAACACACATAATAATGACGGATACATAATAGGGCAGATGATTGGCATTTTTATATTGATACGATGGTCAAACTTATAAGATAATTTTTATTGTGATAATATAATATAGTTACTATCTTTTCAAATATTTAATCAGTCTTTTTAATTGTTTCTTATAATAACAATAATTTTACGCTGCATTTTTTGGTTGACTTATAAATAGTTTGTATAATTTTTTCATAACATAATAAAAAACTTTTATAATTCTGTCCTTATGTAAACTATTTATTTATTTGTAACCAATAAAAATAATGATCTTTTTGTATTTAGCTTCCTATAAGTATTTCTGTTGTGTTTTCTATATGCGTATATATTTGTTTTCAATATGTATTATATCTTTTTTAATTTTAAACTAATTTTGAAATATCAACATATTTGTATGATTTATAATTAAACATTATTAAGCCTAAAATAAATAAATAAAATAACCTATTGAAGATTTTAATATGTATTCGATTTTTTAATCTAGCAAGATCCTATTAGTAAAAATTTTTTAGACTATTTTACTTTTTTACTTTTTCTTCATAGAAAACCCTTGCAATCTATAAAAATTAAGAACATGCAATAAACCATTTTAAATACCTTAAACAAATTTGAATGTATACTTCCATCAGCTCAATATTTCATCTATGGATACATAGGTGGCTTAGTTAATTCAATTAATTATACTTGTGCAATATATTTTAATCATATATAAATCGAATACGCAATAACTACAAAACATCTTATTAATAAATTTACTTAATAAACTTAATCAGATTCTTAATAATAACAGTACATATAATTGAAAATTTTTAATTATATAAGAATTCAAATTCATTTTAAATTTTGTATTAGCTATGTCAGAATTAAAAAATTATTATTATTTAAAAGTTTAAATAACTACAAAGACTATTGCATCATGCTCTAATAGAACTCATAATTTCATTTGATTACAAGCCAAATATATTAATAAAAATAAATAATAATAGATTTCGGAAAATTTAAAATATCTGTGTAATGAACAATATAAAATTCTGTAAAAATTAAAAAAATACATTTCTCCTGCATTTAAATAAGAATAAATCAATACGATTAAAATTTCAAAATACATCTGAAAAATATTCTATAAAAGAGATTGTCTCTAAATATATTTCAAATATTTATTTAATTTAAGCAAATAAATTTGATTATACCGAGTTTATATAAACTTTTTTTTTATTTCAAATTTAAGATTTATTGTAAATTTATTCTTAGATTTTGTCTTAACAATTTGTCAATTTATTTTAAATAGGTATATATATTCAATTACATTTTCAAAAACAGCTAATCAATTATGTATAATAATTTATTTAAAATTTTATTATGATATAATATGAAATACGTGAAAATTATTCACATTATAAATAATATCCTTATAGTTAAATAATAATACTTAAATATCCTTATTATTTAATGCTTGAAAAATTTCAAAGAAAATATTTAAAAAATAATTAATTGTTTTCATGTAGTTTGAATAAAACAAAAACAAAATATACAATTTTCTATGAGATATTGCTACGCATTTTTTGCAAGTTAATAAATTTCTTTTCATTAAATATACTAATTTTGATTTTAATTAGTTCTTCAATCCTACAACGGATTTAATTATAAATATAAAAATATTGTAATTTTCATAAATAATTTGATTTACTTATATGAACTTTATATATTTAGTTTTTTTATAAGTATTTATGATGGATATTGACATTTATTTTATTTTTCATAAAACTAAAATTTTAAAACTCGAAAATTTTTATAAAATTTAATTTTAAAGATAATTTAAGTTTTTTTTCAATAAATGTAAATTGTAGATTTTTTCAGATTTACGAAATAATTAAATATGTACAATTATTTATTCGAATTCAATTGAATTCACTATCGTTATTATAATATTAAGTAAGTAAACAAAAATATTATAATATAAAAGTGTGGCTTTTATTTGACTAACTATTATGAAATAATTATTAAAAGTATTACAATATAATAATGTATTTTTTAATTTTCAAATAATTTTTAAAGACTTTTTGCAACATACACGCACCGACACGCACGGGCGCGCACACACTTACGTACACATGCACGCAGATACTCATTATAAATTGATGTTATAACTAAAATTTGTATATATAGATCATTTTATTACTTTAATTTAAGCATAATAAAACATAGATATATCAAATTATAAATTGTTAATTCATTTAATCTTTTTCACTTTTTGTAATTTAACAGCTGTAGGAATATAATAACAGATTCTTATGCAACAGTACTTTTACATAAAATTTCAAAATATAATTTTTGATTGTTAATATCTATTATATAATAATTCGTGAATCACTATTTTTATTAGTAATTTAATAATTGAGTATTATCAAACTATAATCAAAGTAGGTCTATTCTGCATACTAGACTTGTTTTTTCGCATAAATACAACTATTTTACTTATACATAGTTTCACAAATAAAAAATGTAACAAATTTTATACTAACCTTCTTTGTTAAATATTTTTAATAAATTACTTTATTAATATATATTATTATAAAGAAGTTTTTAATGAAATTTAAAAAATGATATGGTATTAAAGATTACGCTACTGCTAATAAATAAAACATATTAAATCAATTTTATTTAAAGGCATAAAATATTCTATTAACATAATAATATTAGCACTTGTTAAATACTGTTTCAGTAATAATCAAAACTTTCTGTTATAGTACACAACTCAGACTCCCGAATGACTCTGCCGTTTAGTTTCTTGCGCTCTCCCTTTATTGTTCAATGCCCACCGGCGTGGTCACTTGTGAGAGTTCTCTCACTGTCGTAGCATAACTTTATATTTTAAATACATTATAATTTTAAAACATTTTGTTATATTCAAGTCAAAGCAAGTATAATATAATTTTATAAGCTTTCTATAGTTATAAAGCATGGCATGCTATCATTTATACATATTCAATTAGTTTATATTTACATATACAATGTATGTATGTATATTTATATATTCCATATTGTGTAAATGTTCTATGTATATAATATATATTTACACATACAAATACACAAAGTTAATGTTATTAAATATTTACATAGTCACAAGATGCTATTTAAATACTAAAAGACTACTTATGAAAATGCATGTACTATTAAATTTTGTGTTGAAGTTTAAACATTTACAAAAAAACTAATATTTTATTAAGAATATATAAATATTTCATTTCAATTATCATATTTATTAATTTTTAAAGATTTCTTTTAAGGTGTTTGAATGTTTTATTGAATTGAAACAGATGGTAAGAAATTAAGTTTCTTATTTCATAATATTAGATACCATGAATGTTAAAGTGGGTTATAAAGGAATTAGTAAAGTATCGATATTTATGACGTGATATATGTGATCATGACATAATATAAATTTAGAAGAATTTTTTAGCAGTCATAAATCTTATCTATCTATCAATATATATATATATATATATATATATATATATATATATACATTCATTCATTCATGGTTCGTCGGAATATGCGTATGTATGTATATGAATAGCTAGATTTATGTATATGTGCTTATGTGTGAATGTATATAAATATGAACTTGCCTATATATATGTATATATGTTAGGTACTTATATAGATACATATTGTTTTGTATACTATAAATTTTAAATCGGTAACCTAATTTCTAACCATCATTCCTTATTGCAATTATACAAGATTATTTATCTGGGTCATTTCACTTATTAAAAACGGTAATTGCATTGCCATGCATTAAGTATTTAAGTAGTAGTTAAAACATATTCTTTGTAAATAATAATTTTCGCATTTTTTGATGAAATTTATTTTAATGAAGGCGTTAGATTTTTTAATTTAAGCTTATTTTTCATATTACTAATAATATTATATAACCAATATTATAAAAGATGCTTCCTTGTTGCGTCATATAAATTATTTATTGACTTTAAAATGACCTTATATTGTAATAATGTTTGCGTAAGCTGTCGAATAAAGGACAATATTGAATAATTATTTATATTTAAATAACTAATTCGCATTTTTTAATTTTGTAAGTATTGTGTTTATTAAAGATATTTTATATTTTCAATAATAGAGTACATTTTAAACATAAGTGTATATATATATATATACAAAGTTTAACATTTCAATTAGATTAAATAACTTAATTTATGTTGCATGATATACTTAATTTTAAATTATATACGAGTTTTCAATCGTGTATTTTATGTAAATATTGATTTATTGATTCTGTAATGACAGTCATTTAATACAATACCGTTACATTTGGAAAGAAGTTGCTATAAAAAATTATTTCTACATAGTTTTTCGAAATCTTTAGAAAAATATTAAATTACAATCGCAATATTAACGTACTTTGATATTTAGAGTTTTTCTACACACGCACCTACAAAATAGTCATACTCGAATTCATTGATTCAGCATAATAAGCAATAAATAGTATTTTTAATAGATAATTTAGTGTTCTCGTGTAGTATAAAGAATATTTTCCAGCATGTGTAGCGACAGAAAAAAATTCATTTCAAGGTTTATGTAGAGTCCGGATGAATGAGTGTATTAATACCCACGAACACATGTATATACAAGCATTAGCACACTTTCAATGAATGCGTTTGTACGATAATTACCTGAAATATTGTGAATAAAGCTTATAAGGAGAAACTTGTAACTATTTTAAATAAATTTAATTTTTATATTTTGTCCAAGGAAATAGAGAATATTAGATAAATTTTATAAAATACATAGATATTTGTAATATATTAATTATGTATTTTTTTATTATTAAACTAATGAACGTATATATAATGAGAGACCATAAGGTTTTTCCTGATTTCTTTATTTATATTTTTTATTGTTTATGTAAATAGATATAAAAGTTACATCGGTTTATTAAATTTTTTCAGTATATTATCAAATATCTATTCGATCCTTTAACATAATGTAAATACATATTAAAATAGTATAAAAAAATAGTAACATAGTATTTTTCCTTTTTCTTTTTATTGCTTTATTATCGTTTCTATATTTTAGATACATTAAATAAATCTTTTATTTAATACTTTCCAGATTAACTTTAACATTTAAATGCAATATAAAAAAAATTACCAAAATCCTATTACTGCTTAATTCTTTTTCAAATTTATTTTTTAATTTTGTTTATTAATCCAAATTATAAATTCAATTTTTATAATGCCAAATTGTTTATAAAGGTACATTTTAAATTTAAACAATTATAAATATATATAACTTATTTTATATTCTCAGTATTAATAGATTATAAGATTTTCTTTAAAGTTACTATTTATTGCAAGTAGTTGTAAATTATTATATGTTTTTGCTAATATTCTTGACATCGCTTTCATTAGCAATAGAAAATATTGATTAGGTAAGTAAATAAAATAGATAATAAAAATTATCTACATCTATCTTATTTATACTTCATTTTTATTGTAATGTTTTACTATACATTCTCGTATCATATTAGATATATATTTATGTTTATTTATAAAATAAACATATTTTTTTTAATATGCATTTCTTTATTTTCTACGTGAACGTGAGAATTAATATTCTGTATCACTGAATTCAAATAGAATTGTGAATAGTATATCACAGTTTAATTATCAGTAAATATTAAATAGAATTTGTTTAATTATAATTGTAGTATATCAATTATTATTATCATTATTATTAGCTTGTATATGGTGATGAATAAATAATGGTATTGTTTGTTTATATTGCGCCTTTTGGTGCGTTTCATCTTTTTTATTTATAACATTAAAAATTAATATATAGATAACGCATTACACAAGAAATTTTAAAAAATTAATAAAAAAATTAAGAATTAAAAAAAAAATTTTATATTTTAAAATATATCATTTGTTATAAGAAAAATCGATATTTATATACAAAAATACATATGTGACAAATGTAAAATAAATAACTAATAATTATGTTCTTGCTTTATTAATATAATGTTCTATAAATTCTTCTAATGCATCACGGATTAACGTTATATTATTTAAATTAATTTTTTTAATTCTTCTAGTGCATTACGGATTAATATTATATTGTATAGATAAATTCATTAAATTCTTCTAATCCAAGAGTATCCTTTAATTTTTTTGTTTTCCTTTAAGTTTCCAACTTCACTTTTTAACATTATTCGTAATAATAAAATATAATATAACCGAAATATTGGAAACTTTAACAATCTCGTGGATCAGTTATATCACATTTTTAAAGATCAATATAATAAATATAATAGGACATAAAAATAATAAAATAAAATATGCAATATCTAATATTAATAATATACGTAACGAAGTAATATATGTACAGTGAGAGAAGTAATTTAAATATAATGGAAATGTAGCAATGAATATTTTTAACACTTAAATAATACTTTAATACATATAGTTATTTATTTAAATTAAGATAATTAAATTTTATATAAATGTAATAAAACTTTATGTATAGTTCATTGTAATAAAATCTTTAAAAAATATTTTAATTATTCTCAAATATCTTACAAAACCAAGTAGATTTTGTAATTCTGTAATTCTCCTTCAAATTTAATCATCCAAGAGCTAAAATAAAAAAACATATTTTAAGATTTAAAAAGATTTTTACATATGAAAAAATAAAATACTTATATTTACTTTATAAACAATTGCACAACGACATGGTATATACACAAACATTTTACATGATCTATTAGCAAATGTCTCAGGTATCGTAAAATGCAAAACTTTTGAATCTACGCGATTTTCTCCACCAAATTGGAGATCATCACTATTTAAGATTACTTTATAGGTCCCAGCTCGATTTACTCCAACTGGATAATCAGGAAAAGATTTGTCTGGATGAAAATTAAAAATAAAAACTAAACCAGCGCGTTCAAACACAATTATTTTATCATCTTCGTGTTTCCAGGATACATATCCCTAAAACATAATTAAAACATTATAAAAATATTATTTTAAATAAATTTATATATATATATATATATATTATATATATATATAATCATATTATATTTAAACAATATCATTTTTATTGAATTAAGTATTTGATAATATTTTAATGTTCATGATTTCTGATAAACTATCTATCAGATATATATTTTTCAGTGTACAGTATTAAAAGCCTATGATCTAAAAATATATGTGCTAAAGAGAAATATAAATAAATCGAAAACAAAATAATCAATAGTATAAAAAAGTAGATGCTAAATGCAAAAATTTATATAATATATAGGTCATCCAATAGATAGGAATTATATACAAGATTGAACTAAAACAAATACATAAAATATTTTAATAAATTTGAATTATCATTAAATGAATTAAAAACCATAATATATAACACTAATTAATAAATATTTCATAAATAATATATGCATACATTATATGATAGATTTTATAAGAATTATTAACTAATATACATGCGTTTTAAATAATTGGCATTATAAATTATTATATTAGTATTCATTCTTATTAATTATAGAAACTTAACGCTAATATCAGTGGTATTGTTCTTAAATAATAATTTACTACCAAATACTAAATCCTCTGTCCTTGTTGGACAGTTAATTGCAAGTAAAAATACAATAACAATATAAGGTAATTAAATAACGAGAATTTATTTCAAAACAACATACAATTAAGGAAACTTCAATAATAGTAATAAATACAAGTCGTAATATTACAATAATTTATAAATTATTTTATTTACTCAATCAATTATTCATAAGGTTCAATCATTTTTAGTATACTATCCATAATTATATGTTTATTCACAATTTTATTTGACTAATATATTGCCCAAAATAATATTCTACATATTTTTATATATTTACACACTATACATACTTTTATTTATTTTTTACTAATGTTTATATATTTATATATACTTATTTGTTAAAATTATTTTTATATCTGTATTTTGTAGAATACCCTCTTTCATTTTTCTTATAAACATTAATTAAAATTTGATGCTGAACATATTCATCGAATATTTAAAATATTTTCTATTTCTAAATATCAAATAATTTTATTTATTTGAAAACAATTTAAATTTTTTTTTGAGAAGTTTATTATTTGATAATTTTATATTTTACATTTTTAAAAATAATTTTATGAACTCTTTTTATGAAGTAACTTTTTTTTAAATTTAGATACAGTAATTTATAATACATGATTAAAAATAAATTTGTATACATTTATTATATAATTTAACAAAATTCGATTATAAATTATAATATATTATTTTAAAGTTTTATTTCTTAGATTTTATTTTTATTTTAGTTTATATAATATAATAAATTATATTCTAATTATTTTGACATAAATTATAAATAATGATTTAATTAAATGTAAAAAAATATACGAGTTATGCTATAGTGTAATAAAGATAAAGGTATTTTAAAATTATTTACTAAATTAATATAAAGTTTAGTAATAAATATTTCAAATGTTATATAAAAAAGTAATTATTAAAAACAGAATATACGTCTACTTTATTTTAAAATTTATTCTTTATTTGAGTTTCTACAGCTATTTTAGATTATTAATTCGTGCCAAAGTCAAATTCACATTTTAGTTTTTAATGTCACTTTAGGCTATTAGTTCTTGTCCATTTAGCTTTTAAAACTATTATTTAAATTATATATATATTATTGTTACTTATTTATTTTTTGTTACATATAATAAACTTATTAAAATAAGTCCTCGACAAATTTGAATAAAGCATTTGCATTTATTTTAGAATTTATTGTAATATTTTATTCCTTAATACTTGCTCCAGACAGCTGTCGGCAATTATATAAATCAAGGTCGATTCATACTGATACTTTATTACCGACTGCAATAAATATAATAATTACTTCTAAATAATTGTGTAGTTAATTGAACATATACATTTTATTGCCTCGTCAGCTTTAATAATTATAATAATAGTATGACTTTGTAACATAACATATGTATTTACGATTAATCTAATAATATATTTTCAAAATGAGTATATAAAACAAATTTATAAAAATTTCTATATATATATATATATATATATATATAAATAAATATATATATTTAATCTACTTACATCTTTTAAACGATCTATATTAAAAAATGTACAATTATTCACATATCTAATCATTATATAAGTGATACATTAATTTTGTTAGATATATATTTATATGTTTTGTATAGAGACTTAAAGATGTCGATTTTAAATGATTCTGAGTTTCACAAAATTTATATTTAAATATGAATATTTATTAGTTTTACTTGGTATTTCTATATTCGATTAGATAACTATAATTAATATATTTACATTTAATTTATTTATCATTTAATCAAGACTTCGGTTAAATACTTATAAAATTATAATGAAAGATTAAAAATATAAAACAATCATAATTTTTATTATGTTATTTCAATTTATTACAAAAGAACAACATATTGTGGATGTGACTAGTGATTTACAATGATTTTTTGTAGCTAGTGTAAATATTGCTATCCCGTAATAATTAAAATTTTTAGTTACAAATATAAACATTTAGAATATATTATTTTTTTATTATTAGGATTTAACAGAAATTATATTATCAAATTCTTTAATGAATATTGAATTAAGTGATTTTTAATTGAATTTAATTTGACATGTTTTAATAGAAATGTACGCAATATCGGTTCTTTGATATAAAAATTTTTTTTATTTTAAAGTTTTTGAATAAATGAAATTTTATAAAGTAAGTATTACTATTTTTTTTAAATATTTTTGAGAATAAAGAAATGGAATGGAACGATAATTTAATTTTAATATAATAATATAATATATAATATAATCTGAATATAAGATAATATAATCTGTTTTTAATATGATTGTTTAATTTTCGAAATTAAAACTTTAATTTAACCTATCAAAATATAGATAAACAACAATATAATGAATGATTTGTTTAATTAATTTATTTCATTTAGTGAAATATATTTTTCATATAATTCTCTATTGGAAATTTTATTATGGAGATGGAGACGCTTAATATTTTAATTATACAAATATAGGCAATACAGTTGTACACTTAATGTAATTATACGAATATAGTTTTTTTTTAATTATACAAAAATTATAATTATAGTAATTATGTTATTATTAAATGAATTACTTTTTGTATCAAATGAAGTATATTTTTATTGCATAATAATTAATAAATAAATCTATGAATGAATTTCAACGAATGAATTATAATTATGGCTAAAGTTTAACATTTGTAAACAGTTTTCATCTTGAATATTTATAAATCTTATTATTTTTATTATTCCAAGTATATATATAATTTTCGAATACATAGCAACTTATACGTAAAATTATTTATTTAAGTGAAATAATGATTCTAAAATATTTTACTATATTACTAATTTATATGAAAACTTACAGGACTAGAATGAAGCCATCCATAAATTTCTTCTAAAGCATTAATTGCTGAATTCCATTTGTTCATAAATTTATATTTTAAATTCTCATCATCTACTAAATGCCATTGACGCCTAGCGTAATGATAACTATTATTATTACCCTTGCGAGGAAAATCTAACCATTCAGGATGTCCAAATTCATTGCCTAGAGAAAAATAAGAATATTGGTTATCATATCGAAAGTATATATAATGTTTTCTAAGTATATAACCATAAATATAAATTTATGAAGTACAATTTACAAAGTAAAATATATGAAGCTTATGGTAAACAAATAAATTATATATTTATTTGTTATATAAATTATATATTATATATTGAATATCAAATTTGGTAACTATTAACATTTTTTTGACTCGATTGCAAATGTAATTATATATTTTCTAAATTATGTTGACATTGATCTAATGGCATAGGATGCAGCATTCCATGGTATCCAAACTATATTGCAATCTTCTGTTACTATTATTAGTTTTATTTTATATTTTATACTGATTATTATTAAATTTAATTTTAATCAATATAATATATTGATTTAAATTTAATTATAAACGATTAGTCAGTGTTAAAGTTAAGTATCATTAAAATCAAGTATCCTTGATTCATCAATACTTTTATTTTTTTTAAATTGTGATTATAAATAATAATGTGTTATCAATTTGATTTATTGCATATATCCACCGTTTAATAGATCTATCTTCTTGCGCATGTCAGCCATTATCTTCTTACTCTATTTATTTTTTTCCTTTCATAATTATCTAAATATTAAATGTTTTAATTGGTTTGGTTTCGCCATTTGTTTTAAATATATCAATTTATTTATTCAATTTAAATATTACAATTAAAATCAACAGATTTTTAAACAGTGTCAAATTATATCAAATCCATTGAGCTTTGAAGTTAATTATTTATCAAATAAATGAAATTTAGTATTAAGGATAAATTTACCAAAGTTAAAATTGCTGAAGATCATAAATATTAGTTGAATTAATTAATTTTAATTCGTTTCATATAGACGTTCCTTATCTTGTATTCATATTCTTACAAATTATATATATTCAAAATAATTTTCTTCAGTATTATATAAATCATTATATCACAGAAACCTCTGTACCTATTTTAATCTCAAAATTATATATAATTGCCATTTCAACAAGCGTTTTTAAAGGAAAGAACTTGTCCAACATAACAATTTCTATTTGTGTTTACTTCATAATGAATTATTAACTTGTACTTAACTTCAACTTATTTAATTATTCTTACTTATAGACTTTTTTATTTACTAAATACTTAATCACTGTCATTTTCCATATGTTCATATTAATATTGATTTACGATTTATTAATACGTACCCTAGCCTTTAGATTCGTATTCGATTTTCATTTACTTTTCATCTCTACATATTTAAATTTATTCATTCAATTCTTTTTTTACGTTTATGCATTTAAATGTATATGTATTATTTTTTCTACATTATATTATAAAATAATTATATATCTATTTCAATAATAAAACGTTCCATTTAATATCGTTAAGTATTCTGTGCTCACAACTGAAACTATTATAAATTATAAATCCTGGTATAAGAAACTATAAATATGGGGCTTTGAATAATTGTCGGAATACTCGGAGTACTGGAAATTATCGGGTGTTAAAATTATTTGTGTATTTATGTATTAATAAATTTTTAATTTATTTAAAGATTCCTTGGATAATCTCCAATGATAGAATAAAACTATTTTTTATGCATATTTATATATACTGTATTGCATGATCATTTTGTATTATTGTATGATTACAAAGATATTAATTTATAAATATAATTCTATTTTAACAACGTATATTGTTAATTAAATCTACTAAATTTTTTACTACATGAGTATCAAACCCTATAATGGCGGAAGAATCTCATTATATTCACTTATAATTTTTATGAGGAAGTATTTAATTTCTTTGTCTATTTTTGAAATGACATTTCTTATACAGTTTAAAGAAAGCATTCATATCTTAAGTATTGATAACCAAGTAGAAAAATTTAAACGGTATTGTTTTTCGTCGATTCTTGTTTTATAAATACAGTAAAAACCGAAATATTTTGAATTAATAATGTTATTTTTAATATAATTAATTTTAGAATTATTATCCAAGAAAATTATTAATATAATTTTTCATTTGTTAATTTGCTTAAATATAAGTACAATATAATTATAATAATTTAGAAAAATGTGCATTTAACTTTTATATTTAAAATTACATTTTATTTTTAGTATATACAATGATTCTAACTTTCATAATAATATTATTAGTATTATACAACTAAACATTTTATCAATAGATCATTAAACTTACCAATAAAATTTAAATACGCTTCTCCACCTAATGAATGTGTTATAAGAGTTATCATATTGTGTAATGCAATTCCTCGATTTATCACATAATTTGGAGGGCTCAAAACACTCATATGTGTGTACATCTTTTTATCCATTAACCAAAATGCTATGGTTTTATCGCCAACAAGAGCTTGATCATGAGACTCAACGTAAGCTACTGTTTTTTCCATATATCTACGATTAGTTAATGTCCAAACTATATCACCCATATTCCAATTTTCATCTTTTACTTCTTTAAGAAGTTTAATCCATTTATCTGGAATTGCCATTCCTAATCGATAATCGAAGCCAAAGCCTCCTTCATCTATAGGCCTAGTAACAATAAATATAAACTCAACAAAAATTCTATAAGTTATTTCTTTCAAGAACTATCTTTAAATAAGTTACTTTTCAAAGAACAATATACTAAGACGATCTTTTTTAGTAGATTTTGTATAATATTTGTTGGTAGTGAAAATATTTGTAAAATAAAAATGAATCATTTAAAGAAAGATAATAAGCAAGCAATATATTATATTAAAAATATATAAATATATTAATACTTCTACAATTAATCCACGAAGTAGTTCTGCGCAGAATATGATAGTATTTGGATTTTTATTTGCCTATGTGAATATACAATTATATAATACAGCGAACAACATCAATTATAATTATATCGATCTCTATGACAAATTTATTATAAAAAATTGAACCTTTAATATATTCCATATTTTATCAATTTACATATATAGCAGATATCTTTTATACATTTTTTATTAAAGAATTTGATACATTACGTAAGTTATTAATTCTAATTAAATTAAAAAATCAATTAATTATATATTAAATATAAATCAATGCCGACCATTATTGTAAGTTATATTTATACTTTGTGAAATTTCAATATATGCAATAATTACAATTCGACACCCGATGCATTTCATTTAATTAAAAAAATTGTTGAAAATAAATTATTAGTTATTTTATTTTTATTTAGATGAGCAAATATTTTATTTTTTTCTTAAATCAAACAATGCTATCATTTAATTTTCTTTACAGTGTGAAGAGTACATTTCGGGGTTTTTTAGAATTATTTAAACAATATTTAAATATAATTAAATATATTTATATATAATAAATAAATCCACAAAAATAAATATTCAGTGTATTAAATCTTAATTTTATATCATTGGTTAAAATGTTATGTTAATTTCGTTTTTTTAAAATTAAGTCAAAATACTTTTTGAACATTATTCTTTTACATTTAAATGAATATAGTTTGAATTTATTTTTAGTTTATTTATTAAATTAATTTATTTAAAATTATTTTATCAATTCAATTTTTTATTGGCACAGTCATTATGTCATTATTTTTTGTATTTGAAGAAATTTCTTCCTATTTATTTTTACGTTAATATTATTGTTCAAAAAATTAATTCTACTAATCCGACTCGTCAGCCAAACGTGCAAAATTAACTTAGAAAAAAACCACTACATGTTATGTGGGAAAATCGCTGGGCAAGTGAAGGGTTAATGCACTGATTCAATAATTAACACATTTAATTTTTACCGCTGTTTATTCCATTTATTTCAATTTATTTCCAAGTTGGGATAATTAACTGTGATGATATTAAAAATGTCCTTTATATTTCTTAATAATCTTGTGGCGTTGTGATATACCTATATTGAAGAACACTTAATGCAACTGGTGAGATTATGATTTACTGTAAAAGAAATAGGTTATACGTTATAACCAACGTTAACTGTATATTGATTCACAGTCGTAGAAAGACAGTTTACTAGACTCAGCTGAATGACTTTGTCTCTGGTCCTCCACCATGAGAGTAAGTCATGACTTATCCATTCAATAAGGAGAAGAATAAGAATAGGAATAAGCGGTGTTACATTACATTGTCCTTCTTAAATAGTTCACTGACCCAGTTCCACTTGGGACCCCTTATTCTTTTAGTTATCCAATCAAAGGTTGACCTTGGGCAGCACGATGGATTATGCACGCCTTCATTTCCACTTCCTTCTGGGCTCAGTCCCGAATATGCTAATCGGGAAAGTGTCGGAAATTGGGGAGCCTTTAATATTGATCGCCTCTCCCTTCTCTGGGACTTAGCTAGATAAAGGGTCCTCTAGGGCGTGGTCGATTTTCCAATGCGATCGACAAGATGCGACGTAGTTAGGAACAATGCAAGCATTGTCTTAAAAAGCCGAGTGCGCACGTACATCTATTGCTTGTTGTCGCACGTGCAGGGTTTTGGATTGCAGTGAAATTTATGAAATGTTTGTACTCGATAGTTTTCGTATACTTTTTCAGAATATACGTCATGGAGGTAGTAAACAACATAACAGTTTAACTGCACCGGGAAAGCATGAGCACGTTTTTAGATAAGCGAGAATAAATAAGCTAACTATTCACGGGTGTTTTCCAGATGTATTGACCGTCTCGAGTGT